GATTCCACTGGAGCCAGGACATTATGCAGACCAGAGTAAAGAATGCCTTTATTTACTCATTAGTGCTATTCCAGATTCGGTCCCTTAGTCGGGAAGACCCCCTTGGAGAAGGGAGAGCTTCCCACTCCAGTATTCTTGCCTGGAGAATTCCATGGACGGAGGAGCCTGGCAGGCTACAGCCCATGGGGTCACAAAGAGTCTGATACGACTGAGCAACTAACATTTACTTACTTACTGCTATTACCTTATCTAGGCACATAGATTATTTTTGTTTGCTGTAGTATATGCTCCTTGATCATGTCACCATACTCAAGGAAGGATATTTTTGCATGACGGAGACAAAATATGTCCCTTGATGTGTGAATTCTAATTCTGCTACCAACTTGCTGAATGGCCATGTTGGGTTAGATATTTCACCTCTAGGACCTTCAGTATCTTCATTTGAAAAGCAGGAATAATAACTTCTTCAAGGAGCTGATGGAATTATTATAAGAGATCAGCAGTTTTCAAACTTTTTGTTCTTAAGATCCCTCTCTACCCATAAAAACTGAGAACTCCAAAGAAGGTTTTTTTTTGTTCACCTAGGTATTTATCAATATTTGCCATATTTATAATTAAAAGTAGAAAGTATTATAAAGCACTTGTTTTTTAAAATGAGGACTCTTCTTCAAAACAAAAGGATTAATGAGAATAGTGGTGTTTTACAGTTTTGCAAATCTCTTTAATGAGAGATTAAAGAATACAAGTGGATTCTCAGATATGCTTTTGAATTCAGTCTGGCATGTTATGTAGTTTTGGTTGATGCATGCGAAGGAAATCTGGCCTCAAATAGGTGTGTCATTGGAAGGGAAGGAGTATTTTAATAGCCTTTTCAGTTAATTGTGGATATGCTTTGATTCACCATTAGAACTCAGTGAAGTGGCTTTTGTCTTAAAGATTAGTTGTAATGTGCACACTGAAGCCATGTCTGTGCATTTTATGTACTCTGTTACCCTTAGTCTGTCTTGTACTTTGAGTGACTCTTTTAGCCATGTGTAATTTTTAAAACATCATACTCTAGTCATTTGGAAAACATTGGTTCACTCAGTTATATAGACCTCCTAAGACTTTATCTCATCAAACCATGAAATCAAACAAACAAACAAAACCCCACAATTATTAAAACCATCACCAATCTTTCAGATGAGAGACTGTCAAAGTCTGGGCAGCAGATACATGTGTTCCAAAATTCTAATTTTTGCTTGAGAGCCCACATTTTATCATTGGTAACAAATATTGCCAATCATCTTCCTTGATGTGATGGACTCACTTCATTTATGTCCATAATATATCTGCCAAATACGCAAGTCTGAACAGCCAATTTGTCTAAAGTTGTTCTTCCTAGTAAAAGTGATATTTCAAGAAAATAGTGGCATGTTCAGTTTATAGCTCCAGGGATGGCCAAGAGTTCATCCTTGAGATAACCCTCATTCTTCAGTAGGAGCAGAAATACTTCTTGCCTTCTTCCTCCTTCATCTCAGGGTGCCAAGAAGATACATACCAAAGACTCGAGATTCAAGGACATTAATATTTGTGACTGCTTTATTGGGCTTCCCGAGTGGCTCAGTGGTAAAAAAAAAAAATCTACCTATAATGCAGGAACTGCAGGAGACTTAGGTTTGATCCCTAGGTCGGGAAGATCCCCTGGAGGAGGACATGCAGCCCACTCCAGTGTTCTTGCCTGGAGAGTTCCATGGACAGAGGCGGGCTACAGTCTATGGGATCGCAAAGAGCTGGACGCAACTGAAGTGACTGAGCATGCACATACTGCTTTATTAGGGACATTCTTTTTTTTAATTTATCTAATTCTAGTTGATTTATAATGTGTTAATCTCTGCTATATAGCAGAGTGATTTAGTTATATATGTATATATTTAGTTATATATATATATATATTTAGTTATATATATATACGCACACACACACACATTCTTTTTCTTATTCTTTTCCATTATGGTTTATCACAGGATATTGACTATAGTTCACTGTGCTATACAGTAGGACCTTGTTATTTATCCAAATGGCAACCCACTCCAGTATTCTTGCCTGGAGAATCCCGTGAACAGAGGAGTCTGGCGGGCTACAGTCCATGGGGTCACAAGAGTTGGACACGACTTAGTGACTAAACCACCACCATGTAATAGTTTGCATTCTCTAATCCCAAACTCTTGGTCCATCCCTTACCTCCTGGCAGCTACAAGTCTGTTCTCTAAGTCTGTGAGTCTGTTTCATAGGTAAGTTCTTTTGTACAGTTTAGATTTCTTTAGGGGTATTCTTAAGCGAAACTGGCTTTTCCCCCCTGGCTGTGAGCGTGTGGAAGTGAGGAATACAGTGCCTACCCACTGCTTTGATTTGTACTGAAGCCCTTGTCTCTCAGCTGGTAAAGAATCTGCCTGCAATGCGAGATACCTGAGTTCGATCCCTGGGTTGGGAAGATCCCCTGGTGAAGGGAAAGGCTACCCTCCCCAGTGTTCTGGCCTGGAGAACTCCATGGGCTCGTCCATGGGATCGCAAAGAGTTGGACATGACTGAGCGACTTTCACTTCACTTCACTTCAAAGCCTTGCAGGTTTCACCCTGCAGGCACCCTTCACTTTCGAGAGCACAAATGTCAAGACACTAAAGGCAGTAGCACATTCTGGAAATAGTTTGGATCTCACAGGCTCCCTGGAAGGGTCGCTGGGCCTCCGGTAGTCTACAGACAACACCTCGAGAACCACTGGCATTATGTAACCTCCTGCCAATCCTGACAAGTTATCTCTTTCTTCCTGGTCTTCGTTGTCTGTGGCCATGGACTTGGTGACTAGCCAGGCTGAATGGAGCCTGGCCTTTGGGAGATGTATTATTTTGATGAAATCCCACTAGAGTTCTTCCTGCGTTCACCAGAGCCCAGTTGTTTTTTTTCCTTCCTGGGATATTACCTTGGTAATATCCAAAACAAGCCAAAAACAAATAAGCTGAAAGCAAACCTTGGTTTCGTATTAGCTTTACTGCTCACATCTATGTGCGGAAGATCTCTGTTTATAATCCTTGTTTTCTTCTTGTATGGTGTAGAGCTAATAAAGACATTTTTTTGGTAATAGTTTCCTGGTCCGTTATATCGAGGGTCTTAATTCTGGTTTCAGAGACACTTCACTAGTCTGTGAGTAGATTCTAGGTGGCTGGTGAGCCCTCAAAATTTCACAGAATTTTCTGTTTTTCTTTGACGGTTGGGGAGAAGGTGGGTTGTTGGGGAGAGTTAATAGCTTCAAATTCTCAGAGGTTTTGTGACCTCGCCCCCTGCAAAACCAGCCGTCACCAAACAGCTGTTTCAGATGGACATTGTTATGGGTGGCATCTACCCATCCATTGTCCATGTCCAAACACACGTCTTTTGGAAGAGAATTTTCAGAGTTCCTTCCACAGCTTTGCCTGTCTGCACTTTCCATCCCTTTGGCATTCCTTCACGGTCTCCGTCAATTAGCACTTGCTCACTAGTCACTTCACAGTTGTCTTTGAGCACATCATCTGTCCTTTTCCCCTTGGCATAAAATGCAGGAGACACCAGGGCCGGCCATTGCATCCACATGTATCCTCGGAGGGTATTTCAGGCCAGAGGATGCACTCAGCCAAATTAGTGGGCTCCTCTTTGAACCACTGAGATGTGCAAACTCAGAATATTTATTTATACCTCAACTGCGAGTTGCGTTTTTTCCTCCCACACAATTCTTCAGCCTGCTGCTTGGAATCCAAGCACTGTCATGAAAACTGCAAGGCAGCCAGTTTCATTCCAACAGTAGCATTTTTGGAACCCTTTCCCGATTCCGTGGGAGTAGTGTGGTGACTGCCACTCTCTGAGAAGACGCGGAGGAGGACTCTGCAGCGTGATGATATGTATGTCTTTGCAGTATCAGCCCTCCGGGCACACTGCAGACGGGGTGGGGGTGAGGGGGCTCCGTGGCCGGGCAGGGGGCGATCCCGGCAGTAAACCAGAGTGCCCTTTGCAGCACCAGCATTTCTGTATGTCGGAAAGCTGGCTTCAGGGTGGTCAGTGAGAAGCAGACAGCAGGCTTTACAGAGCGCACTCTCATTTAACAAAGTGGTTGTTCCCCATCTCAGAAAAATTTGAACGGTTCTATCATATGTGGTTTAACTCAGTGGCTTCACAGTTTTTGAAAAATCCCGTGGCTTGTCTAACGCAGCAAACACACCAGCACCTAACAGTTGGGGAACAGCAACGTCCCTGTCCCCTATGAGAAACAGGAAGATGAATTCTATGGCAATGAACGGGGAAGACTGACCTAATTATGACAAAGCGGAAGACTCATTCAACGGGATATACACAAGGTAGATGTGTGCACCAGTCAGATCCAGGGGTATTTTATTTAAGAATATGTCTCCAGTTGCTGGGTAGCGTTGTTTTTAAACTTCGTTTACTGGACAGCATTTGTGACTGACACACTCCATCCTGTCTTCTGCATCCCTAAACACTAAAGATTGTCACCCACTTTGTGTTCTCAGCAGTGTAGGTCGACCCCAGTCCTCTGTCTTTACGGACTCAGGCTTCCAAGATGGTTTTGTTTATTTCTGTCCCTTTCTAGCAGGTGAGAAAATCAGGCCATAAGAGCCTCTGACTTGCCCCAAACCACTGAAGCATAGCGCAGGTTGATGTTAACAGCTCTGGTGTCCCAGGCCAGGCTCACGAGTCAGAGAGCGTGCTGTTCGCCTCTTTAGAAAGTGCCCTTCATGCTCTCCGGGTCGGTCAGTGTCGGTGTGTGTCCCCTCTGACTGACTCCCTCCCACTCAAGGGCTGAGTCTGGTCAAACTCTCCTTTGGGAAAATGCCACGTACCAGTGGGAGAGCAAGGTAAGGTGACTCTTGGCTCTGCTTTTGGACCAGATGGCTGTTGTTATTGCATGATAAAATGTGCGGCTTCACGTTTCTCTGCCTCTCACCACTACAGTACCCTTTCTGTTTTTTAAGGAAAGAAGGATTGTCCAAATGTGGAAGATGCAAGCAGGCATTTTACTGCAATGTGGAGTGTCAGGTAGGTGTCTTTGGGCCAGCTGGCAGGGAGGGCCTGGTTTCCTCGGAAGATCGGGACCCCAGCATCCTTCTCATCCTTGTCACGGCATCCCAGGGCCCTCCTGCAGCCAGAGCTGGAAAGCCGCCTTGTGGCATAGGGTGTGGCTGGATGCCCCTGTGTGCTGGCACCCAGGACTGATGGTGATGGGCAGTAACATTTTGGGGCCCCACACAGGATCAAAAGTAGAGGTTGGTAAAGTGGGAAAGACACAGGGGCCACATTGGATACAGGCAGGTGTATCACCAAGGTCGACAGTCTGCCCCCCACGGCTCCTAGCAACAGATGGAATGTGCAAAGACAACCAGTGAAAAATGTTAAAATGCTGTCTTTGAAATTGTTTGGTCTTTACCATCACCAAGTCTGAATTTGTATCTATCCCCCTAGCAGGCCACACATCGCCCTTGGGCTGGTCTAATCTAGCCTGAGTCCAGCTGGACTTAGGTGGGCCCCTGACACAGCTTGTGTGTAGCCAGAGGTGGCCTGGTCTGAACTTGGACCTGGAGACCTGGGGGTGGTGTCTAGGCGGCAGGTTGCATGTAGACCACAGGCCATCTGGCTGGCTGGATGCATCTAGAGAGAGTCTTGTAACCCAGGACTGAGGGTTTCAAGAGGGTATTTAGAGGAACTCTTGGTAGACTCTTTAAGGGATAAATGTTGTTGTTTTTTTTTTTCCCCAAATTTTTCTACTAATACTGTATAGTTACACAAAATGTTCACAGGTATTACAGAAAATGCACTCCATGTTCTAGCGGTTTGAATTTGGGGAGGATATGATCTTTAACCTCTGTGTATCCTCCCCAATCTATTTTTTAAATGGGAACCTACTAATGTGGCTTGGGAAATGATGCTCCTAAATAGTGGTTCTAAAGGACAGGGAGGCTGGTCTTCATACCTGCACCTCGTTTTTGTTCTTCTTCCCATACTTAACTGTCACCTTCCTCTGCCCCCCACCCCTGCTCTGGTCGACCACATTACCCATGGTTTCATTTTTTTTTTTCCTTCTGTCTTCTTCCTGCGCAGCTGGTCTCTGAATGTCTCTAAAGGGTGTTGTGCAGCAGTGGGAGAGGTTGCTAAGCCCCAAAGTCTTGTCTGACAGAGCTCCCCTCACAGGGGCCCTGAGCCATTGGCTTGGGCAGGTCTGCCTTGGTTCTGACGGCCACATGCATGGTCCACCTCCCTGTGTCTCCACGCAGGCTTCCGGCCTGCGGGGCAGTGAGAACATAGATGTCGTCGGTTTGTCAGGGAGTGCGGCTTCTTCTGAAGAGGAGAAGTGCCTGCCCCTCCCGATTGTGGACAGAGAGTTCTGTGGTTAGATTGCTGGGCACGCGAAGAGGTCAGCGAGCCCTGGAATGACGTGGTTAGGTTCCAGGCCTGATAAGTTAGCTGTTTCTATATTTAAGTTAAATGCTTCTAGAAGAAGTAGCTCATGATATTCTGGTTCTTTAAAGAAGCCAGCTAGTAACTCACACACAGGTCAGACTATTGTAACACAGAAGACTCGGAGGATACAGTTCCAGCCCTGCACCTGCCTACCTCTGTGAACTTGACAATTCAAAGGATGTCTCAGACTCTCAGTTTCTTAGTGTAAATGAGGACAGTGGCCCCTGTCTTGATGAATTATAAGGATCAAATGATATGTGCGATATGAAGGTTCTGTGTAAACTGTGATGCTGCGTGCAGGCATAAAGGCTTATAAATAATAATATTATAGTAATTCAGGTTGGACTGAAGCTTAGCTTTATGCAGAGAATAAAGTAGGCAGCCCACTTTAGATTTAAGGGGCTGGGTTTTTTTCACCAAAGAGGATGGACGGATTCTAAGAACTTGAGATCCCTAATGGTGTACATTATATGAATAGTGCTTGTTACAAAATGAATTTTAACTTCTCTGATGAACTGTAAATTCTGCATGGATATGAAACATGAGCATCTGTGAGATGCTGAGCTACCTCTCTGTCTCTTGAGCTGTCTCCCATTAGGCCCCCCAGGTGGCATTACACTGATGCATGACCATAGTCCAGGTTGGGGTGCTGTGGTGGCCACTGTGGTTCCCTTGCCTTTAGGACCTAGTCTTCCAGATTTGCTGACTCACAGTGATAGGTGCCTGGCCTTGGGAGGTTCCCGACAACCAAGTATATCAACCTGTGTGAACCAGAATGCCTCTTTATTATTGTTCAGTTGCTAAGTAGTGTCCACCTCTTTGCAACCCCATGGACTGCAGCACGCCAGGCTCCCCTTTCCCTCACCATCTCCCAGAGTTTGCTCAAACTCGTGTCCGTTGAGTCGGTGATGCCATCCAACCATCTCATCCTCTGTCACCCCCTTCTGCTCCTGCCTTCAGTCTTTCCCAGCATCAGGTCTTTTCCAGTGAGTTGGCTCTTTGCATCAGGAAGCCAAAGTATTGGAGCGGCAGCCTCCGCATCATTCACCTTATAGAATGAAAAGGCAAAAAGATATGACACTGAAATATGAGCCTTTTTATTACTTTACACCAAGCAGCTTGACAGGCTGCATTGTCCTCCTCCTATAGACAGATTTTACAGGTCACTTCGTAATGTGATTGCTGCAACAAGGAACCTCAGGGTGGGAGACACAGTCCTGTGATTCTAAGTCATGTCAAAGGTCCAGGCCGTGACAGCTTGCTGTGTCCAGCTCTACCACCTACAGTCTTCCTTGCATCTCGCCACCTCCTGGGCCAGGACACCCTAGGTCCTGGAGAGTACTTTTGCAGTTCAGTTTCCCCATGCTCTGTGAAATATCTTGTGACCAAAGTACTCTCATAGATGACAAGTAGTAACACACTCCCAAAAGCCACTGGTTTCTAGAAGTGAGGCTGGATTTGACCTGTTTCATTTCCGTTTCATGTCTCTCCTGTTGCGGCAGGGAGAGACACATAATCTTTAAGGTTTTCCGTCCTGTTGTCTGAAGGATTGAGTAGGAGCAGGAGATCGTATTACAGTGAGGTAGAATGGTCATCAAGTTAAGTGCCTAGAAGCAAATGGCCATAGAAGGGCTTCATCCATAGAATCATTAGGGAGGAATCTGGGGCATTTGCTCCAGATGAAAATAGATTCGGAGTTCTGCCCAAGGGAATACTTGGATGGGATCAAGGTGGAGACTCTGCTGCAGGGTCAAACGAGGGTGCAAACCGAGGGCAGCAGTGAGGAAGGTGATTGGGTGATTCTCCACCTAAGAAAATGCATGGCCGTCTCCCCTGTTGTCGTTCACTCAGCCGTGTCCGACTCTCGGCAACCCCTTGGACTGCTGCACGCCAGCCTTGCCTGTCCTTCAGTGTCTCCCAGGACTCACTCAAACTCATGCCCATCGCATCGGTGATGCCATCCATCCATCTCACCCTCTGTCGTCCCCTTCTCCTCCTGCCTTCAGTCTTTCCCAGCATCAGGGCCTTTTCCTCTTCACTAGGCCTTCTTCAAAGGCAGACCCCACCCGCCTGGAGTCACTGGGTTCCAAAGCTCAGAGCAGATGACAGGGTTGTAAGGGAGCTTATCAGTAGATAAGAAAGCTGTGTCCACAGTGGCTGAGAGACTTGCCCAAGGTCAGACAGCAACAAAATGAGGCCAGAGTGTGCAGAAACCCTGGGGAGGGCTTTCACTGCCTCCAGCACTGCGCCTGGGGGTCCCGAGGACCCTCCAGGAGAAGGGGTGCTGTGGCAATGGGTCAGAGACGGAGAAGTGGCCTTTCATGGGGGTGAAAGGGAAGATCCCTTCTGGTCCTGTGGTCTTTCCAGAAATCTCTCCAAGAGTGTAAGGGCCACATCCCTCCCTGAGGATGTCCTTCCAGGAATGCAGCGTGTTAGGAGCCTCTCAGCAATGTTTCCTGCCCCCAGCCCTCCTCTCTGATTGCAGGACTTCAGGAGCATGCTTTATTTTATACAGTTTGGCTCACGTCTTGTCCCATTTATTCTCCTTTTCGTTCATTTGACTCAGTGTGATCCTGCCAGAGGAAAGATTTTAATTGACAATGCATGAAAGGGTAATGGGAGGAAATATAAAAGAAATAGAAATTCCTTTTTAGTTGGGCTTGGTTTGTAACCTGTGTGTTTTAATGAACTATATTTATTTTTATAAATATGCCTGGAAAACTAAGTGTGTTGTTCGCTCAGACTTTTTTGTTAAATTGTACCATGACACGTTGAAGAGAAGAGTTTTAGAGTTATTACATAGAGGAATCATTGTGGAGTAGAATTTCCTAAAGTGTTATTTCTTAACATTGACAAATAGAAGAAAACAGTTTGTGTGTTGTAAGTGGAGGTGTTAGGATTATGAGTGTGCTTTTGAAAGGAAGAAGGGGCATTTTCTGATGAAGACTGAAGAAAGCATGTATGAGGAGTGCGTGACCAAAGATGCGAGAACATTCTCAACTTTTATCACCAATTAGAAAGTAACTGTAGAAAATGTCTAAGAAATGCTCCCATGACCCTGTCATTTTTTGGGTGATTAGTGAGTGGGCTAGAGTCAAAGGTGTAGTCCTGGTTAAATACTTTGCTCTCTTAATTCAGACACAGGAGCCACTGTTTTTTTCCTATGAGTAAATGTTTAACATCACGAATAAGAATCAATGAGTGTGTCCCATCACTGTTTTATGGAAACAGAAAACAAAACAGTGTCCTTGTGATGGGGTCCAGCAGTGGTTGTCACCCTGGTGTCATCCCAGTGACAGAGGTGGTCACTGCGCCCCTAATTCCCTTTGCATTCTTCTCGCCAAGAATAGTGGTGGAGAACAATAGTTCTATGACATTTTCTTACTATTCCACATTTTAAGAAGTCACTTACGTATGCTACTCCTCATTTCAGAGAATCACATAGGCATGTATATAAGTAGACATGGTCTAAATTGAAAGCCCCATTAGAACAAGAGAAACACCAGATGCAGGAGTTAGAAAAGGGGACTTCACAATAAAAATTCAGTCTCCTTATGCAAGGAGACAATATATCATTTGCTCAGCAGAAAACTGGATGACACAACAATCACTCTTTTCTTCCAGTGTTGGGAGTGCTGGTGTACCATGAGACAATTTTGCACCTCTTTGTGCATCTTTAAGTATTTTGGTCCATGCACAAAAAGGAAAGTCATGCAGAGCTGTTGTTACAGTGGCTGAAAGTGAACTAGAAATTTAAAAGGGTTCCAAAAAAATTCCCTCTCTTACTTTTTACATAGATTTAATTGTTTAAATTTATTGCATGAATCGTCTGTGCTCATTATAGAAAAATCAGAAGTTTCAGACTGAAAGAGGAACAGAAAGAGTATCCATACTTCATAATTTTATCCTTCCAGAGAAAACCGCTAGTAACACTTGGGCATGTGTCTTTCTGAATCCTTCCTATGCATTTTTTTGTAATATATTGTAATACATTACTTTCCTAGAAAATGGGATCCATCTGAATTTACATTAAGTTTTATAAAGATTGCAACCAGGAAAGGAGTCACAGCTTAAATTGTGAAGAAAACTTGAAGCTAAGTAGTGCCACTGTGGTATGTCTTTGACATTTCCACTCTCTGACAGAAAGGGAAAACTTCTTACTATCTGGTAGATTTCCCTTGCTGAACCTTCACGTGATTCTGCCGGTCCTTGCGTTTACCCAGCTCTCTGGTTTCGCTGCTCTGTGTGGGTCTCAGATACATTCTGGGTGCTCTTGCTATCCTTGGTGGTCTGATATAGTCATAAACTCCTTGAGGTCAAAGACTCCATCTCCCATCCGTGCCTCTGGGGTCCTCAAGGGCCTGTTGAGTGAATGAGGGAACCAGCATGTGAACAGTTACCAGCGTTTGTTGGGAGCACGTTGCCAGGCACTGGTCTGAGTGTTTCTGGTGGGCTGGCTTATTTTTTGGCTCCTCACGACGACCCTTTGTGGTTGCATGAATGCCTGATCATGGTAGCCTTCAAGCTTTGTGTCTGATTATCACTGTTGGAAAGCGTACAGTCATAGACTTGGAATTCCGGACCTGCTAAGTAACTTAGGGATCATGTTATTTACAGCCGAGGATACACAGGCAGGGGGATTAAGAGGACCGTCTGGTGTGACATAGCTGTTTCCCTGGAGGGCGGGGTGAGAATGAAGGTCTCCCCGAGCCCCAGGCCAGTCTCCTGTTGCTGGATAGAACTCAGCTCTCCCCCACAGCGTGCCCTGTAGTCAGGCTGTCTTCCCTGGAGGACATTAACATCAATAGATGTCAGCATTGTGTGTTAATTATATTCATATTAATTCGATATTAAGTTGTCTTAAAAACACGGAAGTCATATTAAGAAATGTTCATCTTAAACTTCTTTCTCACTGGAGCTCATTGTCAGACACCAAAGACAGCGCCTGTACTTCAGGAAAAGCGTGTTGAAGGCTGTACAAACGCCTTTTCTTGGCATTGCTCGGGTCACAGTGAACTTCCTGTGTGTGTTCGTAGGTGTCAGTTACCCGTCTGCCCCCAGCCTCTGGTCACGTCCCTCGGATGCCCCAAGGCCAGATGCCCTTGTCTTTACCTTTTTGCTTTGCAGTTGTGTGGGGAGCCAGTTTTGCTGGGAGCTGGACCTACCTGTCCCTACCTCGTTGCTGCATCACTGAGCTCTCATTTTAGGCTTTGGCTAAAAACAGATCCTCTTCTCCCTTGTGTATATCTTGTCATTTCTGCCTCTCCTTGCTCTTGGTTATATTTGGCACGCTGTTATTTAACTCTGCAGAACACGCCTTGGCCCAGAGCTTGAGCCAAGGGTCTGTGCCACGGGGGCTGTGTTCAGTCGTTAGGTGACAGCGTGTCTTTCTTTTTGGCAGTGGGGAGGGAGACATCTTCATTCATTCAACAACTTTATTGAGTGCCTAGTGAATGTCAGGCACAGTTCTAGGTTCTGGGATAATAGATATACCTGAAACAGATGAATAGTAGGGGCAGGGGGGAAAACATAGTAAACCAAACAACTAATCGCTGTGTTATAAATATGTCAGGTGGTGAGAAGTACTAAGAAGAAACGTAAAGCAAGGAGAAGGGAGAGTGATGGGGAGAGTGCTGGTTTGGGGAGGGTACCTTGAAAGGGGGCATCAGAGCAGAGATGTGGAGGAGGGAGGGAGCCAACGGGATGTCTGGGGAAGAGGCATTTGCCAGGAAATGCAGCAGGTGCCAAAGATCTCAAGGCAGGAGCAAGTGTGGTCAGTCCAGGGAGCAGCGAGGAGACCTGGTGGCTGGGTGGAGTGAGGTGAGGGAGCGTGGTGAGGGTGATGAGCTCAGAGTAGCCGAGAGTCAGCTCCTCCCACAGGTGACCTCGTGAGTCATCGTTACAACTTGGCCTTTTGCTCTGAGGGGAGAAGCCATGAGAGCATGCTGAGCTGTGAACTGCAGGATCTCAGTTGTGTTTTTCAGAATCGATTACTCTGGTTGCTCTCTGGAGCGGAGTTGCGGGTGGGGTGGGGGGTAAGGGGGGCAGAAGTAAGTGTCCAGGTAGGAGGCAGAGGAAGCCATCATGGGGTAGGTGTAGGGTCTGCCGCCCAGTAGGGAAGGTGGCGGGTGGGAAATGATCAGAGGTTGGGTGTATTCCGCAGGCAGAAAGGATGGATTCGCCAGAGAGGTGAACATGGAGTGTGGGGGAGAGAGAGATGGCTGGGAAGTCTCCAGGGTTCTGGCCTGAGCATCGGAAAGGTCAGACCTGCCCCTTTCTGAGGCAGGAGAGGCGGAGGGAAGACAACGATGGTAGCCAGTCCTGTTGCAGCAAGGAGCATCTGCAGACTCCCGCTGAGTCCACTCCCGCAGCTGCTCAGCCCATCCCGCCTCCGCAGCAGGTTTTTATCAGAGCCCGTGAGGTTCAGCCAGTTCCCAGTCAGCCCCCACTGACGCAGCACCAGCATCGTCCCTTCCTCCCCAGCACCCCACCCTCCTCCTTCCCCAGCCTTCCCTTGCGAAAGGCACATCTCCACCCTTCCCAGAGTGAGCGCACTCCCTTCACCCTGAAGCCTGGGGCAGAAAGCATCAAGACATGTGTTAGAGAAGAGTCCAGTTTTCTTCTTTTATCCAGTGACTCCTCAGGGAGTCCGTGGTCCTAAATATGCCCGCGAGTTGCCCTGGCCAGACTCTTCGCGGGTCCTTGACCGAGTCCTCGTCTCTGGTAGGATTTTATCACCTATAGAAGGGGACAAGGTGCTGTGGATGTCACGTCTCGGTTATTTGCCCTGATGTGGGAACAGAGCCAGATCAGAACCATAGGGAGCAGAGCCAAACCCACGGCTGATGCCCAAGTAACTCACCCTGGGAGCGACATGACAGTGTCCACAGATGATGCAAAGGTGTGTGTGTCGTTCGGAATAGTGAAGGGCGTGAGATGCTTGATGAAACCACACAGAGCAGATTTTCCCTTGCCAGCGAGCTCAGCCAGGCCCGAGTCAGGGTCATAAGCCACATCTATCTTAAAGGATGTTTTCATCTCTAACTTCTGTGAGCACCGTCGTGTTTTCCAAAAGGAAACATATTTCACTTGACCTTAACTAGGAGAACTTACTGCATCCTCTTGTCTTGAACTTTATTGCAATGTGTGTGTGTAATATATTTTTTTTTAACTTTCCCAGAGAGAAGATTGGCCCATGCACAAGCTGGAATGTTCTCCCATGGTTGTTTTTGGAGAAAACTGGAATCCCTCCGAGACCGTAAGGCTGACAGCAAGGATTCTGGCCAAACAGGTGAGGAATTGGGATCAGGTTCAAGTGTGTTTTGTTTTATTTTTCTTCCTTCGAGGTCAGAAAGCTGAGTGAGTGACCCGTGGTGATCATCCCTCGCTCAGCATTCTGGGACCGCATTTCCCATCACGTCCCTGTGGACAGAGATGAGAGCAAGGCTCCAGGAGTGAGCTGGCTTGTCTGCCTTGTGGGATGTCACTCATCCCAGGCCAGGAATGTAGCCGCTGCTGTTAAGTTCTGAGCTTTTATATGAGACAGGTTTGCATAGAAAAATACGGCCTCTCAGGGCATGAAAACCTGAGTGACGGTAATGAGGGCGTCCTAGGGAACCAGCCTGGCCTTCAAAGCTTTGGGAGGTCCCCTCTTCCCTTCTGTTACAGCGTGCACCCCCCGGCCACCTCCCCTCACCTCCTGTCCTGGGCTGGCTCCTGCTCCTCCCCATCTCCATACTTGCCCCACCTCGGCGGGCAGGGAGTGGGGTGAGAGAACCAGCATGGCGCCGGCAGGGAGAGGAAAAAGTGGAGCGGAAAAGTAAAAATCAAGACCAAGGAGGTGGGTGGGAACAATGTGGCCACCAACAGTTTCCTCCAAAGGTGAAGCCAGGGCTTGCTGTCCTGACCCCTTTTTGGCTCAGTCCGTACTGATTGCATGGTAATAAGATGCCTGATCTCAACAGGACCAGCCCAAACGGAGGGGAGGAAAATGCCATAGGACGTGTCCTTGTGACACAGTGAAATAGGCTGCATGCGGCTTCGAAGGCGGATGTCCACAGAGCTGCTTGCCAGTGATAAGCTGTGGGCAGGGCCTCTGTACTGTGAATTGTAAAGCTGAAATTTCATCTGCCTCTTCTTTCTATCTTTCCCTACCTCACCTCCCTCCATTTAAAACTTTCTGGCTCTTTTTTTTTTTTTTTTTGATCAAAACCAAATGTGATCGTAATGATCAGCTCATATCTGTCCCCAGACCAAGTTAGGCTCCTTGACCTCGTAAACAGAAGTAGAACATTTCCAACCTCTGAGGTCATAGTTCTGTTATGTTCAGCCTGGGTCAGGTGCTTGCTGAAATGCCACTTCGCCCGCTCAGGGTAACCAGAGGCATTCAAGGCTGGCCTGTAGAGTGGGACTGAAAAGTCAGAATTGTTTTCGCTGGAGGAGGTTAACTTTTGGTTCCTTACTCACGGTTGTCTTTAAATACAGGCCGAGTACTTGGTCGGAAGGAAAGGGGAGGAGAAAATGGTGTGACTGGGTGAGTGTGTGTGTGTGTGTGTGTGTGTGTGTGTGTTAGTTGCTCAGTCATGTCTGACTCTTTGCGACCCCATGGACTGTAACCTTCCACCAGGCTCCTCTGTCCCTGGGATTCTCCAGGCAAGAATACTGGAGTGGGTTGCCATTTCCTTCTTCAAGGGGTCTTCCTGACCCAGGAATCAAACCTGGGTCTCACACATTGTGGGCAGATTCTTTAGACTGAGCCACCAAGGTGACAGGGTGAATAAGCCATCAGAGTCTATCCGTAAGCATCTTGCGAGGATTGAGTGATCAGTTTCCTGGTTCTCCCCCAGCCCCATCTCCTGAGATTGTTGAAAGTGTAGTGGTTAAGAATTCAGAAGGAGCTGGTGCCCTTTTCTGAATGAAAAGTTTTCCCAGGCAAAACGACTTACTAATCTTATAGAAATGGATCCTGTGAATGGGAAGATTTCCACTCCAAAAAAGAACTATTGAAATGTTTTGGCACCAGGAGGGTAGTCTGAAAGCTATGATGAGTTTATACCAGTTTCATTCAACTGTTATTATAATTACTGCTACCACTAATAGTCTATTAAATGAAAAGTTACTTGGCCATCTTTTCATCTCTGTAGGGCTTGATGATTAAAAAAACAGACCATTTGTATTCTAGTCGCTTGCAAAGGATTCAGGGGGACAGGCTACCCAACTACCAAGGGGAAGCATAACATGTTAACTAGGGAGGTGAGCACGCCTGGGTGGACCACCTGTATCCTCAAGTTGAATAGCCCGATTACAAAGACACGGCCTTGGGCCAGCTCTTGAGCTCTGCGTTTGAACTCTTGTCAACACCAAGTTTATTCATGTTCTCAAAGCCTGGCGGGTTTACTATTGTCAGCTCCTCTTGGGGTGTCTAGAACAAAGCCGGCAACACGTTTCAAGTGAATCTGGGCTCACGGATACAACCGAAAGTGTTCTTTTTGAAACGTGGAATTTGAGATCATTTTAGCCTATGCTTAAAGAAAGTGTAAAATGGAAGGGGGGTTTGATTTTGTTCCTTTTTAGAAGGAGAGATAATAAATGGGATGGCTCATCTGTAGACTTGGTCCTTTTAAGTCGGGGCCCTAAAAAGTTGTTTTCTAGCCACTGTTCTTTCCCATAACAAGCATTTTTGAGCCTACTGTGTGCATAGCATTATCAGGGTGTTAGTAACGCAGCTGATGCTTTTAAAAAGCTTTTCAAAAGAATCCTTTGGGTTTGGACTTTGGGCAAATGCTCTCAGAGCCCAAATGGCAGGCTCCTTGGCTAGCTCTTTACTTCATTTAGAACTGTTGCTTTTTTCTTCATGTCAACATAAGCGTGAAAGCACTGGTTTTTGCACAAGTCGTTGAAATCTGTAACTGTGTGATTTCTTCCCCAATTACTAGAAAATCCACCCAGAGAGAACACCTTCAGAGAAATTGTTAGCCGTGAAGGAGTTTGAGTCACGTAAGTCTGTCTGTGACTGGCTGAGGAATTATTTCAGCCACACATTTTCTGCGGATTAGACAGGATTGAAAGAAGGAAGGGATAGCTGGGTTCTTCGTGGTGATGGGGATTTTATAGTTATCAGTTTTTATTTTGACTTGTATGCTGTTTTGAAAAATGGACAATAACTCTCCCCTCCCCCCCCACCCCAGTTGACAGGATTGCTAGGAAATAATTAAGGGGAAGTGGGAACTTGCAGGATGAATTATTACATCCTGATCTATCTCCTGCTGGCTCTCCTGGCATGTTGAATATTTTTTGGATCTTTGCTGAATTGCAGTCCTGTACACAGCTGGTGTCCTTACTGAGAGGCGTTAAATCAGGGGCTGTCCACTTTTTCCATCATCACACAGACTCCTGGGCCAACTGGGGGACCCTTGACTAGACCAAGGCTGGTTATCAGTCACTGCCACTCATTCCTGACTTCATCATTAACAGCCAGTTGGAATTCCCTGTCTGAGTGACTTCCATTTGTCGGAGGAAGACAAGGCAGAAATGGCATATGCTCTTTTTGCCCTAGGGTTTATCAGTTAGACCAAAGGAGGAGGGATACTATTTCCTGGGGGCTCCATGTTTTTTTTTCTTTCTCTTTATGCCATTGATAACACTGGAAGAATGTATAGCTAGAGATCCAGAGTTTTCTCCCTGCTGAATAATGGTTTGTTTATCCATAGATCTGGATAAATTAGACAATGAGAAGAGGGATTTGATTCAGAGTGACATCGCTGCTCTCCATCACTTTTACTCCAAGCACCTTGAGTTCCCCGACAACGACAGCCTAGTAGTGCTCTTTGCCCAGGTAAGCGTGCGAGTGTCCGGTGACACTTAGTTTAGCCTTCCCCTGCCAGCATCCCTCTCTCGGCACATAGTTGGTGAAGATGAATGAAAGCAGAATGATGGTGTCTCCCTGATTCAGTTCTTGATCTCTTGGTCCATGTTTTGCCTAAGCTTGCTAGGTGACCTTGAGCAGATCAGGGTCCTGTCTGTGCTAGCCCTCATTGATGGTGGAGCAAGGAAATCCACCCTCGCTGTGCCTCCTGCTGCAGAAAGAGTTTATGAAAACAGAGTTCCCAGTGCCCCAGTGCCAGGACTGGGGCAGACTGGAATGTCTTTGGATAGAAAAGATCATTTGAGATTCCGACATTCAGTTTTATTCTTCTCTTAAACCTTTCCTTCTGACAGTAGTGGGTTGTGTTTTTGTTTTTTTTCTTTACTCTTTTTTTTTTTCACTCTTACCAGCACTGTGTTGATAAAGCAGAGGCAAACACAGATGGCCAGGAAGAACAGACATCACAGAGAGGAGTATGAGTGGGTCTAGGCACAGTAAGTCTTTCCCGACGATTGCTAAGTAATCCTGTTTAGACTGGAAGCCTAGGTTTACCAAAATCAGATAGGATTAAAAAAAAAAATTAGACTTCTAGACAAAAGCAACTTAAAGGCGCTAAGGAACTGATGACCAGCGTTTTGGAAAGGCTGAGGCTTGGCTGGACACGGCCAGGACAGGAGAAGACAGTCCGGTCAGCACCCTTTGACTGGACGCCGTCTGGCCGCATCCTTCCTCCTGTTACTGTGAGAGTGGCTCCTCCTGGCATGACTTACCAGATCGGATTTCTCTCCCTGACATACCCTTCTGTTTTCCCCTACAAGCCGAATGTGTAGTTGAAGGTGACCTTTGCAGAGGGAGAAATACTGGAATACTGTTCTGTGGGCACAAGTCACTACATTCCCCTGCCTTCAGTGTCTAGACGGGAAAAAAAGCTCGGGTGGATACTTAAACACTGTTGGCTTAGAATAGAGTAAGCGTCACCTAGGTACTCTTTGCGTCACTAGTTCCATTTTTAGGAATCTATCCTAAGGAAGTAGTCAGAGATTATGGACAGAAATTGACATGCAAATTGTTTACTGTGTGGTTCTTTTTAAAACCATGAAAACAGAAACGGGAAAAAAGAAAAGGAAATGCATGTTATAAATGGTCAGCAGTAGTCATTTGGTAAATTATGGCTTAGATTTTCGATGAAAGTTTATGTAGCCTTTATAAATTATATTTCAAAGAGCAAAGATGTGTAAAACGCTGATGACATAACATCAAGTGTAAAAGCAGGGACAAAATGTGTAATATGAAAATTTACTTCCTGGAAGTTCATCATTAGTTATCTCATGAGTCATGGAAAATTTTTACTTTTTTGGGGGTGATTTTTCTGGATTATGTACAGTGAGTATGTGTAACTTTAAGAACATACTAAACAGAAAAAAAGATGAAAAGCACCCATAGTTCTCCCACTTTAAAATCGCTCCTGTAAAGAAAGAGGTGAGTCTTCACCACTTCACTGACCTACTTCATCCTCCCGTGAGAACCACTGTGAACAGTTTGATGAGTTCCTTGATAGGACTTTATTTTTATGTGGCTATATTTCTGTTATGTGACTGTCGTAATCAGAAAAAAAATGCTGTTCTCAGTGAAAGAAAAATGGGTTCAAGTCATGAGTGTTAAATTAGACATAATGAAAAACCTTCCTGATTTCATTATATTATCCTGGGATTACAGCATATTTCCCTACCCATTCTAAGGCAATGGATTTGGGTAACAGTACACAGTGGAGAAATTGACTTCTCTTACTACATTTATAGAAAACTTGGATACATGACTTTTCTGGATTAGATGAGGCATGGTTTTTTGAGAAAGCAAGAGAGATGAAGTAAACATAAGGTATCTTTTCACTGCTGGCAGCAGAGAAGTGCATGCTGATGGGCCTTCTCGATGTTGACATAGTGGATATGGGACCACATTTACCAAAAATCAAGGCACATGATGTCACAAATCAGTTCAGTTCAGTTCACTCTCAGTCATGTCTGACTCTCTGCGATCCCATGGACTGCAGCATGCCAGGCTTCCCTGTCCATCACCAACTCCCAGAGCTTGCTCAAACTCATGTCTGTCGAGTCAGTAATGCCATCCAACCATCTCATCCTCTGTCGTCCCCTTCTCCTCCTGCCTTCAATCTGTCCCACCATCAGGGTCTTTTCCAAGGAGTCAGTTCTTTGCATCAGGTGGCCAAAGTATTGAAGTTTCAGCTTCAGCATCAGTCCTTCCAATGAATATTCAGGACTAATTTCCTTTAGGATGGACTGGTTGGATCTCCTTGCAGTCCAACGGACTTAAGAATCTTCTCCAGCACCACAGTTCAAAAGCATCAATTCGTCGGCGTTCAGCCTTCTTTACGGTTCAACTCTCATATCCATACATGGCTGCTGGAAAAACCATAGTTTTGACTAGACAGACCTTTGTTGTCACAAATAGAAGTGTTATGTTTGTGCTGGAAGTGACTCAGAGTCCTTGAAATTTGGACTGACTCAGAGTATCCAGGAGATAGATACACACACACACACACACACACACACACACACACACACATATGTAAATATATAGGTAGTTAGTTTTTTCAAAGACTTTATATTAATCGATATAATTAATGGAGATATAATTCCCTGGAGAAGGGAAAGACTACCCACTTCAGTATTCTGGCCTGGAGAATTCCATGAAGTGTATAGTCCATGGGATCACAAAGAGTCAGAGACGACTGAGCAACTTTGACTTTCATATTAATCAAATCATAATATCCACTCTGAGGCGGTGTGCGTACACACCAATGTACATACACACGCACATTCATGTCTCTTCTCACATATAAATTTGCAAGGGGACGTTCAGTATCCCCAAAGAAAACTCTGAAGCGCAAGTGGAAAGCGCCGTCCCAGCCCCGGCCCCTCTGGCCCTGCTGCTCAGCCCCCAGCTGCACGTCCGCCCCTCCAGCCTCCTGCACGAACCTTTCCTCTCTGGTTCGTGGGAGGCTGTTGTGGGTTAACTCGTGGCCCGGCAGCAGCTGGCAGCAGAAGGTGACTGCACTCCTTCGGCAGCGCCGAGGTGCATTTTAATCACCGGGAGCATATGCATGGTTGGGAAATGTATTTTTGGTGTGCAGCCTACATCTAGTCTAAATGCTAATTATGAGAATAACTTCAGCAAGGCACTTCCGCCTGATTTGACTCAGGAAAAAAAAAAAGGATGATGGCCTATGCATCTTTCTTAACAGGCAAGTTCACTTTTCTTCCCTAGGGATATTTCAGAAGGGAGGGAAAGCTGGCAGGCAAATTGCTAGGCGATTAGGCTTAAACATCACCGCCAGCTCCCCGAGAGGAACAGTGATGACACTTACACGTGCAGGAGTCTTTCTCTGCGGTGAAGAAACGCACTCTCCCTCACAGTAAGAGGACAGGAGAGAGGGAATAAAGGGACCAGTGGGCGTGTAACATTCAAGCCTGAAGGAATTTGGAATTACAGACAGTCCTTGTAGAGGAAGAGATTACAAAGCAAAGGAGAATGTCTCGTACCCTCACCCCTCAGAGCTAGTCAGGAGCTGCCGGTCCCGAGGTCCATCGTGAAAATTGCTAAATGCTCCCACGCCTTCTCCCAGTTGGCAGAATTTGTTGTTGTCCTGTGGGAACCAGACACTGCTGAGGCTTGTTAGTATCCCAATCCAAGACTGGGTATAGATTCCTCAGTACCTAGTTGGATGCAGGACGCATAGTTCGGGCTTCAGTAAATTTTGTTGAATGAATGAAAATCCTAATTTACTCTTAACCCGATGTTGGTTGACGGTCCCTGGTGAATGATAGTTGGTGAATTTCCCAATGACAGAAGAGGTTAGAGTATCTCAGGCTAGCACAAAAAATAGTATGCTGTGTCTTCTACATAAAAATGCCCGATACCTCAGGATTCCAAAGACTGTATATTGTTTTACTCACTACAGTCGTCTGTTTTTGTGTTGAAAATTGAAAATTGTAAATATGATTGTAAATGTATCGAATGGTAAAAGCTGTAAGTCAAACCCATCGGAGCCTTTACTTCTCTATGTACCAAAATTTCCAAGCCTTTGACACTGGCCCTTCGCTTTTAAGTAAAATTGCAACCAGAAGAATCAGAGATCAGAACAATTTTAGAAGAAGCATGGTATAGTGAAAAGAAACACTTGTGTTTCTGACAGCTTTGCTATCAGAATGCCTAGTTTGAATTTTGACTCCTTTTATGCCACTTGCTACTTATATGGCCTTGAATCACTTAATCATTGACCTCCCTGGGCCTCAATTTCCCCATCTGTAAAATGGGATAGTGTTGAAGATTTAAGAGAGGATCAGCGTGCAGCACCCAGCCCAGTGCCTAGCCTGGACTAAGCGCTCAGCAGGTACTGTTTCAAAAAGCTCGTCCATTGGCCCAAAATGCAGCCGTGCTGTGTGTCTGGTGGGGAAGGGCCTGACTACAGCTCCCGGGGTAGAATCATTCAGCCCGCACACTTCACAGACAGCCTCATAGCAGCATAGGAGGAGCCAGGCTCTCAGCCTTTGCTGCTGGCTTTGGTCGGGACACTGCCCTTCTCTGACCTTAGTTTGATCGTCTGAGAAGTAAAGAGACGGAGTGCCCTTCCAGCTGTGAAGTTGTAGGTCCAAATGAAAAACCCTCACCGGAGTTGTCTCCCAGTCGCCTGGGTGTTCCTGGAGGGTGCAGATTTGGTCTGGTCTTCCTTCTCTGCAGAGCGCCCAGCATATACGGTTTCCTCGGTGAATGTGCAAAGAGTGAGTTTATGGAACAGCCTAAAACTGGAGATGCATAGTGTTCATCTTCAGCCCGCCAGCTCTAAGCTTGACTTCTAGGATGCTGAGAGCTGCCCTTGGTGATTTTCAGGGTAATACTTCTTGCCACAGGTGAGCAGGTGGGCCAGTGGTTGATGTGTCTGAGGCAGGAAGGCACCTTCGCAGCTCTATGGATTCAGGGTCTTGGTCCGCCTGCCTCTCAAGGGGATGGACAGCAGTTAGACTAGCTGTGTAAAGCCTTTCAGATTTACCACCTCACCTTATAAGCGAGGTACAAGATTCAGTGGCTTCTTTTTTTTTAGCAGAAGAAAACCACATCGAAGGGACACAGTGATGGGTTCAAGATCCCACACCAGATCTGGGACATAACTGGGGTTAGAGTGCAGATGTCCTGACTCCCATGCAGGTCTGCAGGCTTGAGTCCTTAGAACCTGAGTGGCGCTTTGTGACCTTCAGCCACCGTGGGCAGGTGGGCTGGACTAGATGCTTCAGACTTGACAGTTCAGCTGGTATCTGTTTACACATGAGACCGATCGGTAAGTAGGGTCTGAATGTAGGATACCTTGTTCAAAAGAAAGGTGTTCCAATCACTAAACCAAACATCTTCCCAGCTCAATTTGTTAACAGTCAAAACTAAAGAGGTGATTTCTATCCGGAAAGATGCTTTAGCTCATTTTTCCCCTTTCTCTCTCTCCCCTTTCTCACCGCAGGTTAACTGTAATGGCTTCACAATCGAAGATGAAGAACTTTCTCATTTGGGATCAGCAATATTTCCTGAGTAGGCTGAGTGTGACTTCATCTTTCCCTTTTACTTATTTAACACTGAATTCTTTTTTTTTTTAATTTTCAATAACCTTCCTAACTGCATGTGGCAGACATGAAACTCTGAGTGAATTAAATCCCCTTTTTAATTCTGCCAGATTTAAAAATATTTCCCCTGCATTTAAGGATCTGAAGGTAGTAGTTAAGAGAACAGTTGCTTGTTAAGTCCTGCTAGGTAGAGAGCTGTTATTAAAGAATATTTCAGAGTGTGCACAGAAGGAACAACCCAGGCCCTGCTGGGAAATGTGCTTTTTTGCATAGCTGTGGTTCTGGAAATCTTTGGGTTTCTTTCACTCAAAGGAAAACATTAATTGCCAGGAATTGACTGTAGATATACGTAGAGACTATATAAGCTTCTTCCCCATCTGTCCTTTTTGAAATAAACCAGTATAGAAACAGCACCTTTTGGAAGGACAGTATGCTCAAGTAGTGAACTAGGGATAAATTTCAAGACCTAGAGGATTTTTCTTAACCTCAGGAATATACAAGTAATTCAAGAAAGGCCAGTCAGTTGACCAGTGGAGATCGTTATAGCTCTGACTTTAACGTTACAGCTCGGCCAGGCATGGCTTTGCCGTTATCTGTTTAATGGACAGGGTAGTCTCCCAATACCTCAGTGCCAAACATCAAGCCCTGGCTTCACAGATGGAGCAAAGGAGCCCTTCCAGCACCTCCTATCTGAGCCCATCCACGCTGGAGATTAGTTTGGTCTAGAGTGATGTCGCTTAATATAAACTACAGGCACCTCTGTCTCTAGGTTGGAGCAGTTGCCGGAAACCCTTAACACCCGTGTGTTGGCCATGGATGGCACTTGAAGCCTGCACGTCTATTGCCGCCCGGCTCTGGCATCATATGGGTCCAAAAGAGAAAGTTCTGTTCAGGTGTTATGTCTCTTGAGAAGCTACACAGGCTTTCTTGAACCAGAGAAACAGTGTATTCCTGCCATATTACTGTTTCCATGGCCAAAATTGTCTGCGTTTAGAAATTCCGACAGTGAGGGAAGAAATGGTTTCAGGATAGGTTCTTTAGGACTTTTACCCTTGAGAAAAGGAAGGAGAACTAGAGAAAGGTGACTAGACCTCTTTAGACGGCTTGCGTTGACTACTTCAGCCCTGAAATGAGCCCCAGGATGTCTCCTCTTGTATCTGAAAGAGCGAAGGCCAGGCTTAGCGTGGTGGTGTGTGAGGCTTCACCCCAGTGGCTGCCACGAGAACACAGCACCCAGAACATGAGTTAGGTCGGGTCTTCTGCCTTCGGGCAGCTCCCCTGCCTTCAAGAGAAAGATAGCCAGCGGTCTATTTTGAGCTCAGTTACTTAATACTTCTTCCCTGGTGGCTCAGAGGTAAAGAATCCACCTGCCAATGCAGGAGTTTGATCCCCGGGTCAGAAAGATCCCCTGGAAAAGGAAATGACAACCCAGTTCATTATTCTTGCCTGGGAAATCCCATGGACAGAGGAGCCCGGTGGCTGCAGTCCATGGGGTCGCAAAGAGTCGGACACAACTTAAGCGACTGAAACAACAACAACAGAGTGTTGAGAACAATGTCTGGTGTGTTTGTCTATCACATTTCCTAGGGCCTGATTCCCTGTGCGTGACTCTCCAGGAAGCCAGGTAGGCCAGGAAGTAGGGTGGAGACGACCCTTCCGGCAAAGACCGGAAACCCCTGCATGTCTGGCTCCAGGCCAGCCACACCCTTCACCGAGACTCTTAGCAGTGGCTTCCCCAGACACAGCAAGCTGGGGTACTCCTTCTGCCTCTTGTTTTTTTTAATATTCACGGAGCAAACAGGAGAAGGGGTTCTGGTCGTGGAAGGTTCAGGCAGGTGACCCCGGCCTCCAGAGCCACTATGCACGTGGATCTGAGTGCCCCTCTGAGTCCCAGTTTCCAGTTTTAATTGGAGGGGAAAAATTCCTTTTGCTGAGAATCGTATCAACATTGTGATTTCAAAGGCAGCGTTTTCAGAGATCAAGCACTCTTCCCCTGTAGTTTAGAAATTTCTGTTCTCAGAACTTTGACCTTGATAGAACCAGAAAGCTCAAAGCCCTCGCGTAGGCGACTGTCTGTCCCCACCGTCCCTTGTAAAGTGGCCCGCAAGCAGCAGGAGCGACCAGTGGCCCAATTTTCCGGATGAGGAAATGGAGGTTGCAGAGAGTCAAGCGGGCCCCTCGGGGTCTCTCGGGGGATCCCACACCCTCATTGGGAAGCCGGCGTCTCCCACGGTGGCGATTTCTCAACATCTGAAGACAGCATGTTAGAAATCATCCTCTGATATAAAACCTGCTTAGCAACGACAGCCCGTTTGTCTTGCACAGTGTCTGGTGGAGGAGCAGTTCACTGGGGGTGTTGAGCTTTGAGTCCTGCATCTAACAGGAAGGCATTTGTTGTTGTCACTCTTATGTGTTATTATTTTTTGCTTCGTTTTTGGCTTACCTATCACTCTTCTGCATTGCAGATTTCACTTTTCAGTATTGTTCAAATCTAAGATGTTAGATCTTGTTATCATCAATGCATGCAGAACAACCTCTTAGACTCTGATGGCCAGCTCTTGTTTTCTGTTTTTTTTTTAATGTCCTGCAAAGATGCAGTTTCCATAACATAGCAAGTAAGTGGCCAAGGAGTTACTGAACAGTCCATCTGCCTTCCTGAGAATGTTGGGTTTTCTCTTCTGATTGACAGTGTTGCACTGATGAATCATAGTTGTTGCCCCAATGTCATTGTGACCTACAAGGGGACCCTGGCAGAAGTCAGAGCTGTGCAGGAAATCCACCCGGGAGAGGAGGTGAGTGTGTGGCTGAGGGTGCCTGTGGCGGTGGGTACCGTCCTCGGGTCCTCCAGGATTCAGGATCAGACCTGTGGCGTGGAGTCCACACGTTCAGCTCCCATTTCGTGCTCACCATGTCCATGTCCACCAAACTGAGCGAGTGTTAGTTGCTCAGTCTGTCTGACTCTTGCAATCCCATGGACTGTAGCCCACCAGGCTCCTCTGTCCATGGGATTCTCTACCAAGAATACTGGAGTCGGTTGCCATGCCCTTCTCCAAGGGATCTTCCCCACCCAGGGATTGAACCCACGTCTCTTACATCTCCTGCAATGGCAGGCGTGTTCTTTACCACTAGCACCACCTGGGAAGCTGTGGCCAAGAAAATAAAAAAACCAAGGAAGATGAAATTCGAATAAAGTTCCTCACAAAGATTTACAGAGATTTATAGAGAAACGAGATTGCCAAAATGACTAAGATGAAACCTTAGAGGCTATGAGTTTCCACTACCAAATAAAGGAGTTTACTTTTGATTCGTGAATTTCGGCCTGTTTTTCTTCCCCCCAAAGAGGAAAGCAAGCAGCAGCAGCTAACACGTCACAGCTCCAGATGACACATGGCGCGTTCACATCGCACCCCGGGCTTACCTGCACTTGGGCCAGCTCCCTTCCTGGGGATGGAATTCAGGCGGCCAGAGGTGCACACTGGTGCATGGGGAGAGGCGGTCTGTGGCCCTGGCCACCACGAGCTTCCCTCCCCAGCCTCCGGGCAGGGGGCGAGCCCGCACAGCGATTCCCTTCTCCCATCCTGTGCCGTGTGGTTCACGACCACCGTGTCAGGCGTCTCCCCTTGAGAACGCTGACCAGCCCTTGCTAGACGTGTGTTATGCGTTCTTAAAATAAATCCTGATGTCCACAGCAAGACACTTGAATTTTTAGGCAATGTAATCCCCTTAAATACATTTCATTTTAAGTAATCTGGGTTGGGAAGATCCCCTGGAGAAGGCAATGGCAACCCACTCCAGTATTCTTGCCTGGAGAATTCCATGGACCCGGGAGCCTGGCTGGGCCACAGTCCGTGGGGTCGCAAAGAAATGGACACGACTGAGCAACTAACACTACTGTTGTTTTTTAAAGTTATATGTCTGGATATTTAGAATCTTTTCAATATGATGATTAGCGTGGCAAAATGATCAAAGCCTCCATTTCTCTGGATGGGGTTCAAAAAGCCACAGCCAAACTGGGACCCCAGGCCCCATGTACAGATCAGACTTGCCGTCTTGTGTGAAATGCATCCTGCAGGGGGCACCCTGTTAGGGAGCAGGGTGTCTCGGTTTCTGAATGTCTTGTGGAGGCTGCCCCAGCGCCTCCTGTTAAAACAGTGGACGCCTGTCAGCCAGAACCCCAGTCCCCAGGCCCCCGGCTCGTGAACTGCCTGGAGCACATTGTCACCTGCCCTGGCTGTGTCTGGACCACGCGCGGTGATGCTGAGCGGCCTCTGTCGCCCTCTGCTGGGCCGTCTGTCTGTTGCACCCCGTGCCCATCAGTCATTTGGAAGCGCCGAGGTGGGCTCTGGCCACCGGCAGCACAGGGCTCCTTCCTGTGGTTTGGCCCTCCTGCTGTCACACACAAATTCAGCCTCCGCCTTTGGGGGGAAGCTGCTGCTTTGGGGGTGACCTGCCCTTCGAAGGGGAGGAAGCTATTTATTTCCTGGGGTGTCAGATGAGCCACAGGGCCTCTGTTTCTGCGCTCTGGGCTGGGGGGAGCTCGGGGCACCTGTGTGCACCCAGCCTGCGCGGGTCCCCCGCCCCGGCCTGCCTGCCAGCGCCCGAGGTGACTGGTACAGTGACTCTCTGGGACACCCATCTGTTCCGTCAGACGTCTGCCTGATGGTGTGGGAGGAGCCGCCAGTGCCGTCCTGGGGAGTAGATAATGGGCAGTTAAATGCCGGCCTCCTCCGTATGCTCCAGGTCTGTTACAGACTGTTGGGAAAAAGCAAGGACAGAATGACTTGATGAGCCCAAATGTACGACTTTTCCAGGTTTTCTGACCCGGCTGGGAAAGGCGGCAGCGGGCTGGTGGCCTAGGAGCTGTGTCCTCCTGCACTGACCAGTCCCGGCCTGCTGAGCCAACTTCCTGCTCCATCACCAGCTGATGGCAGGATAAAGGGAAACGTGTGTGTGTGTGTGTGTGTGTGTGTGTGTGTGTGGTGTGTCCACATATGCGTGTTCATGCTCCCCCGCCACCCACCCAACAGTGCATGTGAGCCATCCCAGGTTGTAAGATAAAAAACGCCTAACAAAGGCCAAGAGGACACAGCGCAGGACCCATCCCAAGGCTGATCAGACTCTTTGCTGATGGTGGCCTTTGCTTCTGTACCCGAGACAAGGGCATCTGCTACTGGGCCAGAGCCCAGCTCACTCTCTGCGAGGAAGGAGGCAGGGCTGCTCTGAACCCTCCAACTCACCACTTCAGGGACCCTTTGATTCTGTAAGAGGAGGCAGACACTGGTGGTGGCAGTTTGGGAGTTCGGTGTGTTACAGGGTGAAGACTGTGCTGAGCTGTGGCCCGGCTCACAGTCACCATCAGGAGTGTTTGCAGAGCCAAACAGGGAGGACGCGGTGTGAGCTGGCCTGAAGCAAACAGGCCTTCAGATCCCCTTAGGTTTTTATCGGGCTTCTCTGGTGTCTCAGATGATAAAGAATCTGCCTGCAATGCAGGAGACCGGCATTCAATCCCTGGGTCCTGGAGAAGGAAATGGCAACCCACTCCAGTGTTCCTGCCTGAAGAATTCCATGGACAGGGGAGCCTGGTGGGCAGCAGTTCTTGGGGTTGCAAAGAGTCCGGACATGACTGAGCAACTAGTGCTTTCACTGTTTCACTTTAGGTTTTTACCAGCTACATTGACCTCCTGTACCCAACAGAAGATAGGAATGACCGGTTAAGAGATTCTTATTTCTTCACCTGTGAATGCCAGGAGTGTACCACCAAAGACAAGGTCAGCACCTTCTCCCAGCACAGATGCTGACTCGACTGTCTCTCAGGACCTTTCTGCCAAGCGAGTAACCCTGCCTGAGTTGGGCGTCTCCTCCTGTTGTGTTTTTGAGCCTTTAAACCTGCTTTACTAGCATAGCCCAAGGGGATCTAGTCAGACCAGGTCTCTGTTCCAACTTGATTCTCAGAGCCGATGAAAACATTTCCATCACATTGTACAAATAAGAGGAGGATTTGCCAGAATGCAATTTCTTTAAAAGAAACGGCTGCTCCAAAGAGAGGGAAGGGAGAAAGATGGGTAGAGTGGTCCACCCACGAGGAGATGGACAGCGTTCTCCAGCTTTCCCACCTCTTCACCAGACTCCACAGAATTTTCTCGGACATCACCCAGATTATCTTGTCAGTGCCATCCCTCCTTATTCTATTCTCTTCATAGATGTGTGAACAGACATATCTGCCGACAATAAATATATCAAGGCAGGTGTCCTGCCTCGATAAGGAGCACCTCCAAAATGAATAGTTTTGTCTTTCTGTGAGCATTCCCTTTCATTCTTTCGTAACCTTAGAAGGGGCAAGCCTGTACCTCTGCGTGGGAAAATGTGCTATTTGAGAGATTTGCACAGCAGGATGGTTTCCATGGGAAGTAACCTGTGGACATTTCCCTCAGGATAAGGCCAAGGTGGAAATCCGGAAGCTCAACGACCCCCCGAAGGCAGAAACCATCCGCGACATGGTCAGATACGCGCGCAACGTCATTGAGGAGTTCCGGCGAGCCAAGCACTACAAATATATCCTTTGCGACCTTCCCCGTCTTACAGGGGGCCTTGGCGAGCTGGGCACCGGAACAGGGGCAGGGTGGGTTTCTGAGCGTTGAAGGCAGGACGTTTCCTACCAAAGGATGGCCAGGGTGAAGACTTAACTGGCCGTCCACGACCTGTAGTCAACTACGTCAGTGTTTCGTAATGTTGCCCTCATCTTATTTCTCTTTGTTGGACTAGTTTGCTCAGGAGCTCATCCTGGTGGAAGGCTTTTATTTTCTAAAAGTGGAGAACAGTTCCTTGAAGACCTCACTGATTGGGTATCTTCCTTTGGGCAAGGCACCTCACTGAGGGTTTTTCTGTGTAACAGGTGGAAACAGGCTTATAGGTAGCAGGTTGTTTGCCCAGGGCACACCGTTCTGCAGGGCATGTCTAGGGTTTTGCCCCAGGTTTGCCAGCACAATCCATATTCTTAACCACTATATTATAGCGTTTTCTTGGGTTACGTTTGTACTGAAGAAAGAAAATCAGTGAAAGGAAATTAAAGAAAGGCACTTTTTTTTCCCCCCCTGAGCGTAAGAAAGAACTTTCCCATGTTGGAGAAAGCTTCCTTAAGAGCTTTAGTGAAAGTTCCCAGCTTGGGTGAGGATTTAGATTTAACCAGAAGATTGAAGATTTCTTTTTATTCTAAACATTGTTCACAGCTGAAGGAAGGCTGTGTTCCCTGGGGCTAAAATTCTTTAGTTGTGTTTAACAGCTGAGGTCTTCCATTTTTCCTAGTTGTTTTTCCTTCCAGAAAAATATATGAGTCCTTTCACTTGCTCGGTTTTCCGTAATTTACTTTTTCAGAAGGTGTAGAATCCCAGGGACGGGGGAGCCTGGTGGGCTGCTGTCTCTGGGGTTGCACAGAGTCGGGCACGACTGAAGTGACTTAGCAGCAGCAGCGGCAGCTGGGGGTGGACAAAATAGGAACTCCTTGCCCCATTTCTGCGGCCCCACCCTCGCCCCCGCCCCCGCCCCCGCCCCCGCCCCCGCCCCCGCCCCCGCCCTTGGGAAGCCGCCTCGCCGAACTGCCAGGCCTGTCGGTTCCTTGACTCCACAGCACCCCCTAGTGAGCTTCTGGAGATCTGCGAGCTCAGCCAGGAGAAGATGAGCTGCGTGTTCGAGGACAGTAACGTGTACATGCTGCACATGATGTACCAGGCCATGGGCGTCTGCTTGTACATGCAGGACTGGGAGGGAGCCCTGCGGTACGGACAGAAAATCATCCAGCCCTACAGGTGATTGCACTGGCTCTTGGCATCAGCGTAGCTCGGGGTAGAACTGGGTGGTTTGGAACGCGTCAGTGGCCGTTCTCTCTTCACGCTCTCACGTTGGAGCGGGCCAGGAGCAGCTTTCTCTCCTCTCCTTGACATCTGCTGGTGCAGGCTCTGGGTGCTTCCCCTGAGCCCAGCCTGAGCCCTTCACCACCTGGAAGAGCCACCCAGGGAGGTGACACCGAGTGGGGGGCGGGGGGGAGGGCTGGGGCAGGAACCCTCCGAGGACCGTCCTGGGCGCTCTGTTCATTGGAGTTAATTTAGACCAGTGTGAAAAAGCCACCAGTTGGTTTCTTTTTCTTGCTGTGCCTTTTAAGTTAAATGGCCCTGAGTAATTGGTTAGCGGTGGTCTCAGAAACGCTTTTTTTCCATATCCTTCTTTTGCTTTTTGTAAAGTGCAGCCTCAGTTTGCACCAGCTTCCCTGGTGGCTCAGATGGTACAAGAATCTGCCTGCAATGTGGGAGACCTGGGTTCATCCCCTGGATTGGGAAGATCCCCTGGAGAAGGGCATGGCAACCCACTCCAGCATTGTTGCCTAGAGAATGCCAAGGACAGGGGAGCCTGGCAGGCTATACAGTCCATGGGGTTGCAAAGAGTCGGACACAACTGAGCGACTTTCACTCACTCACTCAGTTTGCAAATGAGGAAACTCTGGGACTGCTGGTTGCAGTTATTTAATATTCTCCCGTAGATTTGATTAAAGTAAGTTGGATTTTAACCTGTAGTAATAATGAATGTTAATCATGGGGAGGTTTCCTGTCGAGAGGGTTAGTAAGCCTTAAAGTGGATGACAGGAGGCGGCTCTGACTAGCTGCTTCAGGGCCGGGCTGACCTAGATCAGATCACCGGGGTGCTTGTTAAACACATTTATGTTAAACTTCACAGAGTCTCTTCAAGACCAAGCGGCTTCGGGTCTCTTGGCATCGCACCTGAAATCTCTTGTGTGTCAGAGGCACCCTGGTGCTTTTGCTTAGCCCTCAGTACTCCTTCAAGTTGTAAGATCGGGGCTGTAACTCTGTCTGATCTGAATCTCCACTGCCCACTTGGCCCTCCACTTACCCCACAGTGCCCTGATGAGCCAGCAGGGGGAGCCCACGGGGCAGCCAGCTCCTAAAATCTACTCCTGGAAACAGAATTTGATCCTGTGGGGATAATCTCACAGCCTGTCCTTCCTGAGATGGGTGAGAAAGTCCATGCACACTTCCCCCTGTGAGATCTGTAGGAGGAGAGAAAACCTGCGTGAATCATGGCCTTGTGGTTGCTCTCCCAGCAGGGCTTGACATGCTCCGCCCTCCGTTAGCTTAGGGGAGCCCCTCTGGGAGGCCCAGCCCTGCCTTCCCTGGGTCACTGTGCCACGCTTAGTGGCTCAGTCGTGTCTGACTCTCTGCACCTCCATGGACTGCAGCCCACCAGGCTCCTCTGTCCATGGAATTCTCTAGGCAAGAATACTGGAGTGGGTTGCCATTCCTTCTCCAGGGGATCTTCCCGACCCAGGAGTCCAACCAGGGTCTCCTGCATTGCAGGCAGATTCTTCACCAGCTGAGCTACCAGGGAAGAATTTGATACTGTGAGGATCCCCAGGGATTCCCCATGCCTGGGAATACAGTTGGAATGTGTCTGTGGACTTTGAGGACACAGCAGATAGCACAGACCAGCCTGTAAATGAACACCTCCAGCTCATACCTCTCCATCCCCAAAAGCCTCCTGGGCTCTCTTCACAGGGGGATGGCTCTTTCCTAGGCAAGACCCATCAGTCAGCCTTCAGTTGAAACCAGAAAGAGAAGACCTCCTGTATACAAAGCCCTCTCTTGGGCAATGGAGAAAAGAAGTAGGAGGTTTGACTTTAGAGAGCTTATAATGTTGCTAAACCAAATGACATCATAGAGTGTGACAGAAAGCTGAGGTCTTGATTCACTGGTGTGTGTGTATCTTTAAGGATACTGTCTTTTTAACGTGAGGGCATATTCATAAAGAGGGAATTTACCTTTTTTTTTTTTTTTGCTGTGCTGGATCTTCATTGCAGTGTGCACTTTCTCTAGTTGTGGCATGCGGGTTCTCTAGTTGAGGTACACAAGCTTAGCTGCCCCAAAACATGTGGGATGTTACTTCCCTGACCAGGGATCAAACCTGTGTCCTATGTGTTGGAAGGTAGATTCCTAACCACTGGATCATCAAGGAAGTCCCAGGAATTTATTTTAAAAGATGTTTTCCCCAATGCCCTGCAGCAGATGCACCTAAAACAAAAATCTGAGGCCGGGATTGAATGTTGTGTTTATTCATGTCCTTATGTAGGATCTCCCCTGTAGGTTTTATGTGGTTTTTCAGAAGCACACACACTGCATTTTAAAAGGAAGTGCATCCACAATGAGTAGGCAGGGTTGAACCATCCATGTCTCCCACCCAGCACCTGCCAGGGTCTGGTGGAGCCTGGCTGCTGTGGACAGTGTGGCCATCAGCTGGGCAGCCCCGGGCTCACTGCATCTGGCCTGTGGACTCTCCGTGGCCATTACAAGGTGGCCTGTTGTCTTCTCTTCTTCCAGTAAGCACTACCCTCTGTACTCCCTCAACGTGGCCTCCATGTGGCTGAAGCTAGGAAGACTGTACATGGGCCTGGAGAAGAAAGCTGCTGGGGAGAGAGCCCTGAAGAAGGTGCGTGTGTGATGCAAGGCAGGGCTGCCCAGTGCCCTGCACGTCCCTTTCCTGCGGGACGCGGGTGACTGACAGAGTCACGGAGAATGACCAGCCCTTAGCCACCCTCCAGCCGTAGGAGTGGGCAAAGGTGGGTTTGCAGGCGGCAGGGGACGAAGTAATTACGCCTTTGGCAACTTTGCGTCCTGACCCTCCTGTTGAGAAAGGTATGTCCACATTGTGGCTACAGGCTCACGGCTGTGGAGAAGTGGGTACTGCCCCTGTCCCCTGGGAAGCCATGGCAGTGCTAAATATGACCATGCTAAGAGGCCAGCATTATTAAAATGTCTTTTCTGGTCCACTATAACAGATAAAAAGAAAAGAAAAAAAAGAGAAGGCCAAGGATAGGTCAGAAGACTGTGGTGAAGGAATTCTCCACATTTCTGCTCTTCAGGGTTTATAGATTCATGATGCCTAATTGTGGTGAAGTCAAGGCATTTGGGCCTGGAGAGGCCCTTAGTGTGGGAATTATGCTTTTGCAGTTTTTATAATGAACTTAATAATCATTGACAGTGCTCATTGAGTACGGTTACATGCCGGGACCTTCATGCGGGTTTTTTCTTTTAATTCTCAAAAAAAATGAGATAGTCTTTCCCAGTGAACAAATTGAGATTCAGGCAGGTTAAGTAATTTGTTGGGGGTACATGGTGAGGTTCTCATTCAAACCGGGGTTTTTCTGAGTTGAAAACTTCAGGTCCACCCACTCAGGCTGGGACTAACACACGGGGAGACCCAAGACCCTGGGCGCAGTGTCTGCTAGCTGCCCTGTGCCCAGTGGGTGAGGGCGCCGGGCCGTGCCCCTTACCTTACGGAAGCACAGTCACCATCCTGAGCATCGCTTCTCATTGCTCTTTCTATGGCGGCCAATAGCTGATGAAATACAATCTTTGGGACAGCCGTTCTTTATGGAGAAGCCAAAAGTTGATCAACTATAACCTTTGGGACAGTCTCTTTGTACCACTAAGAAAAACACCTTTGTAAAAGTTGTGGTCGTGGACTAGGCCTGGATGCCAAACCCTCCAGATTCCCCAAACCTCCCCCGTATACTATACGGGAAGAAGGAGTATGGTCCCACATGGTGGAAGGAAGTGCCAGGGCCAACCCAGCCTGGGCGTGGGAGTTAAAGATGAAATATTCTGTTTTTGAACCATGGAACTGGTTTTTCTAAGATGATGTTTATTGCCTCAGTGAGGTTGGAAGGACATTAACCAGTTAGGTCTCAGTTGCAGAGTAAGTACACTAATTGCAGATCCTTGAAGGATAGGGTGGATCTGAGGAACACGAGTCCGGACATGCGTGCAGGGGGTGAGGAGAGACATTTAAATCAGGTGATTCCTGAAGGCTTGCACTCCTGTTGGTTTGAGACCTAGGAAGAGAATAGTAGAACAGAAAGGAAGGCCGGTCAACAGTCACAAGCCGTCAAAAATTCCCTGTTTGAGGGAATGGGAATAATTTAAGTTTTTCTATTTGTGAGTAATACTTTTGAACACAGAAGAGCAAGATAAATTATTATGTATTACATGAGATATATAATTCCTATATGCCAGGCAGTGTTCTAAACACTTGATGTGTATCAATAACTCTGAGAGGGATGTATTGCTCCTGTTTTATTATTACAAATAGATGAGGAAACTGAGGCACAGAGTAGTTAAGTAAATTGCCCAAGGTCACACAGCTAGGAAGGATGGAGCCACTAGAAACTCTCTCATTTGAAAGAAACCTTATTAAATATATTCTTTCTGGATTCTTCATATGAAACTTGTGCCTATTTTTAAGTTTTTAAAGAATATATAAAAAGAGGTAAGCATACACTTTTCGAAAGGAAAAAATTATTTAGTCATGTCTTAACACATCAGTGATGTAAACTAAAACCAGAAAGGTTTGTCCCTAAATCATTTCTCTATCATTTCTTCAGATACTGAAGAATGTTTTCCTCGGCAGTAGAGACTGGGTGACTAGTTAGATATGAGACAATCTTGTCTTTTTCCTTTTTTTAAAAAAAAAGCTAGACTGGAGGAGAATACAGGCTCTGAAAGCCACTTTGAATCCTGCACCTTCAAGCGGAGAAGTCAGGCCTGAATTAAAGTCAGCCCAGGGGAGAGACGGGCACTGGCTTCAAACTCTCAACCCTGTTCCTCTCTCTCCTAGGCCATCGCCATCATGGAAGTAGCTCATGGCAAAGACCATCCGTACATTTCTGAGATCAAACAGGAAATTGAGAGCCACTGAAACTATGCTGACACTTTAGTTTTTATTTAAATCCTAGTGCAGAAACCTTCAAGGATTTGACTATTTCAAATCATTCACGTCACGCCAGCATTTCTGTAAACTCGCTGAATGAAATCATGACTTGCACTTAAACCTTACACGTGGCTTACTTGGACATGGGTCTTACTCTTTGACCTAAAATATAAAATTCATTTTTGAATGCTTTTTGTTTCCCCTAAGACGTCATGGCATGGTCTCATATATTGTACTTCGGACAGATCGTGTTTAAAACTGTATTTTTCCCTTCATGACGACTGTAATGTTCTGGACAAACATGAATGATAAAAGAGAATAAAAAAGATAATAGTAGTTGAAGTTTGTGTTTTCCTCTGTTGGGTGAAAGTGAAAGTCGCTCAGTCATGTTTGATTCTTTGCCACCCCATGGACTGTAGCCCACCAGGCTCCTCTGTGGGATTCTCCAGGCAAGAATACTGGAATGGGTTGCCATTCCCTCCACCAGGGGATCTTCCCGACCAAGAGATCGAGCCCAGGTCTCCCACCATTTCAGGCAGATTCTCTACCATAACGAAGGAAGCCGCCTCTGTTGGTTGGGGGAACATGAGAGACATCAATAGATGGACAAAGGTCCATCTAGTCAAAGCTATGGTTTTTTCCAGTAGTCATGTACCGATGTAAGAGTTGGACCATAAAGAAGGCTGAGCACTGAAAAATTGATGCTTTTGAACTGTGATGCTGGAGAAGACTCTTGAACATCCCTTGGACAGCAAGGAGATCAAACCAGTCAATCCCAAAGGAAATCAACCCTGAATATTCATTGGAAAGACTAATGCTGAAGCTGAAGCTCCAATACTTTGGCCACCTGCTGCAAAGAGCCGACTCATTGGAAAAGACCCTGATGCAGGGAAAGATTCAGGGCAGGAAGAGAGGAGGACAACAGTAGATGAGATGGTTGGATGACATCATTGATGCAACGGACATCATGAGTTTGAGCAAACTCCGGGAGATTGTGAAAGACAGGGAAGCCTGGTATGCTGCACTCCATGGGGTCACAAAGAGTCAGACAAGATTTAGTGACTGAACAACTAGTGTATTTTTCATTTCAGTTATTGTATTCTTCATCTCTGGTTTTCTTTGTTCTCTAATTTTTTGTTAAAAACTTGTAACTTCTTGCTCTGTGCATCCATTCTTCTCCCGAGTTCTTTACAGTCATTACTCTGAACGCTTTCTCTGGTAGATTGCCTTTCTCCACTTCACTTAGTTCTTCTGCCATCTTCGTCTTGTTCCTTTGTCTGGAACATCTTCCTGTACCACCTCATCTTGTCTGAATTGCTGTTTGTATTTTATGTGTATGGTAGCTTAGTTACGTTTCTCGACCTTGGAGAAGTGGCCCTCTGTAGGAGATGTCCTGTTTCCTAGCAGAACATTCCCCCTCTTGTTGCCCAAGCTGTATGCTCTAGGAGTTCCCCCTAAGAGGGCTGCATGTATCCTTTTGGGGGGCTATGTGGGTGGTCTGGTAAGTTTGGCCCCTAGTCTGGTTGGTTGCCATCCCTGCCTTGTATGGATGCTGCTGGCTGCTGGTTAGTGGGGCCTGGTCTTGAGGCAGCTGAATGCAGAACCTTTAGGGGCCTTGGGTTGGTGCTGGCTCACTGGTGGGCAGGGTCAGGGCCCAGAATATGCCAGGGCCGTTGCCTGCCCACTGGTGGCTGAAGCCAGGTGCTGGATTTAGTGCTGGCCTACTGGTAGGCAGAGCTGGGCCCTGGAGTTTGGTTACGGGGCTCAGAGAGCCCAGAGCTGTTGTCGGATTCCTGGCAGGGCTGGGGGAGACCCAGTTCCTGGGTCTGGCTACTGACACAGTTGGGTGTGGGTCTGGGGTGTCTTGAAGCTTGTGTTGCCCTGCTAGTGGGCAGTGCTAGGGACCAGCTGATTCCAGGGTAGGGTATGGCCTCTTTTGGGTGGACTCATTCCATTGCAAGATTGTGGTTTTCTTTGGTGTGGTGTCTACCCCCTGGTGAGTAAGACTGGTCTAGAGGCTAGAGCAGGGCTGGGGCCTGTCCACCGGCGGATGGAGGTGGGTGCTGGACTCCTGGTGGGCAGGGCTTGGTCTAAAGGTGTGTCGAGAGGTGGCTGTGGGCTCAGGAAGCTTCTAGGCAGCCTGTGTGCTAATGAATGAGGCTGTGTCACTCCCCAGTTAGCTGGTTGGCCCGAGGCAGTCCAGCGCTGGCCCCTACAGGCTGTTGCGTGGGGCCGAGTTTTGGCACTAATGAGCTGGAGGCAGGATCCCACGATGGCACCTGCTCCAATGTCCACGTGGTGGACTGCCCCTCGGTACAGCTGCCGCCAGTGTCCACATCCGCAGGATAAGCCACGGCCACCCCTGCCTCTCAAGACCTGCAGGTAGGTTTCGCCCAGGCTCCTATCAAATTGCTGCTTTTTGCTGGGTCCCAAAGTGCGAGAGGTTTTTCGTGCACCCTTTAAGAGTGAAGCCTCTGTTGCCCCCAGGCCTGTGTGGGGCTGCTGAAATTAAGCCCCATGAGCCTTCAAAGCCAAGTGCTCGGGGGGCTTATCTTCCTAGTGCAGGACCCCCAGGCAGGAGAGAACGATGGGGGCACTCAGACCCCTCACTCCTGTGGGAGAACCACTGCATTAGAGTTATTTTCCAGTTTGTGGGTCACCCCAGGACCCAGGGAGTGTGGGACTTGATTATGTCCTGAGTCTGCCCCTGCTACCCCCTCTCATTGTGGTTCCTTCTCGTGTCTTTCGTTGTAGAAGACCTTTGCTGGTGGGTTCCAGCTTGTTCATGAGTGGTGGTGCTGCAGACAGCTGTGATTTTTGGGGTGTTCATGAGGGGTGGGAGCTGAGGCTCTGTCCCACCATCTTGCAGGGATCTTCTATCAGCTTTTCTTTTCAAACACGACGTCATTTTTCTATTAAAGACGTATCATTGTCTTGTTGCCACGGTCAGCTTGTACGCAGCACGACCCGTGTGTTTACTGACGTTTGCTTGCACCTCCTGTCACCCCGTGTGGCGTACGGTGCCTTCCATCTTCATGATGTGAAACAGGCTGGGACGCCTCTGTGGGTGAATGACCTCTTGTACAGTGATGGGGCTGAAAAGTGGGCTAGTCGCTGAAGTGGTTATAGTGCCCTGTTACTCATCGAAGAGACATGGAAACAGTGTCCACCCTCCTCTCCAGGGGCTCCCCGTGAGAGTCTATGGCAGTTGATTGGCTGGCTGAAAATATGGGCCGGGGCTGTGCTCTGCCCTCGCTCAGTCGTGTCCGACCCTTTGTGACCCCATGGACTGTGGCCCGCCAGGCTCCTCTGTCCCTGGGATTCTCCAGGCAAGAGTACTGGAGGGGGTTGCCATGCCCTCCTCCAGGAGATCTTCCTGACCCAGGGATCGAATCCACGTCTCTTGCGTCTCCTGCATTTGCAGGCAGATTATTTACCACTGTGCCACCTGGGAAGCCATTTTTAAAGAGATGAGTCATGCTGTTGATAAACTTGAAAGACAAAAACAAGAGTTAGGGTTTTCTACAGCAGCCTCTGCCTATCTTTCTCGGTCTCGACAGACGGATCTGAATAAATGACAGTGGGGTGGGGACAGCACATTCTTGGCATTTAATAAGGGTTATCACTAGCTGTGAGAAAGCTCCATTTCTAGGTTCTTCACACTCCATTTACCTAGCAATTACCCCTTTCGTGTTTTGTTCTAACAATGATGACTTTGGGAAATTTCAAACTAATTCTTCAGCATGTTATACAGGAATGAAAAGTGGGTAGAAATAAATGGGCTTTAAAGAAGTTAAAAAGCAGGTTTTTCCCAGGCACATTTGCCTATGAAAATAATCCTAAAAGTAAGCAGATGCTTTCAACTAAGGCAAAACATACAGAGTACAGAAAAGATTCAACTGTTTTCTCTGAAAAAAAAAAAAAAGTTTATTGCATTTGGAAGTCAATAGATATCTTTTACAAAAAAGGTTAGAATAAAGATCTCACATTTGTAAAGGCACATATGAAACATTTTACAGCAATGACAAGGGCAGTGAGAACATAAAACAGTACACAACTAGGACCGATATCTAAAGACTTTATAAAAACAGATAAGAAACAGTGCAAAAATACTGTCAAAAGTCAGTCTCATACACTTCATAACTGTGTATAAAACTGGCAAGCATAAGCTTATTTACTGATATAAAAAAAGCACATAGAATAGCATGCATAGATTTATTTAAGGCTTTTAATATTATCAAGAGAGAGTCTATAGCAAAGTAAAGTTGACATGTGAATATTAATCACTCCCCAACTCAGGGGATGTCCTGTAAATGTCTCGCCCTCCCGCTCCTTACAACTAGCTTGTCATAATGAGACTGGACTTCCACCTTGCAAGGAAGCAAGTGGACACCTCGGGGAGAAGAACGGGTTCTCAGGATCCCAAGTCCCTATTCTGGAATGCATTTCTCACAGCAATAATGCGATAGGTGGTTAAATGTCCAGGTCAGCCCATGCCAGCCAGCCAGCCAGCCAGCCAGCCACGTACGGCTGACCGCCCTGCAGTTCAGTTGTGTTGGATGTCAGAAGGCTTCCCTGGACTGACTCAAGAACCTTAAGAACAAACCAGTTTCTACATTAGGGACCTGTCTGTACATCTGAAATGAGACCTATTAAATGTCAACTGGCTTGAATGATACAGCAATTGACAACATATTAAAGACAGAGACCAAGGAAAACTTCAAAATACTGAATTAAGTAGCACAATTATAGTCCAGTGAAACAAAACAGATTGGCATGTTACTTGATGTAACACAGGTTATATAAGGTTACACATTTAATAGTCATCTGCATATGTAAACCCTTTTTTATCCCATTTACATATATATCCTCAAGCAAGTCAGTTGACTACTGAAGGAACAAAGGACATACACAGGAAATCATCTCTGATGAAGAGTAACCTTACTTTTGAAAGGATAAGGTTGATAGATTTTTAAAGATTCCAAACTGGCAAGAAAGTTCAGTCAAAGGAAGTTGCAGTAACATTTTACACCGTTCACGTTGGGGGCAGAAAATGGCTCTGAATTACAGCTCTCAGTTCCAAGCTGAAGGTATTTATTAGCTAACACTGCAATTCAGGGAGGTGGGCGGCCCTGAGAAATGCTGAGAACGCCAGGCACCCCTGCCCTGAGAGCCAGCCGAGCTCAACTCGAGCAGGATTCCTGAGCTGTTAGCAAAACAGTTCCACCCCAAGGCACAAAAAGACCCCAATTCAATGTTTTCAGGTTTGTCCCCAAGACCTTTGTCAGGTAAGGTGGCCTCTGAGTTTCCCTTGAGGAGGAGGTTGGGAAGAAAGGCCCCATCACAGACTGGATGAATAGCAATCCTGCCCCTCCCAAGACAGCTTTGCAGCTTGTAAAAAGTCTGCAAAGAGCCCAGAGCTTCACCCATTTCACCTGACCGGCCAGGCTGCGTAGAGGCCACGATGAAAGGAACACGGTCTGCAGGAAGGGGCTGGAGACGATCTGACCACACATGTCATTATGCCAAAGGCAGCCACTGGGGATCCATAGAAGGTCACCTCAAAATAAGCCTGAGAGACTGCTGCAATAATCCAGCTTTTCTTCATCCCTTCTAGTCCTGAACGATAGTGTCGATCACCAAGGGGAAGGAGTGGGTAGAAGGTCGACTTCCTGGTTGCTGACAGCACCTGGCTATTTTCATTCTGGTTGCTTCCACTTGCCAGATTCTATTCCTTGAAACCACGCAAATGCCAGATTTTACTTTTTGAAACTATAGAAGCATGTTAAGAATTAGATTCTCTAATTTTATAATTTGGAGTGATTTTAAAGAGTGAGTCCCTGTGACTAGATTCAACTGTTTTGTAAGGGTTGCACTAGGAGGGTAAGGAAGGAAAAGGTGTTGCTATCGAGAGCTGCTCCATAAAAGCAAATCAAAAAGGAAAGGTCAGCACTGTCCTAAGCGCACGCAGGGTGCATCAGAAAAGTATTCCCACCTGTGCTCTCAAGTGAGACCGGGAACCGCCATCATGTATGGACATCTTCCTGGTTCTCATGCCCTGATTACAAACACGACATGCTGGAAAGGGGGTGCTCCACTCTGCAGCCACCCAGGGCCCCCAGGAGAGACTCAGTCAAGATGCCCAGGAGCTGTGATGGCTCACTCCGGAGCTGTGTGGATAAGCAAAATGTTCTGCAGAAAAGGCTGCCAGCAAAGGCAGGGCCCCTAGCAAGCAAGGGGAAGGGTCTTGCTGAGCAGTGGGTCGAGGCAGGCATCAGCATCCAGAATGTTCATCAATCTCTCCCACAACAGCGAGGACACAGTTTAAAACCACCAGCAAGGGTGAAACCAATCTTCCTACTGCAGCGAGGTCTTGCCTAGGAGTGCCACCTCATGCCATCCCTCTGACCTCGCAGAGAAGGATAGAGTAGGAGAGACACCCCTGAATCCAAAAATTTCTTTGTGAGTCAAGAACATTTTGATAGCAACTACAAAGCTGATCTAAAAAGCCTTCCTCTTCCTCCCCCCATTTACAGCTTTTCTCTGGGCAAGCTCCTGGTGTTTTGGGGCAAGAATGGTCTTGATGGCCCAAAACATGGCAGAGGGAACACAGACTTTCTAGACAGATGCTCATCATAGTCAGGCTTGCCCATCAGCTCATGCCCTCCTGTCTTAAAACGCCCTTGAATTTATTTTTTAAATGGGAAGGCTGACCAAAGCTGAATAGGAACTGATGCACATCCTCCCTTTTACAGCACCAAACAACAATAAATTATGCAGTCTGGTGACATCGATTGGATGCCAGATATTCAATGCCAGCCTCATGGATGTTTTAATAGAGAACTTTTTAGTTTGGCCTTGAGAAAGAAGATGCAGCTATAATAAGCTGGAAAAAATAAGTAAGGTAGTGAGCAGGTAAAAACACCCACCATCTGAGTTTCTAATGGAAATGCAAAAGCTCAGAGCAGGCAGGATAAAGGTTGAGTATTGGGCAAGCAGGTCATCAAGTTTCTCAGGACCCTATGAAGAACAGCGATTTTCAGGGTAACATGTATGAGTTAGCAGAATTTGACTGAATACACCTGCCCATCTCTCCTAGGAATGTTGCTGTTCCTTTCCACAGTAAGGTCTTCTGTCCCCAAATGTCTTAGAAGCTGAGGCAAAGAGAAGGACCACTCTGCTACCTTGCTCAGAGCTCAGAAGTGTCAAACATAATCTTAATGTCCTAGAGATTTCCACCCTGTAGGGCCAACTAGGACTATTTCAACCCTATAGGGCCAGCTAGTTTGTCACCCATGAAGTTCTAGACCAATGGAAATTTTGTGCAGTCTCCATGAAAACTCCAAATTTCTCCATTAGAAAGTAGTGTTAGATGAACTGTTACTTTGCTCACTAAAAAATAGCTAAATAAGAGCATGGTAAACATCTGATAAAATCCATAGGCCATAAAACAAAACACAGTTGCAGAAGAATCTTTGGTAAAACATGAGGAAACTGAATTCCCACAAAGAGCTGAATTATATCTCCTTAACAGCCCAACAGGAATTACTTGGTGCTTCTGGAAGTTTCTTAGTCTAGATGCTGCCAGTTATTCCCAACACGAAAGCGGAATGAAGGGTAGATTAACACTGATATGCCTGTGACTCAATCCCCATTCCTTGAGTCTAAGCTCCTTGGCAAACATATTAGAAGGTCCCTGTGCTTGTCCACCCCTTGACCTCAACTGATTGACAGATTCCTTCCTCCCTGAAAAATCAATAACTCTACCCACTTTCTCCATTATACACATGACTGGAAATGGGGAAGAGACTTGAAAGCACATTTTGCTTTGTCACTCTGGACACCTTTGGGCCCACAGATTATGTTCCATAACCACTGGGCTGAGGCCAGCTGATACGGACTATACATCAAGAAAGAACAACAGCTGAAAACCCCCAGTCATGTGCCTGATGGCCAGCCCTGCTTATGAGAATCCTGACATCTCTGCCAAGTGTGACTCCAAGCCCCAGGAGACAGCCCACTCACCAAGTGAGGTAAAGGTCATTGCAGCAAGGCCACAGGTTCACAGAAAGAACCCAAGGTACACACTTTCATGTTCATTAGGTCTTGAGAAAAGACACATGGCGCGTTGGGATCCACACTAATCAAGGGGCAGAAACAAACTGTACATGTTAGGTTGATCCAAGTGAATTTGCTGTCATTGTAAATTAAAAAAAATGGTCCAAATACTGGAAATTTCATATGCATCAACGTGGAAAAGGATAAGAAAGGTCGGTAGCTGGATCAGAGTGCCGACTTACTGTAGCCACCAGTGTTTACAGAAAGAGCCAAGTGTGGGCAAGACAAAGGTTAAATGTGTCCTGGGCAGCCAACAGACAAGTCCCACGGGACCTCACCCAGCAGAGCCCACGAGGACCTTCTATCCAGGCTGATGGAGGAAGGTGCCAGAGGACCAAGGGACTTGGAGGCAAATGACTGACTAACCACAGTCAACAGATAGTCGTGCTTCTCAATCTAGGACCACAAATGTTGTAGAAGTCAAGTTCTCTCTGTTGAGGGTTCTCCAAAGTTTATTACTCAAAATAGTCCACGTGGAGATGTTTTCACCTGCCCTGACCTTACCGTTCTCGCCAGCTGAGGGGAGGAACTCAATTCCTTGCCTATAAAGGGACCAGCGATTGGCATCCCTGCCTAATGCCACCAAATCCTCATCTGCTTCCCATCCAGGGAAAGAGATGTGTCTAAAGATAAATACAGTCAAAAGGCGGTGTCCCTTAGAGCCTAAGGATTCCAGTAAAGTACAGCAGGACGTGGTCTGGCTTCGCTGGCAGCCTCAGCTCAGCTCAAGGATGAAGACATCAAACTCAGCTCCCCCTGGTCCAGGGACCACAATAAACAAGGATGAACCCTGGGTCAATACATCCAAATGAGACGGATGAAAGAAACAAGACATTTCAACCAGAAAAACTGCAAACCCAGAGGCCTGAAAGTGTTGGATGGCCTTGTGGTGACATAGTATCTTTTTTCTCCCCCTCCATTTTTTATTTTCTCCCCACTGCAGCAACAGACCCCGGCAGCTCCAGCTTCAGATTTGATATGTCATCAGGAACTCATTCCAAAAGCCCTAACTAGATAACTAATTTAATACACTTTGCTTCAAGGTTTATTCCTTGGCTTGCTTCCCAGATATAAAGCATCTCTGGGCAATTATGATGCAGATGCCACTGAAAGGACTTTAAATGGCTGCTGCTAATTTAACAGGAGATAGGTTGGCATTTACTGGAGATGTGCAAAGGAATGCAAAATGGGCTCAAGGACCAAAAACATTTGTTTTTAAAAACAAAATACGGGGAACCACTTTTAAATGTTTTCCTTTGGGTTTCAATGTAAACTCCGGCTAGGAAGTTGGATACCGAACCTACTTCTCTACATTTTGTGCATTCATGAATATTCCCTCAGCTCCAAGCGGCAACAGTGAGTGAGCTGAAACAAGGGCCAAGAGTGACGGGCTCGAGGAGACTGCACATCTACTCGCTGCCCACATGAGACATCAACAGTGGCCACGCGGGGCGCTGAGAGAGGAAAGAGGAATGCCGATGTGGTTCATCAAAGGATAAGCCAGTAACTGCAGATCAACCGTTGAAACATCCCTAATGGCAGAGTATCCCAAGGATGGAAAGTCTCTAAGGAAAAGGAAACAAGTACCTCTCTGCCTGCTGATGATCCATATTCTGAGCATCTCCTTGCAAGAGTTATGAGCTCTGATCTACTGAAAATACATGTCATCCTAGTGGTTTTCCTTTTTCAGATCATTCAGCAAAATTCCAGACCCTAGGGGGCTCAGAAGAAGCTCTACTCCTGACTGATTCTTCAGTCCTTGGAGGAGAAGGGAAGAGACCCGCCCTTGCCAGATACTCTGAGTCCAAATACAGACTCAGGTGTGAAACTGAGTCTGGCCAGGTGTGAAACCGAGTTGATTCACACTCCAAAGAAGCCCATCGGGAATCAGCTTCCACACCCGTCTATTGTGTGGTGACTGGAAATCACAAAGGCGCACTCCTTCTAGTGGGTTGGATGCCATTCTTTCCTTGTATTTACAGCTCAGGATGGGGGGGCGGGGGGCGGGAAAGGTAGCAGAGGAGAAACACATCATGGAATACCCACAAAGGTCAATCTTAAGAACAAAGGCACAACTGAAAAGTTGTACCAAGAAAAGGCAGATGACAGAGAGGATTCCCCAAAATCAGCAAGAGGGAAAGCTCCCGGAACACGCTTTATTGTGTACTAACCTATGAAGTTCAGGACGGGGACCAGTGAACCAAGGTTGTTGTAGTTTGGTCACTCAGCCATGTCTGTCTCTTTGTGACCCCATGGACTGTAGCCCACCAGGCTCCTCTGCCCATGAGATTATCCAGGCAAGAATACTGGAGTGGGCTGTCATTCCCTCCTCCAGGGGATCTTCCCCACCCAGGGATCAAACCCGTGTGTCTCTTATGTCTCTGGCATTGGCAGGCGGGTTCTTTACCACTAGAGCCACCTAGGAAGCCCCCATCAAGCTGCAGGAACCCCCAATATAAGAGAAGAGTGTTGTTTTTCACCTTCAGAAAAAGGGTCTTAGCGCTCTATATTTCAGGATGCACTCATTTTCTTGCCATCTTTGATTTGGATATGAGCAATTAGGCTGATGAATTTCAGAGTTGGTCACAAATCTGGCTGCAACTTCACTAGAGATGTGTTCCCTTCTGCCTCTGACCCCCAAGGATGCACCAGGCAACCCTCCCTCCCCCTACGGCCCTATTTACACTGCAGATCAGTCAAAATGTGGTTCAAATGAAAAGGACTATATTATTGTGAAAACTGCCTTAGGATGATTCACAAAAGTTATCCCAAAGGAGGAAAAAATAAATTATCTCATATAAAATAGTACACGATGTTTGTGAGTGATCTTGGCTCCCGCCTTCAGGGAATCTGTGGCCTGCCTGCTCCGGCCATCTGTGCCCTGCTGGGAAACAGATGTTGTCTGGAGGTGTTTCCCCATCCGCGAGATGGAGCTGGGTCCCTCTTCCGGGAACTGACGTCGGGGATGCGGGGGTTAAATGAGTCTGGAGTTTTGGAGAAACTGGATGAGGACCTGGTAGACAAACTTGTACTGAGCGATGGTCTGGATCATAAACATTCTTTGCTCCCTGAGGAGCCTCAGCATCATCGGTACTTCCACCTTCTGCAAGAAAAGAAAAGATGCTGAGATGGTGGGGGGGCTCCCCTTGGGTCATTTCTCATTCCCTTACCTGGAATGAGGAATGTATTTACTCGCGGCCCCTGGACAGGTACGGGAGGAAGCCAAAGACAGCCCCCTCTCGGTTACCCCCGTCCAAGACCATGCCTACAGCTGGAGAATCTGGTTGTCCCGCACCACTGGTATGACATTTTAAATACAGATCAGTCTGCTAGAGAAGACAACGAAGCTGGAGTTTATCCCAAATGGTTCCTCTCAGGGCTACCATGGCCCAGTGGTAGGATTTAAGCCGGTTATGGGTCTTCATTTCTTCCTCTGTGATGTCAGGATACCGATGCTTTCCTTTAATGCCATGTAGCTTTGGCCAAGTCAGTGATGGCTCCTCGGCAATAACACGGGGTGATAAACCATTCCCACCTTACAGGATCAAAAAATGCATGTAAAGCATTTAGCACAGTGTCTGGCACACAAGAGCTCTCGATAAAGACTATATTCAGTGTCTCAGTATTAGTGAAATAAGAACACCCGTGCCCATCCTGCTATCTCGCAGGACCTCGGGTATAACCATGTGAGATAATTTATGTGTAAACCTTTAAAATGTCAAAGCACAGCCTCTGGACACCAGTCATGTTTGGAATGATAGCCTTTAACTGAGCGTTATCTTGAGCGTTAAATGAGATTGCCCACATGTAAATTCTTTGAGTATCTCCAAAGGGAAGGGATGGAGATGAGGGGTCACCGGGGCCCTGGTGTGCACCCCACTGCCTCTCCCCTCCTCCTGGGCGCGCTGGGGCAGAAGCACTGTGGAGTCCATGTGCCATCACGCCCTTGGCACAGGTCCCCCTGTTCTGGGAGCCCTTAGTCCAGGGGAGCGACCACACCCAGGAAATTACCAAGGACTGAGCAAGCATCGAAAACAGAATAGTAAAAACTCAGTCATATATGTCTTCTCTTCCTTTACTGTCAAAAGTCATTTCGGCTATTTCCAAATTTTGTGTAGCTACAATACCACACATGCCGTCCTATTTTGTTGAGCTTCTCCACAATGAGTTAAGTAACACGCACCACAGATTTAAAAGGGACAAGTCCCTGGTAGGAAGGAAAGAGAAAAAGGCACGTGAATCCTCAAACTATTAGTCAAAATACAGAGCCTAGACCATAAGCTTCTGACGGTAACTAGTGGGTCTGTGTCTAAACTATATTCCAAGCTGACTGACATGATATACAACACAGAGCACCTATCACAGACAATTAACATAATGCATGATGAGCCTTGCTCTGTGGTGGGCCCTGAATATAAGGATAGAATAAGATTGTTTCTGCCTCGTGCCCATCAAAGGCTCTGATGAGAGAGGCAGAGTCACATAGGCGCTAAGAGTTCATCTCCCCGTGCCTCAGTTTCACTTTGTTAGATGCAGGTTCTAACAGGGATTCTCCACCAGGCAAGAACACTGGAGTGGGCTGCCATGCCCTCTGTCGGGTCACAGAGAGTTAGACGTGACTCAAGGACTCAGTAAGCACTAGTAAGACCTGTCGTAAGGCCACTGTAAAGGCTATGAGCTGCAAGGCTTGTGAAACAGTGTTAGTACACGCACAAGAGCTCAGATGCTTCAGCTGTGTCAGACTCTTTGGGACCCCATGGACTGTAGCCCACCAGGCTCCCTCTGTCCATGAGATTCTCCAGGTAAGAATGCTGGAGTGGGTTGCCATGCTCTTCCCAGGGATCTGACCAACCCAAGGATTGAACCCAAGTCTCCTGCATTGCAGGCAGACTCTTGACTGCTGAGTCACCAGGGCAGTCCCAGTGTTGGCATATGGTAAATGCTAAACACATGTTAGTTGTGGTTATTATAATATTTGCATTCTCCTCGTCATCACCACCACCCCCTTCATCATCTCCACCTCCCTCTTCAGCATCTGTATTACCTGCCCCCCACCACCATCTCCTTTACCTTCTCCTCCGATTTCACCACTGCCTCCTCCCTACCTCTATCATCACCACCACCACCCCATCTTCTTCCTTCCACCATCACTTCCATTTCCACCTCTGCCACCACCACTATCATCATGATCACTACCATCTCCATAACCTGTAAGACTCAGCCCCCGAGGCTCACTCAAGGGTGGTGTACTAGCTGAAATGGGGCTGTTTGGAGATAAGACAAAGGTTTCTCCTGGTCCTCAATGAAATCCTTCAACTTGCCTTGAAGATTCACTCCCACAGGCTCTGCTGTCCACTGTCCCTAACTCGAGCAATCAGGAGGCCATTGATGCTTTCTCCACCTTGCTTAGGAGACATTTTCTCCCCCTACTCTATGAACAGGGGATGAGGGGGTAACCGATTCAGAAAAGCAGCAAGATCAAGACATCTTGCTATGTGGCTAGTGAGAACCTGACCTTTTGTAATTTAGCTGATCTGGGACAGGCAACCAGGAGAGAGTATCACAAACCATGAAAACGGTGCATTCTGGAGGAAAATAATGTGTGGGCATTGAAATGTTATAGCTGACATTCAGTGACCAAGAGCAATAGGACACACGGAAGCTTCTCAGGGCAGCCCCAGAGAATCCCCTCCCATTCCTACCTCACAGCTACCCAACTTCACAGTAAGGATCTTCGCTCTGATAAAAAGCATTTTACTGACAAAATTAAAACTCTATGATTACAGACTAAAACATAAGGTATCTGAGATCCAGAAGACAGGCAAAGAAGATGGGAAAGTTTCAACAGGAGAAAAATGGGACACCCGATTTTATACTGATTTAGCAAAACCTTTTGTTTAAAAAACAAAGCAACATGGTCCCACTCCTAAAATAAGGCTTTGAATTTTACTAGACAGGCCTGAAGCAGAACAAGTAGAGAACTTTTTTCTCCCTAGCCATCTACCAATAGCAGTTATGGGAAACAGCACTGATAAGGCTGACTATATTTGTGCTAGGGGAAGGGAAGTGAAAAATATGAGTCATCTTGCTATCTTGGAATATCAATGGGAACAGAAGTCCTTTTTGGACTGACCGCGAGTTCCAGTAAAGAATGTTCTGGCATGCAACTGGGCATTGAGGAAATCTGCTATGTCTGGATAAACCCCGTGGAGAGTCTAGTCACCCCAAGCCTTTACTAAGTCCACACTGGGTGCTCGTGGCCAAATCCCTCGCTCTGCGCCACGCTGGCTCTGACACATGCTATTTATGTTCCCCTGGGCCAATGACATCTGGTGATCAATGAGCCTTCATGTCGTTGCATTACTGAGGCTCAGTCTTTGATGGGTCTCCAAAGAGCGCTCAGCACAGAGCGATCCTTCATGTCAGACAAGACAGAGAAAATAGCTTCTCAAGTTGAAAAGGAGGAAAGGGGAGCACAGGAGGGTACGTGGGGAATGGAGAAAAGAAGGGGAGTTTGTCAAAGAAACTGATATGAGGACAAGATCTCTAAGTGGATCCAGAGGGGACCATGAAGCCCTTTCTCTTCCCCAGGAACCCACTGGTGCCACCAGGGGCGCTGGGATACACTGCAGCCACACGTACCCCATTTCCACTGTCTCTCAATCCACCTTCCCAGCACTGAGTGGGTCTGGGACTTAGTGGTAAGCCATTACTCTAATAGAAACTCCTAGAGACTTCTAGTAGTGACAGGGAAGCAAACAACCCGGAAATCTTTCATGAGAAAAAAAGATAGACTCACAGAAGATGATGAGATTTCTGTGATGTAGACTCAACTGATTCTGTGATGGGCATTTTGTTCCCCAACAGAATGTTTGTTTGTTTGAACAATAGGCCACATTGATAGAACCCCTCTTCTACTTTTTAGCAGCACAAACATTCATACATACAGGCTGAAAGTTTCCAAAATTAACTTTTTATAGGCAGGGAACTTAAAACATCCTTTGAACATGTTTAAACATGGCATTGACTGTTTTCCTAGAAGTTTCAATATAATAAATATCATGGGGCAATATTTAATCTGATTTTTCAAACCACTGATGCTATTGAGCAAATACATATATTGTTGGATAAATTCCTTCACAGAACGTGCATGATAATATCTGCTGACTTTAAAACTACCATTTCAAAAGTCTCCTTCGATTCACCAAGTTATACAATTTGGAAATTGAACAAGAACCAAATGACACTCGGCGTTTGGAGGCAGCGTGAAGATAAGAAATAATTCAGGGCCAGGAAGTGAAGGACCTCATTTCAAACCTTGGCACCATTGCTTAAGAGCCACCTGGCCCTGGGCAAGTCATTCGATTGTTTCTGGCCCTCGTATCGTCATCTCTAAAATCAGAAAACTGACACAAGCTGCTATGAAGAATCCAACTAAGAAAAAAAAAAGTGAAAGCCATTTAAAACCCCTACAACCTCATGAGAATAGAAGGCAGATGAACTGGTCTTTAGCCTTTGATTACTATTTTCTCATCTCCACAAAATCAAAAGTCCCTCAGTGTAACTCTCTGACCTACAGCAAGAAGGGAATGCCATGCACCATGTGGGCACAAATATGGATAGCCACAGCCCGCATCTAGCGGAAAAGAGCTGGACGCATCTAGCCCTCAGGTTATCCACCCAACTCTGCTACACACCATTGCCAAGCTAGACAAAAGCAAACAGCCTCCTCAATGAAACTCTCTCTGAAGAAGGAAACATGTTTTTAAAGTATGCATGTTTTCACGGAGGAGTTAAGCTAAAATACATCCCAGAAACGCTTAAGACTCCTCTAAATTATATGGACTGAATAACCCAGCACAGAGAATTACACACAATAAAACCAGACCTTCTACAAAAAACACTGCAGACTTTTGGAAGTCGATGCCAGTGAAGATCAGATTTTCTAAATGTTTCCTTTCTTACACTTTCAACTCTTCTTCTATATTATTTGGGTCTCTACGCAGAGCAATGAAAGGGAAAACAGATAAGGAAGGTTGTAAATGTCAGAGTCCAAGTGGGAATCACTGGTCTGGAAAACTCTCGTCAAGAGAGGAAGCTAAGCAGTGGAAATGGAAGGGCACAGGTGAAAGGGTGGCCGTGGTGTAGACTGGCCCCCAAGGGGGACGATTCCGAAGCCCAGAGAGACTTACTTCATTATGCTCCAGGCAGTAGATCATCAGCTCGGAAAGAATGACCACGCCAGTCCTGCCCACCCCAGCGCTGCAGTGGACCACAATCGGCGGGTGCAGGTTCTTGGTGCCTTCCAGCATGCTGTTGGTGTGGCGACGGACTGACTGGATCTCCTCCAAGTAGGCTGCAAGACAAGATGAAAATCTCGTCACTGAAGTCCTCTGTGGCTTTGCATACAAGTGGGGGTGGGGGGGAGAGATGACAGGGATTTTTTTTTTTTAAGTGACAATAATTTACAGTTCTTACAAGACACTAATTATTTGGCTGGTACCCACTGTACAGTCCTGGATCCAGAAAGGACCAGCTGGGAGTCAATTAGTCCATGGGAGAATTTGTTCTTTAAATTAAATAGTTCTTTTTTAAAAATTAAATTCTGTTTTCCCCTCTGCAAATCCCAAAGTCCCCCAAGCAGATGAGTCTCGACATTACTTACAGCAATTCCTACTATTAACAGACTGGGATCAGAACACCAGTTAGGTCCCCTTGAAACGCCCGCCTGTCAGAGCCAATTTCTGGTGGGAAGAGCATCCATCTGCCCTTCCTTCCTTCCCTTCACTGAACGAGTGAACATCAGCTGAGGCTTGACTCCATTTTCAGACTTTAAAATAGACTTTGGGGAGCCTGGTTTTCAGCTTGGATCCCCTGTGGTTACATGAGTAGCTCAAGGTGATGGCCCCCCCTTTCTTGGGGGCAATGTGTGGGTTGGGGGCGGGGTGTGCCACCTCCCTCTTTGCTTCCAACATCTGCCTGGCCCTGCAGGGCTATGCAAGGGACTGTTTAATATTCCAATTGGTCACAAATGAAAAATTAGTCAATCTAAACCTTAAAGACTTTTTTTTCATGATCACAAAAAAAGGGAAAGGAATAATTGCAATCCTCATACACTCTATGAATCAGAAAAAATCAATTAGTGGTTGAGATTTTATAGTTCAGAGAAGAAGCAGATCTGAAGGTTCTTGATGCTCAGAAAATCTCGTTCCAGTACAGCAGTGTAAAATCAAACGAGGAGAAAAATTCAGACTGCTAAAGAGAAAAAAACTGCATTCAAACCATTCTGATAATGTAAGAGCATCAGTTTATACACAATGACCGAGAACTCCTGTTTTCCTTTATAACCTTATTTAATTAGTAATCTGAAGTAGTTTTACCCAAATGAACGTTTACTACCACCATCAGTGATGTAAAATGAGATAGAACAAAACAAGATGGAAGGCAATCTGAGGTGACTACATAAAGTAGTCGCTATTTGTACCAACACGAGCTAAATACTGAGCATGGAATCCCCTTCACAATTTTTCCCCCCAGAGATATTAGGCGATAAACGTTGTCTGATGGCAGACAATGTTCACATACAAGAGACAAGGCTTTTCTTGTGTTAAATTTAAGGAGAGAAGTGAAAAGAATACTGATCAATAAAACAGATGCCACTATCAAATGGAATGTCATGAAACACAGAGAAATTAGATTTCAATGAATTCTTTCTCCAGCAATCATATTAATAAAGTTTCTTAAGCTGTAACTCAGAGAAGACCTCTGGACGCTGGAAGACAGTTTGATCCAGTTCCTCTGCATCCAGGCAATCTAATTTAAACACAAACAAAAATCTCTTAAATTTCTTAATGACCTAAAGAGCCATCATTTCTAAGACCCTGCTCAGCACACCTGTCCTGAGTTTCTTAGAAAGGTACATTAATTAATACTATTTAAAATTTTTCTCTATTTTTTTTTCAGTAATTTAGATTCACCTTTCTTAAACTGGCTCAGATTTAAAAGATCTGATTGTGATTTTAGCCATCTCATAAACTCAATCTTTTATCAGAGCTGTTAAGTCAATCATCTGATGGATTTACTTTTATTGCTTCCAATTTCTAAGTCTTGCTTCTAGTAGCAATTAGCAAAAGATTACCAAAAAAGAATAAAAAGCACACTGTTACAAAGAAAGAAAATTCTGCAGAGGTCACCATGCTCCTTATTAATATTTTGGGCTATAGGTAACTGTCGGGCCTCAGGCAAACCACTAACCCACTCCAGATCTTGTTCTAGGTCCTCTAAGTCCAATCATCTTTCTTACTTTCAGTGTCCCAACTCCTCAAGAACCATCAGCACATTAATGGGAAATTAAATACCTGCATCATAATCTTTCTAGTTGGACTTGTGAAATTGTACTTTTAGGTTTTTGAAAACTTATTCTCGCTTCTCTTCCCCACCCCTCCTATTCTAAATGAGTTATCAAAATGAAAATCAAGGTTTTGACATTCAACATCCCCCCTTTGTGGTGGTCAGTGGTCCTCTGCCAGCTGGTGAATCAACAACTCAGCAGGTATTTAATCAATAATCTGCAGGGCACCCTCAGGCCTCCTTTCTAACTGGAAGGAGGAAGCAGTGGGCTTTCCCACAAGTGCAGGATGTTTAGGAAAGTCTGTGGAAAGGAAAGAGTGTGCTACAGCTAGCACCAGAAGCATCAGATCTCACCCTGGCCTGTGATCCCGGGCCTGCCTTCATCAGAAGACTGAGAGAGCCTTTAAAACAAAGACTGTTTCATCTCTGCATGCTAAGAGCCTGATTCAGTGTCTGCCATATGGTGGACACACACCCTGTTGCTGGCCTTTCAAATAGCTACTGCATACAATCTGGATGAATTTGTTTCTAAGATGATCATAACTTGAAAAATATACATAAATGAATGAATTGGAAAATGACAGTTTCAAACACTACAGGTTTATTTCAATAATTCTCTATTAGTTAGCCACCTATCTTTAATCATAGGTATGAGAAACTACTGATGGGGATTTACTGCTGGAGGAAATGCAGGGCTTCTGAGATATAAATCTTCCTGAGAAATTTTTAAAGTCTTTTTTTTTCCTTTACTTTACTGCTCTGTGTTTTTTTTATTGTGGTAAAATATATTTAATGCATAACATAAAATGTACCATTTTAATCATTCTAAAAGTACATAACATTAAGTATATAGTGACAGTAAGTATAATCATAGTGTTCTGCAAACATCACCACTATCCACTTATAGAACTTTTCTGTGGTCCCAAACAGAAACTTTATATCTATGAAACTATAACTTCCTATTCCTCTTCCCCCTAGCTCCTGGTAACCTCTATTATACTATCTCTATGAAGTTGCCTATTCTGGGTAACTCAACATAAGTGGAATCACACAGCATTTATCCTTTTGTATCTGGCTTATTTTATTTAGCATAATGTTTCCAAGGTTCAAGGATGCAATGTGTATCAAGATAGGTACTGAAGGTCTAAATCAAGGTAGAACCAATTAGTTTACCTTTAGCTCACTGCATCAATGGTAAAGAGAATGTAAGTATTAATCTTCTCTGCTCTACACATACTATCTAAAGTACTATATACTTCAATGTTACAATACTTTCACCACCTCAGAGAAAGTATCCTCTCTTTTCACCTCACCTCCAACTGATAAAACCATATATGCTGTTGGTAAAACTCCAACTGACAAGCAAAAACTTACACAGAAATCCTTGGACATCCTCTGGGCAGCCGTGGTCTGGCCAGTCAGTATATTGCAAATGCCACACGGTCCTTTCTTGCCCGGACAGAAGGTGCTTGACCTTCAAGCCTGTGGTTGCATAGCAACCGGAATCTGTTCGGAACTTTGTGGTGACCTTGAACTTGCCATAGGTGGCTGAGCTGTGCTTGGAACCCAGTTTGGGCCAGTATCGGTGGCTCTTGGTTCGTCCGCCTTCCTGAATCACACAGAGAAACAAAATTGGACAGGAGTCAAGGGAAGCTCTTATCCTCTTAGTTTTAAAATCTGGGACTGCAGAAAACCTGAATGACTTCTAAGTCACTGACTCAGTAACATCATGCAGTGTCTCCTACAGAGCAGATTTCACACATTTTAGCTAAGGCCAGTAATAAGATGTACCATGCAGTTATACCAATGGAAAAATGTAAAGATTCCCAACCCAGCTGCAGCTGAATGTTAGAGAGAGGAGCCAGAGTAAGGACGAGCCAGAGATGCGAACAAGCTGGGTACTGTGAGAAGTGCAGGAAGGCTTCAGTGTGGATGGCAGAGAGGAGGTTAGTTAGAAAGGCCTTGTGGTCCATGGTAGGGAGTAGGGATTTGATGCCATGGACAGTGGGAAGCCATCCGAAGGTGATGAAGTGACCTTAAGCAGAGGAGTGAGAGATCTCAGTCATCATTCTAAGTCACTTCACTCATGTCCAACTCTTTGTGACCCTATGGGCCGTAGCCCACCAGGCTCCTCTGTCCATGGGATTCTCCAGGCAAGAATATTGGAGTGGGTTGCCATGCCCTTCTCCAGGGGATCTTCCTGACCCAGGGATTGAACCCATGGCTCTTTTGTCGCCTGAACTGGCAGGTGGATTCTTTACCACTAGCGCCACCTGGGAAGCTCCCATTCTAGGTCATGCTTCTCATTTCATATGCCTGACCCCAGGTACTACTCTCTGTTATCCCCACCAACCAGTGACACTGCCTCTGTCATCTGGTGTCAATCTCCTTTTTTTTCCCCCATCCTGATTCATTTGTTTTAGTCCCATTGCAACTGAAGCAGAGGGGAAAACTGACTCTACCCCTGTTTGCTCTCTCTTAATTTTATCATCTTTTCTGGGGATATGCATTCTCAGCCATTTACAAAAACAGGGTCTGTTTTAAAGTTTTGCAGAATTTTGACATCACAGGGGTGGGAGCAGGGATGGATGAGATGGTGGCTTACAAGGGGACCCAGGGGACTTTCCTGGTGGTCCAGTGGTTAAGACTCGGTGCTTTCAATGCAGGAGGCACAGGTCTGATCCCTGGTCCAGGAACTAAGATCCTTCATGACACATGGTGCAGCCAAAAAAAATTTTTTTAATGAAAAATTTTTAAAAATAAAAATAAAGAAGGGTACCTAGGGCAGGAAGTGGGTGGAGAGAGAGGGGAGAGGCCTAGAATACAGAGCAGGGAGGAGTGAGCCGCAAGTGGTGGTTGGTCTGCTCACAAAGCAACACATCTTCAGGGACCCAAGTAGTCCTGCCCTCACTCTTTTGGTTGAATTGAGTCTTCTTAAATTTGAAGCATACCTGCCTCTTTTATTGAACCATTCTGTGAAAGAGCATTTATCGGAGGCCTTTACATAACTTGCTGAGTACCCACATCAATTTGGAGAAGGAAATGGCAACCTGCTCCAGTATTCTTGCCTGGAAATCCCATGGCCAGAGGAACCTGGGGGTTGCAGAGAGTCCAACACGACTCAGCACCAGCAACCTACATCAACTGCAGATTTCAAGAGACTGTAAGCCTCTGGCTGCTTCAGAGATCACTGGACTTTGTTCCTAAGGCTTCCTGTCATTCAAGTTTCAGCTCAAACACAGCCTCCTCAGAGGGCCCTGGGCTGCCATCTAACCTAAAGTCATCCTGCGGTCACCACTCACCACCATCTGAGCTGACTTGACTGATTCCCTTTTCATGGTAAATCCCACTGGGATGTAAGCTCCCTGGGGATAGGGAGCATACCTGCTGTGTTTACCACCTTGTCCCTCCCTGGGGTCAGCACAGAGGGCAAAGACACTGTTTTCAATGGAATGAATCCCTTCTAGGGATGCAATTCAATCGGGTGATAAAACTAGAGGCTTTAAGGAGCATTTACTCCCTGAGGGGACAGAAGGTCAGCCTAGAGAAATACACCTGGCCTGAAAGGGCCCAAAGTCCTTTCATCACTACCTTCTAATGGGCTGTTCTGGAAAGCATCTGCTCAGGAAGAGTCAATAAAAGGAATATTTTTATAGGATATTTTTATAGGAATATTCTTTCCTATCCTTTAAAACTTGTTAGGAAATGGGTATACAATAACATGCTGTGATGTGCTTAAGTCAGTCATGTCTGACTCTTTGCGACCCCATGAATTGTAGCCTACCAGGCTTCTCTGTCCATGGGATTCTCCAGGTAAGAATACTGGAGTGGATTGCATGCCCTCCCCCTGGGGATCTTCCCAACCCAGGAATCGAACCCAGGTCTCCGACAGGGCAGGCGGATTCTTTACCATCTGAACCACCAGGGAAGCATGTGATACATGGTTTAAAAAAAAACCCAAACACCCAGATGAAGCCTAACCCTTAAATGACTTCAAAACATAAGGTAAAATTTAATGGAGGGAACCAAAGGAAGTGGTTTAAAACAAAAAAAATTTAGACTGCGACAAGAGAAGAAACACAAAATATCTTTCCCTAAAGACAACAGGCTCTGAGTGAATTGCTAGATGGACTGGGGGGTATATGCCAGTTTTGGCAACACCACATAGATTTCTTCAGTTACAATGGAAAAACTATGTTTGACTTGGCAAAGGAAGAAAAAGTTTTTTTTTCTCTCTCCTCAAAGAATAGAGGCCTCCTCTACAGAAATAACAGCTTCTCGTCTCTTTTCAGCTGATAAACAGGAGAGCCTGTGAGCTGCCATGCCCCAGGTTTGGGAATATACAGAGTTACTAGGAGCTCCCCCAAAGTTCTCAGACTCCAATGGAAAAACCATCGCTTGGTTGGGCACAACAAAAGTGAGCTGGCTGGACTGAAGTCCGGTTCTTTTTTGTTTGTTTGTTTGTTTGTTTAATTGTAGTACATGGAGATTCAAGGAAAAGAGTTAAAAGCTGGATCAAAATGGGACCTGACAATAAATCATCTTTGGAAAACAAAACAAACCTATATAGAAATAAGGAGAGAAAAGAGAGGCGCGTCAGAGAGGAAAGGATTTGCAGAGAAGTGATGCCGGAAAGAGGACAGCGCAGTGGAGTCGCCGACACAAAGCTCACCTTCTGGCCACTCCCCCCACCGGGGACAGATGGCGGGGTGCCCATTGCCCTTACCTCCTCTGCAGTGACCATGGCGATCACGTTCGCGCCCTGCTCCCACACCATCTGCCAGAAGTCGTGGCATGTGTGTGGCAGGGGTCCCTGAGTGGCGATGTAGTGCCACTCTGCCCCACCGACCACCACCTGGAAGCCAAGGGAAGCATCAGTGAATGAACCCCAACTCCAGGACAGAATTCCATGCTGACCACAGGTCCTTCTGCAGCCACCGGAAAACCTTGGAGAACTAAAATTTTTAGGTCCACTGTGCTAGTGCCATTATCAACAGCCCTGAGACCAGGAGTGACTAGCGACACAGTTTCACATGAAAACATTATGTCACTCAAGCTTATCAAAATATACCTCATGGGTTTTGGTCTTCAACCCACAGTAATTATGTACAAATCAGTGCATACTAAAAACACACACATACACACACACATACATATATATCCACATGTATAATATTATATGAATATATGTGTGTATAATCTAACAATTTTTACAGATATAATAGTTATGTTTCCAATATGCAATGTATTGATAACTACCATTCTTTTCTCCTTTATAGTCTATCCATGAGAAAAAAAAAAAGCCAAAAAAAAAAAAAAAACACATAAAAACCCCACAAACTCTTTTTTACTAAATTGGTTTCATACCCCACTACCATATTGTGGTCCATGGTCTGAGAAACAGTACTCTGTGGCATCCTTTTAAATAACAGAAAAGTCTACCATGGCATAACACGCCTTTGGAATACCAATGTCCTTCTACCACTGCCCTGATAGGACGTGTGTGCAAACCTCCGTTGTACCCGCTGCTTTGTACCTTATACAGGAAAGGTGTTATGAATGCACAGAAGCCAACAGTACTCGATATTTCATCACCACCTTCCCCTTTAGCAGTATCATAGTGTCCAACTGAACTCTGGAATCCTGAGATGATTTTGGATAATAAAATCATCACCCTACACAGCTCAGGGTGACCTTAGTGAGAAATGGAGTATTTCCTGCCCTATCAGTAAACAAAGGATATCATAGTCACCACCAGCACGGATGGTGAGCTGGTGAGCCCTGAGCGGACCCAGGAAGGAAAGAACACCTGTCCTCTAGCAGCCACTCCCCATGGTGAGCCCCCAGGGAATTCAGGTGGTAAAAAGACCATAATGACCCCAGATAGCGAGGTGCGTATCGAAGGGATGATTTCAGTGAGCCCAGGCTCTTGCATCTTCCCATACACAGAGAAGTGCTAAATTCCTTAACTTGGGTTATCCGGTTTTCTTTAATTAACAATAATCTTAAAAAAATAATAATCTTTTGATGTTCTGACTACCCGCCCTTTGTTGCAAAACTTCTATATAACCTGGCTCCTACCCTCGCCCCCAGGGAACAATTCTCTCAGGATCACTTGAGATGCTGTCTCCTTGGCTTTAAATCCTGAAAAATCCCCACCAAATAAAGCATAACTCTCAACTTTTAGGTTGTGAACACTTTTAAAGCCCACATTTGGAGGAGGATAATTCTGCAGCAGTAAATCTCAGCAGTGGAGACTTATCAATAAAAAGGCATGCCCCAAGTGTGGGAGGTGATGCTAGCACAGGATAACGGGGGCCTTTGGAGGGACTCTTTCTGGGTGTCCCTTCATTCCTATGCCTTGATATTGCCAAGTCAGGCTTCCTTACACATTCACTGATGTGGATCTCAAGATAGCTTTAGGGGTAATGGAGTGATCACTGTTTGCAACTTTTTCTTTCATTTGTTTTATGAAACTATATACTAACTTGATTCAGGCAAAAACCATGTCAGTTTTTATCTCGTTACACAAGACATGCTTAGGTCAACGCTGGCAAGCAAAATCCATTTTCTGAGTACTGATGGGAGATGACACTCATGTATTTGCTGGCTGGCTAGGAATTTGGCTTATCTGTGGAATCATGCTTTTAAACATTATCCTCTCTGGCACCCAACATATAGGAGCCATAAATACTTCCAGAGTATGCTGCTGCCTGGGGCCTTTCAGCATATTCCCAAGTATTGACAGGAGGGTATTAAAAGCTGCATTAAAAACACAACCGCCAATGCTACTGAGGTAGGTTTCACAGATGTGACTTCACCTCTGGAGCAAATAAATCTCTGTTCTGTGTTAATGGCTGCTTGGCATCCAGGGAGGAAACACTGGCAAGATATACAACTATATTCCAAAAAACAAGGACAAGTTCCTGCAAGCTGTCTGGGTCTATTAAACGCACCCATGTCTAACCCAGATCCACAAGATGAAATGTGGGCCTTGGAGAATATGGAGGAAGGCACGTTTCTGTTAACAACGCCCGATGGGCACAGCCCATGCAGACTGACAGCTTTTTCCAGAGGGTAGATGGAAAACGGGAGGGCAATTTGGCCAAAAGAAGATAGTATATTACAGCTGTGGAAGATTTTCAGAGATACTCTAGCAAGAAGCAGCTGTGCGATGCGCATCTTTGAGTCCGTTTTTTCGGTCATTGTTTTGTTGTCTAAATTCAGCCCAGGAAACTCACCACTGTCAGCTTCCTTCAGAGTTCTATGGGGCTCAGGTTTTTTTGTTTTTAATTGTTTTAGTTTATTCATTGTTTTTTATTGCATTATCATTGTTTTGAGAGTTGTCACTCTCAAAAATATGAGCAAAATACACAATTATGATCCATGAGAGTTATGCCATCCTATTTCTTTGGACAGGACTTTCTGACATTCAAAAAAAAACACAAAACTCTATGATGACCTAGAAGAGTGGAATGGGAGGGTGGATTGAAAGAGGGGATATATGTACACATATGGCTGATCCACAGGGTTGGACAGCAGAAACTCACACATTATAAAGCAATTATATTCCAGTAGAAAAATATGTGGTTCTCTATGCTCAGTGAACAGAAACACTATACCAACAGTGCTACAGTTTCCACATTCTGCATCAAAGCTGTTTGAACTGATACACAGGCCAACAACTGGCTGTATTTTAGAGGCTCAAAGGAACCTACCTATGATTTGACTACAGTTGAAAATTTCTATGAAGAAAGGAAATAATGCCAGGGTAGGTTTCTAAAGTTATTGACCACAACAGACTACTAATGTGAACCTTGTATTGTTGAAAATCATCCTGCAACAGCTGTAAGAGTTACCCGGATACATTTCACATTAGTATACAAATAATTCCCCTAGTTTGGAGGCCAGGGCAAATGGTGACAATCTAAACAAATATGCTCTGTCATTAGGGGCCCTGGTGAAATTAAGCTATTTAGGGAAAACTTATTTGCATGCACATATGTATCTATAACTCTAAATTCTAACTGAAGTAAAGCTAAGCTGACTAACTTTAAGTCTATGAAATACTGAGATATGAAGATTTGGAGTATTTGAACTAGTTAACAAAAATGTAATGACTCAAATACATTGAATAACGTTGGCAAACCTTGTAAAATTTATTATCAACATCACCATTGTGGCTGATGGTTAAATTAGTCCACTCTTGTGAATATCATACAAAGTTGGGACTTCAGCTATAAAACGCATAACCAGTATCACAAGTGAGAAATGATAACTCTCTGTCACTCTTGACCATCATAAAAACTCCAGTGACAGAAATACAGCGCCTGTAATTTCCACAGCCTCCATCGCCTGCAAGTCACAAACTGAAAGGGACAACCCTCAGCTTGACCTGTGAGTTTCCTGAAAAGTTACCCCTTACAGAGACGAGAAAAAGTTAAATCGTCCGACACAATCAAGCTTCAGAAATAGCTGACCTGAGGTTTTCCCTGAGGTCACTGGGCTTCCTTCTCTCTGCAGCGTTAGGCATGGCCTTCGAGTTGACTAAGAAGAACTCCGAGAGTTCAAAAACACTCCCTCGGGGTTTGGGGACCAGCCAACTTGCGCAGTGGCAGCCTGCCTGTTTTCTCCTCCTGCATTTTTACCGTTAACCCAGCAATCTTCGACCAGCCTTCCCAACACGCCCCCCTTCTTACCTTGATGTGGGAGGCATTAATGTAGCCTGTGTTATTTTCTTTGGTTGGTATTAGCTCTACGCGGTTCTCCTCATAGGGAACCACCTCGCGGATTCGGCTGCGCTCAGCATTTTCTGGCAGAGCCGCTGTGCTGAAAATGCCATTTGCCTTTTTCTTTGGAATTTGCTCGTATTCTGTGAACACCATTCCCTCTTCGAGCTTCTTCTTCAGGGTTCTGAACTGCAACAGAAGGTGATCTTCAGCTCTCTGAATAATCTGATCCAAATACTCTGACAAAACCACCAGATTTCTCAAAATATTTACAGCGAGGGTGTTAATCAGTAGTTTCAAGATGGACAATCAAAACTTGATTATTCGGTCTCATTCATTCACCATATTGAACGTTTCTCTTGTCTAATAACCAATTGCCTCCTCGCTCATACCTTAAACAGCACAAATCTGCCAGACTAGGCAAGAGCTGAAATTCAAAATTAGCATTTTGTTATTAATGTGTATTCATGCTCTATTGCTCAGCTGTGTCCAATTCTTTGTGGCCCCATGGACTGTAGCCGGCCAAGCTCCTCTGTCCACAGGATTTCCCAGGCAAGAATACTGGAGTGGGCTGCCATTTCCTCCTTCAGGGGATCTTCCAACCCAGGGATTCAACCCATGTCTCCTTGGCAGGAGGATTCTTCACCTCTAAGCCACCTGCTGTTTGAAGTTCTAGTGATAAGATTTTTAAACCTTAGTTATCAAAAAAATCCTTTTCTCCACTTATGTAATTGTTTTTAGCTAAATTTTAAGGTGATACTGATCCACAGTTCTCTAGTCATGTGGATTAGACACCCCCCTCTTTTATTTTTCCCATGACCAAAATACTAATTACAATAACATGGTATTAACTGGATTAAATGATGCCTCAAAAGACCCTTCTAGGAACCTCCCTGGGGGTCCAGTGGTTAAGACTCTATGCTTCAAATGCAGGGGTCATAGTTTTTGATCTCTGGTCAGGGAATATGCCATGTGTTGTGGCAAAAAAAAAAAAAAGTAAGACACTTCTGGCTCTCAGAGCATGCTAATACTTCATATATGCCGGCAAAACCTAAAACCCTAATCTTATTGGCACTCTATTACATTTACACAACCTGTTTTTTAACCTGACAGCAATTTCAGGGACTACAGGAGCATCTTTGTTCACCTCTGAAACACTACCATGCAACTTTCTTTGCTTTTCAAAACCAAAGTTCTCACAATGCATTACCCTAACAATTATATGTCAGTCATACTCTATAGCCAAGCATGTGCCCAGCTGCTCAGTCATGTCCGACTCTTCGCGGTCCCATGGAATATAGCTCATCGGGATCCTCACTCAGTCTGTGGAATTTTCCAGGCAAGAATAATGGAGTGGGTTGCCACTTCCTACTCCAGGGGATCTTCCCCACCCAGGGATCAAACCTGCGTCTCTAGCATCTCCTGCATTGGCAGGCAGATTCTTTACCACTAGCGCCACCTGGGATGCTCCTAGCAAGGGGCCAGCATATTAAAGAATTCTATAAGTGCTTGGGTAAAATAATTCCTCCCTAATAAAGGGTACTTGTTCACAAAAATCACAGAAGTTGAGCACTAGGGCAAGGGCTTAACCTCTTCACTCTGCAAAACAAAAAACCAGGCCCAGAGAAATGTGGGTTGACAGAGGCTACACAGACAAGAGGCCAGGGCTGGCATCTCTAGGCGTCATCACTGAATCAGCCTAACCAAGAAACAAGAGATACTGGAAGGGATCAGTCTAATGCAGCACAATCCAGGTCGCGCTCATCTTCAAGCTGGAGAATGAATTCGTCAAACACACCTTCGTGCTGGCGTGTCTGGGAGAGCAGAGAGCATCAGAATCCTAAGACCACAGAGAAGGAGCCACGCGTTTGAAGAGCCCAGTGCTTACCCTCTCGTCCACGGGGACTCGGGTGGCGTCCACGCGGCTCTCTTCCCGCCCGGAGCCCCGAGCAACTGAGAGTCCGTTCAAGGCTGCCAACATCAGTGGCCTCTTCTGCACCTCCAGGCCTGCCATCTTCTGCTTTTCTAGATTCTTGCGGCAAGAAAAGGCATGTTCTCATTGTTTGTAATACCAGGAGAATGCTGGAATGTGTTTTAATCTCCCCAAATCTATAACTCCCCAGCCAAGGAATGCAGACAATTACCATTAGCAGGGCAAATTCAAACACAGCCTTCCCCTTCATTCCCACTGCGCCCGAGGAAGCCGGCTCCACTGGGCCTCCTGAGCGTTTCTTTAAAAATGGAGTAAAGAAACAAATAGACAAGAGCAGAGACTCTACACCCTGCCGCAGGGCTCACAAAAAGAGCATGCATTAGGAAGACACTGAAGGAAGACAGGACAAAGAAAAGAGAAACAGAGATTCATGAATAATCAGAGCTAGTCACAACGATGGACCTTTTATGCAGATTAAATGGTAAAAAGCTTATAAAAACTGCTGCGTTCTTTTTTTAAGATTTTTATTTTTTAAATTATGAAAGTCTGATAACACATTTATAGGAAACGTGGAAAACACAGAACAAGGTTATATACAGTTCCACTATATATTACCGTTATTTTTTTAAGTGGCAAAATTAAAGATTTTTAATTGGAGTTTCAACATCAAACTCTCAAAAATCAGTAGAATGAATATATTGAGAAGCAGAAGGACATAGCAGAAAAACTGTCCCATTGATAAGAGGATGGATACATACAGAGGTAGAGAAAAAACTTCCTTCCCAAGTTCCCACTCAGAGGGGCTAGGACTGAGGTGTTAACTCTATATTGAATCTCTCTGGTCCCTGGGATATTATCCCCAGAAACAGAGCTGATGTAGTTTATCACACGCGCTAATACCACAGCCTGGAACCACCTGAGATGACCCCCCGGGCAGGACGCTTCATGCTTTACCCAGAAGACTCGCAGGAATGGAAGCCATGGCTCCCAATGACCACAGCGGGGCCCCACTGGCTGTGACTACACCTGGGAGAGCATGACCTGGGGGCCACGCAGGCCGCACTCGGCCCTTGCTTATGACTTCGTGACTCCTCTCTGTGCTCACCTGCACAGACACTCTGAAACTGTTGGGCCCCTGTTATTTTGCCTACAGCTGTGCTTCCCCACTTCCTCTAAGATGACTGGGGCGTGAACCAATCTCCAGTTGATCACTTCAGGCAAAACAGGAGAATTTTCCACCCAATAGTTTTGTCTTAGAAGACAAAAGGACAGAGGGACTCTATAAAGCACAGAAACAGATGAGTTTTACAGAGTTTACAATTTTCATCCACAGTTTGCAGGTCCCTTTGGTTGCCGCAGATGAAGGAGTGATCTTACTCCGTGTTTTGTTTTGTTTTTCAAACCTTCAGGTATTTTGTTCTTAGTCTGTCCTTTAGAAATTTACTTTCTGGAGAAGTGTCTTGTGGAGCTATGGTATTGGTGGAGGATAGAACACTTGTTGTGTGTGTTGATTCAGTCGTGTCCAACTCTTTCTGATCCCATGGACTGTAGCCTGCCAGGCTCCTCTGTTCATTGAATTCTCCAGGCAAGAATACTGGATTGGGTAGCCATTCCCTTCTCCAGGGGATCTTCCTGCCCCAGGGATCGAACCCAGGTCTCCTGAGTTGCAGGTGGATTCTTTACCACCTGCGCCACCAGGGAACACACTGCACATCAACTATACTTCAATTAAAAAAAAGAAGTGTGGAGCCCTGGCCTTTGTGACTGATGCTGTCGATAAGATGCTGGGTCCCGTAACAGGGCTAACCCATCAGATAAACCGAAGGAGCATCTCAGAGGGGGATAAACTGTGGGAAAGTGAGAAAGGGCCAAAACATATTCTATCCTTAAAAATGATCCTGGTTTCTCAACCCTGGGCAGACTTTGAACATTCAGGATTTAAATTTGGGGAGTTTTGTTGGTTTACTTACTTACTAGTTTGTTTTTCTAAGGGAGAATTTCCTCCCTGCCTGCTGCTATCTCTTTTAGTTGAGAATGTTTCACTCCTCTGCAAAATTTTGAGAGAGCAATGATTCTTCTCTTTTTTTTTTTGGTAAATGGTCCTCAGATCCTTCTGACAGTCCTTCTGCTTCATTCCCACCTGCACCATAAGGCGACCCCAACTGGGACCCAAAACAAAAAGCAACTCATTTGTCTTTCTTGGGAAAGGATTACTACCCAGGGAACACTGAAACCCCAATGATAAACTATTTCTCTTAGCTCCTCCTCATTTATCCTATCCGCTTATTACTGGAGATCAAAAATAATGAATTCAAAGATTTAACTGCAGACAGTGAAATGCCTTAGAAGCAGCAGCAGGAGGCATGCAGGAGGCATGCAGGAGGCGCTATCCACACCATAGGCCTAAACGATCCATCAAGGGGAGGAGCAACTCCAGAAAGGGAGAGAGAGAGTTGCCTGCAGGGCAAATTCTCACCATAGCTGTCTGCTTCCAGTTCCTATTTGGTTTTCTCTTCTAGGAAGGCCTTGACAGCCTTCTCTTAGCTATGCCTAACAAGCAGGCAAAATCTACTCATGATGGGGACCAGAGTAAGGCACCTGAGATGTGGGGAGGTCACTGGGGTGAGTTTCTTCAGAAAGACCAGGGAGATCCATCCCAAGCTCCAGTGCTAGGGCTCAGGTCACCATCTTGCCTGGCTCACCAAAGACCTTCCGAGTCCTCCTCTGAGGTCGGGACCACAACCAAGGGTGGCTGCCCTTGATCTCACAAGTATGTAGGATTTGGGGAAAAATCAGGGAAGGGATTTCCCTAGCGGTCCAGTACTTAAGATTTTGTCCTTAAAATGTGGGGGGCATGATTCAATCCTTGGTCAAGGACTAAGATCCCACATGCTCTACAGTGTGGCCAAAAAACAATTTTTTTAAAAAAGGTACACTTTAAAAAAAAATTAGGGAAAATGACATAGGGCTGGGGTAATGATGTTACTGAACTAGTTAAGAGGTAAAATCGGCTATTCACTATTACCCAATGGATGGGATGGGAGGACATGTGGATGAACAGTGAGAAAGGCCTTTGTTTGCTCTGTGATAATGCATGAAGCTCTATATGAGGAATCAGGGCCATAAGCATCAGCTCCAGGCTTTTGTTTAATACAGGTAACAAGGGGGTGAATACAACCAAAGTGAAGCTAGGCAACCATGTAGGTGGTAATAAACAGCCAGTCAGCAAAGGAAATGGCAACACCGAATGCTTCCACTGATGAGTTCTTGATGCTGAGTTGTGTGAAAGGGGCCTGAGGCCCAGAAGTGCTGAAACTCCCTTTCTACCAACGATTATTTTTCCCAAACGTGGAAAGCTCTCCCCAAGGCACCCACCTCTGCACTTCAATCCATCCCCCAGCCAAACAGTTTTATTTGCCACAGGCACAAGCACATCTTTCACAATTTCCCTCCAGGTTTGCGAAAAGTGGAAAAAGTTATGTCTGTACCAAATTCCTAGCAATACTCCATGGATGGCTAAAACTGTGAGGCTGAGAATGTTCTTGAGGTTTGTCTAAAGCCGGAACGTTGCTATGGATTAGATTCCTAAACCTAGGGACTTGGCTTTCTTAAAACTTTGGCTCTTTACTATTCTTTACAAGTTGATTCCCACTGCAGAATCGGGGAGACTTATACATGAAGAAAGTCTGATGAATTCCCTCAAAGCAAAATATAAGTTACAACTGCGCTGGAGTTCCTAAAAGAAGTGCTGGCTACCTTATCACCCAGATGTGGTACATGCAGAGGAGAAGTCCATCTGGGTTTGAGTAGTTATAATGACAGGATTTTTTTTTTAAGGGAGTGAACATCTCCAGGAGGAGTAGCAATGGTATTATAAAACATTCTGTAAAGTAGCAAATACAATCCAGCAATTTTCTCATTAGTAAGATGTAATTCACTTTGTTGCTCTAGGTATGCAACTGTTACTGTATACTTTTGCTCTGGCAACATAACTAAGCTTCCAGAGGAAACATACTGAAGAAGAGTGACTTATGTCTAATATTAGGCATCGTCAAATGTTACATTTGTGTGCATTGAGTGTATAAATGTGTGAGTTCTTGATGGAGTAAGCTCAATGGTGAATTCAAACTCAACTGTACACTTCTGAGTTTACTGTAATTTTCATAGGTTTGTGCTGACCATCTATTGAAAGAAGATCTGAAAATGAACTGGACACATCATGGTCTACACTGATGGCAATCCTGACATCCAGGTCTACACAGAAAGCTGCCCTTTGAAGGGAGGCTGCTCTTTTAATATTTAACTGGGGAAAAACTGCTTTCCCCAGAAAAAAAACAAAATGCCAGGAGATGGAGGAAGGTGAGCTCCTGGCAGCTCAGGCAATGGGAAATCTGACCCTGAATATATTCACCAAAATGCTGGCTCAGACACTGATCTCAATACCACATACCTGTAAGATCCTAACTTTGTCACAGCATTTTGCCCCAAGCAGGCCTATGAGAAGCCGTGAATGAGAATGAAAGGAGCAAAAAACAAAGTTTTGTGAAATGAAATCCTACCTGTTTAAAATGCAAGTGACTTTTAAATCCTATCATATGTTTAAATCCTCCCAGGTTCCCTGATAAACCTCGTGCTTTCTTCCGTGCCCAGAGGAGGGAGGTGTGCCTGAATCACCCAAAAGGAGCAGGGAGGGTGCTCTGGGGTGGGGGACCAGCCCCTTTAACCATCCCTCCAAAGATACCCCCGGGAGAGGCGGCCACTTACCCGAATCATCATCTCTCTTTCTATAATGCTGTCCTCCAGGGAAAACATTTCGGACACAGGTCTCTCCTTGACGGGCTCTTTCTTGACCCGCTCCTTCACGCTCGTCAGGTCGGGCTCCGAGATTGATGGCCCGAGAGAGGCCCCGTTGACGGCCAGCTGGTCGGCCCGGGAGACGCTGATGGCCTTGGCGGGCCCGTGCCGCAGCAGCCTGGCCCGGGCCACAGCAGGAGGCAGGCACGCCTGGTCCTGCCGCAGCGCCCCGTTGCTCACGCTTTTCCGGGGCCCGGGGTACTCGGGCGGGGGCTTGTTTGGAATCCGGGCCAAGGCGGCCTGGAGCTGGGCGCTGTACTCCGCCTTCTCCCGGAGCACGGGGATCTGGGGCACCGGGTCGGGAGCCTCCTCCTCGTCCTCCTCGCTCTCGCTGCTGTGGATCAGCATGGTGGCATCCGAGAAAGTCTTCTTGTGGTGGTACTGGGGGAGCTGGGGGACCTCGTGGCTGCCAGGGCCCTCCTCGGGAGGCCCCGGCTCCCGGAGGGTGTTGCGGCGGGCCATGGGGATGTTGAGCGACTTTAGGGTCATGGCTTCCATGCCCCTCACGATGCTGCTCATCGCCTCCAGGCTGTGGCGCTTGTGCACCGCGCCGTGGTGCTTGGTGGCTGTGAGGGGCTCGCTCACCTCCTGCAGAGACTGGTGCACCACCGGGGAGCTGTCCTCCTGGAAGGTCTTCACGGACAGCTGAACCTTGCGGGTCACCAGGTCGGGGCTGCTGCCGCTGACGTACTTGTGCCGGTGGCTGGCAAGGTCTGGCGTGCTGGTGGCCGGCCGGGGCCGGGGGTAGGGGGGCGGCGGCCGGAAGAGATAGTTTCTGAGCACGTGGGCCGCGTTGTAGCTATGGGCGCCCTGCAGCTGCATGTTGGCCAGCTCCGGGGTGCTCACCGTGTGGGAGATGGCAGTGGCTCCCCCCGGCTGGCTCGGCACTGTGGTATTCGTGGGGTTGAGCTGGTCTGACGGGCAGACCAGTTTGCTCGCGTAGCCCCCCTGGGGCCCGTAAGGGATCGTGTAGGGGTGCCTCTCCCGCATCTCGGGCTGGCTGTACACCAGGTCCTCTGGCTGGTTGTAGGCGTGGGTGTTGATGATGTTGAGGTTTCGCAGGGACTGGCTCTGGCTGTCCGTGTGCACGATGCCCCTCTTCATTTGCCGCATGACCGTCTCGTAATCGGGCGTGGGCCGGTAGGATGGTACGATGATGGCGCTATGCCGGTGGCTGGGGATGTAGTCCGCCCGCATGATGTCACTCCCGGGGATGCTGAGGTTGGAGGAGACAGGAGAAGCCTGGATGAAGCTTTGGGAGCAGCTGAGGGAGTTGACGCTGTGAACACTACACACGCTGCCGCCATTGGTGACGGTGCCATTTAAATAACTTAAGTCCAGGCTGTTGTGTGAGTTGCAATACAAGGCTTCTTCATTCCCATGGAAGATGCTGTCTGCAAGAAGTCAAACAGAGGCCCGTGAACCTCCACACCATCCTGCTTCCACTGAGTTGGTCCTCACATTCATGGGGGTCATTTTTAACTCACATAAGTCATAAAAAGGGAAATCCCATGGTCTCCACCCACATAGGCCATAGAAAAAACCAGCAATTTCTTGGGCAAGATGCCAACATACTGAAAGAATATTTTAAAGCACACTATAAAGAAAAAGTGAATCTAAACAAATGAAACTAGGTACATATGGAACTGCTGTCAGCTGGGTTAAGTTCTTGATTTGGCCTGAGATACCAACAACGGTCCTCACACAGGGAGACTGGTCCCTCTTATGTAGGGCTCAATGACAGAACTGGATATTTGGGCCAGGAAGTGAAGAACTTGGAGTTCTTGGAGCTGATCTTCCTTGACTGCAATGGAAAAACTCCCTATATCCAAGGGACTGCTGAGCATTAATCAAGACAGAACGCAAGTAACACAGTCAGGATGTCAGCAGGCATGGCTACTTCGTTCTGATCAGTGAAGGGCAAAATAAGACTCAGGAGCAGAATTTTACCCCTGTCTAAAACCCGCCTCTAGACTTGGTTTCATCACCAAGGTCAATTTCACATTAAAATTATTAATACTTTAAACAGGTACCTAAAGAGATAAAATATAGTGAAGGACAGGGAGGCCTGGTGTGCTACAGTCCATGGGGTCACAAAGAGTCAGACACAACTTAGCGATTGAACAACAACAATAACAAAGAGATAAAAAGTGGATTTCTAAAGTCAGGACCGCTCTATGCATCCAGTCTTCCTTTAACACACACACACACACACACACACACACACACACACACACCCTTTCGAGGCAAGCTCTTACAAACACATTTTTCTGTGGGCAAAATATATTTGTTTGTACACTGTAGATTTAAGCATGAGTGGAGTAGAGGAATTCAAAGGCAGAAAAGGTTAAAAAACATAAAATGTGACTGAAAATACTTGGCTGCCTAAAGAGGAGAGGTGGGAATATAGACAAAATGAAATGATAGAAGCCAGGAAAACTAGGAGAGAGAGACACTGCATTTATCCACCTCTAATGGGGTTTGGTGCCTTCCCATAGAAGCAGGGTAACTTTTGCTAGTCTGCTTACATCATCTTGATGATCTTAGTTTCCAGGCTCACACTTTGACAGTGCAAAGATTCAAAAGAGCTAGCATATGATAACACAGAAATGAATTATCCTTTACCCCACTGTCAACATCCAGTGTTTAATCCCATCTGTTTTCTAAGATGCAGTTACTGAAATGATCACGGAGCACCGGCTCCAGAGTTAAGACACTGATTTTCATATCCAAGCTCCTCCAATACCCTTTCTGTATCCCAGTTTCTATAGCAAATGGAAATAACATCAATAGTACCTATCTCCTAGGTTTATTTTGAGGATGAAATGAGACAATGCAGTGCAAGTACTTAGAACAGTGCTTAAGGAAAAGAACTGCTCTATAAATGTTCATCGTTAGACCATTATTATTGAAATGTTTTTTTTTTTTTTCATACATTTTGCAGGGGAGTGTTCAGAGAGACTAGGAACGAAAGAGACTGGGGGAGAGGCAGCAAACCAGAGCTAAAATGAGGGGCTGAGATTATGTGTGTGTTTCTTTCAATTATCCTGGACGCCCGTTCTCCGTCACCATGAAAACCTGGCTGACTGTTACAAGCTCTCTGACCCTGGCAAGGAAGGTGAAGAGTCTTCTGCTGGGCTTAGCTGTCACTCTCTTCTCTAACCCACTTTCAAGGATGAGGAGGAAGAGAAAGGAACTCGCCTTCTGTCTTCCCCCAACTCCTTCCACACACAATTCTGGGGAAGTTTTCGTCTCAGGGGTAAATGGTATTCCGTGACTCTCACAAATCCCAAACTGCTGCCATTCAGACCATGACAAAGGTAAAATAAAAGTATCGCTGTCACCTAAAACAAAATAATCTCAGCACTGATCCCCAGTACTCAAATTCAGGTCTTAAGAAGGGACAGCAGAGAGCCTGCGTTACCTTGAGAAGTGTGTGTTTCCGAGTAGTGTTCGCCGCACTGGACGTGCATGGGAGGCAGGATGTAGGGCTGCTGCCGGGGCTGAAACAGAGAACACAGCACATGTGGGAGGCCCCGCACCGGAGCGCTCCCGAGCACCAGCCCGAGCGCACGACGGGCCCCACGCTCATCCCTGTAAGGAGACACGCGAGGGATTCTCCGCCCTCCCCTCAGCCCACCCTCTTCTGCGCATCTGCACCCTCATCTCATCACCAAGCCTCGGAATGGAGACACACGAAGCGGGGAACAGGGAGGCTGGTTCAACGGGAGAAAGAGGCTGCAGTCAGCACGAAGGGACTTCATTATAGCCTACTTTCTGCCACCCGTGCAAAGCTCCCAGTGCTGCTCTTCAAAGGAAAAACTCAGAACATGCATATTATGATGCTCCACCTAAAACATAAGGAGAGTCAAGGGGAAGTCTGTTTCCTTCTATTCAACACTGGGTCCCTCCTACAGCCACAAGCTTGTATCTATCGGCATAGCTGTACCTGTGACCCAAGTTCACACTGCTACAACAACCTCAAATAGGGGTGGGGGAGTGTTAAGCTGGGCCCACTTGCAAACGTATATAAAATTTGAAATGGGACCCATAACAGTAAGTGTGCAATTCCCAAGACCACTTACTGACCCTCCCCCCTTGCAGAACCAAATGTGGAGAGGTCTTGCAGAGAACCTTGCAGGTGCAACCATCTACCCTTTCAGTGAAGACTCATTGCCATAAGACTCAAACATGGCCATTTACACTCAATCTGAATAATCGCATGTTGAAGAGGAGGGTAAAATTCAGAGAAAACACCAAAATGCTTAGACAGTTTTGCTATTTGGGAAGCTGACAAAGGAAACATAGTCAGTTGCTAATGTGGTCTAGAGGAAGTCATTTAATCTCAATAGGTCTCAGCTTCCTGTCAATCAAATCAGTCTCCTCCTTCCAACATGATCCATTTTATTTAGATATTGGGTTCCAAGTAAAAATATGTTTGAAGAGTTGTAATGCTAAAAAATACACTTTAAGCCTGTAAACCACCAAACCAGATGGTCTCTTATATATCTATTCGATTATCTTTAAGTTTGTCTTATAGACATTGGTTTAAATGTTACTGCTTTGGGACAGAAGTGGAGATCAAGCCAAAAAAACCACACAAAGCCAGCAGGGGTCACACTTTCTTAGTATCCCTAGACTGAAGAACATGGGGCAGTATGAACCTGTGTTGATAACTCATCTACTATTTCCTTTTCTGCAAATAATGTTTACGTATCAAAAGAGCAAATAAAGAAGATATAATGACCAAAAATCCAAAAATTAAAGAGAAAAAGAGGAAAAGAAATAAAGAATTAAAACCAATCTAATACAGTACTTAAGGGTATCAGTTCTGCTAAACATTCCCAAATCTCTCTTTGGCTGGTCTTTGACTAGCAGTTTAAAAATATTTTTCTGCTTTTTGGTAACAGCTAATTCAACTCATTTTTTTCCATGACTGGATAGCCAGTTTTCATGTCAACAAAAAAAGACCAAAAAAAAAAAAAAAAGACAGCAGGGAAGGATTCACACAAGAGAATAGAAATACACAGCAAGGCAAAGTTGGCTCACCCTGCCTTCTCTTGCTTTAAGTTTTTTAAAAAGAAAAATCCTACAAGTCAGTCACTGTTTATGAGCCAACATAAGTGTATAAGCAATACAAGTGAGAGGTAATAATAGTAATCTTCCAAATACCATTTCAGGATTGCATTATTTATTCTATCTCTTCATGTATTTCAGTGTATTATTCTTTTTCTTTCCAGATCAGCTAAGACAACAACAAATTAGATGCCACAGTATAGGAGCCCGAAGAGCAAGAGAAAAACCACCACCGGGAACCCTGGTTATCAGCTAGGAAAGGCAAAGGCGACGTTATCTGGTTTTACTCTCACTCATCCCAAGAAACGCTTGCTGACACGGTTTAATCCTAAAGGGCAGAGGACAGGGAGAAGCCAGGAACCCGGCTTCCTGCAGATTATCTGCATCCGAATGAAACAGGAAAGCCTCTGCATCTTCTCCAGATAATCAGGATGCGATCAAATCACAAGATAGCCCTGAAACACTCTGCTTCCCCTGGCATTTCATGGACACAAGTGAACATTTATCTCACTAGTAAAGATGTGTGGACTCTAAGGAAGGGAAAAGTGAAATAATACCAACAAAGGAGAAGAATAAAGAAAACAATGCCAGGAGGAAATCCGTTGCTGCTTCAGGGGAGAAGCCCAAAGCAACCCACTACATCTCCAAGGACTTTCTGTGAGAGATCGTGCATTGACACAGAGAATTAATAGTATTTATATGGGTTCTCAGGAATTATTAAGTGATGATAAGATGAACAAACTCTAGAATTCCAAGAATTCATGTGAATGCATTTTCCAGGAAAAAAAAAAAATTCCTTAAATAGTTCCTTTTAAATGACAGGTTAAAGATGTCCTATAGGATATATATTGTGTATAAAGAAAAATTTTATTATCCCATCAATTCAAAGGAACTCTTCACCTACAGACATTTAAAGGCCATCTGTTTATTTTTATTTTGTGTAAAATAAATCATAACCTAGAATAAGTTATTTCCTTATTCACATGACAATGAGTTGTTTCCTTATTTATATGAGGAGAGCAGTTTTTTGTGTTTTTTCTAAGGCTAATGGTAGGTAGAAAAGTACCTCAACTCAAATTCTGTTGACCGTAAAATTAGAAAATTAATTAACCTTAATTTTCTTCCCCACTAAATATTCTAGCTGAGACCATCAACTAGACTCCTTCAATATTTCCTTCAAGTAGTCATTTTCCGACTAGTTTATTAAACTATGGCAGTGATTAGAAAAGAATTTGCAGAGATTATAACTGATGACATATCTAAATGTGCAAAAATCAGGAAAGGTGATAAAGCAAGTGGAAAAAAAACACACACACAGTAAGCTGCACGCTGAAGGACTAAGATCTCATCAGCCTGGAATAAGACTCCCAGGGGTGAACCTGGGGTCACATTTAGAGAAGTGATGGCCATGGGTGTGCACACCCCACCCGCAGAGCAGACTGACTGATGCCCTTCTGCGTTCGCACCAGATCTCACGTGGTCATGATGCCCTGGCCACCCCTCCCCTCAAAATCAACCACAGAAGGACACGTGAACCCCAGCGGTCAGAGGACTTGATAACTGAAGATGTCATACATACCAGGGAGGACCGGCTCCAGGTGGGCTGGCGTCTGATAGGGGGTGGAGAATTGGATTGTCTACATGAAAAGTTGAAAAAAATGAGGATGGTTATTCTTATTTACCACGTATTCTAGATGACCTGATAGATGAGAGAGGGAGAAGAGGGGAAAGTAGACAAAATGGGTTAAGAATTACAGTAGAATAGGGAGTTTCCTGGTGGTACAGTGGGTAAGAACCCGCCTCCCAGTGCAGGAGACACAGATCCAAATCCTGGTCCCAGAAGATTCCACATGCCGAGGAGCAGCAAAGCTAGTACACCACAACTACTGAGTCACTGCTTTGGAGCCCTCGAGCTGCAGCTACTGAAGCCCGTGCGCCCAGAGCCTGTGCTCTGCAAAAAGAGAAGCCGCCACGAAGAGAAGCCTGTGCATTGCAATGAAGAGCAGCCCCCAGACTGCCGCAGGTAGAGAAACCCCGAGAGCAGCAGAGAAGATCCAGCCAACCTATATATCAAATATATAAGAATTATGGTGAAACAAAAATATTTTCTATTTCTGGTTGTGAGGCCAAGACAATTTTAATTTCCTTTTCTGTTCTTGTTTTATTTGCAAAAGGTTTGGAGTATATGATATTTTATAATGCTTTACAAAGTAATATGAAAAGAATGAGGCTTATTTCTAAAGACGAATTACAAGGGAAATAAAAATCAATGACCATCTTTTAGGGGTCAGAGAACAGAGACCTCTGGAGATGGACGCTGTCCAGATGATGCTGATTTCATAAACTCCAGAGAGCTATCCAAGCCTTCATGTAGTCCATGGTGAGACTCTGAAACTGCACACAGAATTTACTGTCTATGTGGGGGATGAGGGTGTTTTTAGAGAGTCCTAGTTTTCATCAGATATGAGAATAGGAACCTCACATACCCGGTTAGGAAGAAGGAAGGAATGATTATTACAGAAGTACGAAGGAGGACACAGTTTCCTTAATTTTCAGTATAATACGTGATGCTCACTCATATAAGAAGAAAAGGACACAAAAGAAATACAAATACTCAGAAAGTTTTATAATAAAGCCACTTGCTAAGAAATGGTCAAATAAGAAGACTACAGTGATATTCACTTCTCACAACAGTTTTCTTCTTAAATCCATCCTATGGAAGTCAACTATAGAACTCTTGTTAATTCAAAGACATCTCAACAAATAAAAGGCAGTAGCAGAAAATTGCAAAGATATGACTTATAGGGAGTCTATTCAAAAGAATGGTGTGTGTGCACAAGAATGGTGGGTGTGTGTGCACGAGAGCACGTGTATGCATGTGTGCATTCATCACATAGATATGGCTGCTTAAAATGCTGCTCCCGAATCCGTGCTCTTCTGGTTTACATTTGCAAACTTTGTTTGCAGACCTAATAGAGTCATCCTTTGACATCCAAGGAGGAGTGGTTCCAGGACCCCCTCAGATACCAAAATCCACCAATGCTTTTGTGTAAAATGGCATAGGATTTGCATATAACCCATGCACATCCTCCCACATACTTTAAATCATCTCAGGTTACTTATAATACCTAACATAATGTAAATAGCTGCCAGTACATAGGAAATTCAAGTTTTGCTTTTTGGAATTTTCTGGAATTTTTTAAAAAATATTTTGATCCACAGTTGGTTGAATCCACAGATGTGAAACCACAGATACAGAGGGCTGACTGCCTGTACTATCAAATATACTTTCAGACTCCAAGAGTGACCAGTGGCAGAGACTGGCTTAAAAGAGTCTCCATCACCCAGGGAAAAAACTCTGCCAGGACCTGATCCTCCAGTTTTAAAGCAGTGCCTTCTACAGGATCTGCTCTAGGACAGCATTTTCACATTCTTGGATGTGTCCACTGGGGAAGCGGGAAAGCAGTTCTTCTCTTGCATTTACATCCCTGAAGTTCTTTGAAACAAAATTAAGCACCTTGGGCGCCCCAACTGCTGAGGTACTCTGCTGAGGAACGTCTTTTGAAGGCAACCAGAGGAAATTCAACGATAGCATGAGCCAGACACACTCTATCCAAGGTCAGGTCACAGTTAAGTTCTCTCATCAGACTCTCTTTATCATCCCCATTTCCAAATTAAATTGAAAACACACACATGGATTTGTGACATCTATTAGTGTCTTCCAAGTCTTCCTCTAATTACCCTGGCCTCTCATTTACAGGCGGGTGACTTGACCCAGAAGCACACACAGGGTTAGCCAACTGTGTGAGCGCCACGGGGCTGAGGATGATAGCGGCTTCTTCTCTTTCAAGTTGGCTCATCACGCTGCTACCCGCTTCTGAACCCACGCTACATCTGACACGAAGGGGTGCCCTAGCAAATTGGGAACTGCTCGGCTCCTCCAAACTCATGGCGGAGGTTGGAAAGGCACTGATGTTGGCCAGTCCGTCCAGGAAGTCAAGCATTCACAGTCAATTTGCAAATCATTTTCCCCCTAGGCATAGAGGCGACACCAGACGGTCTTCATCATTAAAGCGCTTTCCCTCCCGCCCCGCTTCAGCTTGCCCCTTTAGCTTCTACAAGGAATGAGGCGAAAGACTGAGCAGAAAAGGTGATCTACAACATTCCGAAAGCATAGGAATTTAAGCTGGAACAAGCCATCCAGGGAGCAGATGGATGAAATGTTTACTTACTCAGTGCAGATTTTGTTTTGTTTGTAAAATTTGTGCCGCGTAGCAAACAGTCGAGATATGTACTTGGCATTTTCAATATCATCCTTGGAAAAGAAGAAATGGGGAAAAAACAAACATTTGTTAATATATGCATTTCATTACGAGTCCTCTGGGCAGGGACACGTCCCTTCCTCCCTTCATATCAGGCACAAAATAGCCCCCTGAGCCACATACCAACATGCTGAAGTTCAGCGGCAGTCATGTTGGTAAAGCCCACCCAAGGATATTAGATCTGCCTGCTAGAGAATCCTTTATGTCCATGGTGCTGGGGTTACACCGGTGATCTGGCATGTCTTTACATCATGCCAAACCGAGTACTTTGCAAATCAATAAATGAATCAAGGCAGAGTGTGGCATGGATATCAAGCATCATTCAATTAGAGGCAGAGAGGTGCGTGAACTGCCTTGGTTATCAAGGAGGAACTCAACAGAAAGGCAGTCACAAGTTTGCTTCACATCAGGCTTGGGCTGTGATGGCAAAGAAAATTCAAATAAGCCAGCGAAAGAAAATACCAGGCCATATCATCAGAGCTGACTAGTAAAGGGCATGCCAGACATTGTGATCCAGTACAAATGAGGCTGGTGGAAGAATGCAAAGCCTAGAGTAAAACTCAGCTTGGAACCCTGGCATTGTGAGCATCAGGTCACCACCACCCCTTGGAAATGAGTGATGGCAGCATTGGGCACATAATGGAAAGTAATGGGTCTGATAGACTATTTATTCTCTCATGACATGGAGACCAAGGAAAGCATATTAGGAGTTGAGAAGTCAGACAGCAAGCTGCCTGTGGGACCATGCCTTCACTGTCTGATTTACCGTGTGAAAGAGGGCAGTCTCCTCTTTGTTGACGAGCTCCACCAGGATAGTTGACTTGTTGTGGGTGATGTTTCCCATGTCATTCCACCTGTGCAGAAGAAATCCCACAGTGTTTGCCCAAAGACTTTCCAGACATTTATGACAGTACAGGAGGGTCATCTGCTATTACTGAGCCTCATTTTACAAATGATGGTTTAGCTGTATTTTTAAAAGCTAAACGTTTCTTCCTTCAAAGCAGAAATGGAAATAAAATGCAATATGCATCTACTTAAATAGCTACACACCGCCTCGACGCTGCTGTTTGATGAAGTACACTTTCCCTTATGAGCTAGGAGAAAAATATGCAAGAGACTTCTGCTACCTAGTTTTTCATATTTCCAGATGGACAAAGTCTTTCCCATGAACCCCATTTTCAATACTGGGAGAGCAGGTCATTTAAAAGTCACGTGTGGAGTTCCCAGGAGGTCCAGTGATTAGGATTCCAGCCTTTCACTGCTGTATGCCCAGGATCACCCCTGGTTGGGAACTAAGACCCCACAAGTCACACAGGGCAGCAAAAAAATAAAATAAAATAAATTATGTATTTTCAGGAACCTACGCTGAAGAATCTACGGAGCTTCTGTGTTGCAATGTACACTACAGATTTGATTATGCCACTTAGAAAAAATGCTGAGTGAATGTTTAATGTGTCTACATTTTTGTGATATAAACACACACACACACACACACACACACACACAAATTTCCTTCCCTTTCCTTACAGAGATCTGACCTAAAATGAGATACACAGACAGAACCACCACATAAGGGAAGGGAAGCTCCTGCTTCCCATCTATTTAGAGCCAGTTTCTAACCATCTCTTACACTACCTGCCCTTCACTCTGCTCCCCAACCTATAATTCCCTGCCCACTGCCTTTTCCTGTCCATCCTGCTTTTTTTTTAACTTAAAATTTATTTTTTTTGACCATGCTGTGGCAGAATGAGGGATCTTAGTTCCCCAACCAGGGATCAAACTCGCACCCCCTGTAGTAGAAGTTCAGAGTCTTAACTGTTGAACTGCCATGAAGTCCCCTTCTATCCTGCTTTTGCTCACTGCACTTCCATCTCTGCCTGAATGATTCCTTTAAGACTCAGAAGCAGCCACCTTCTCCAGGAAGCCTTTCCTCACTCCCAACCACCTACATGCCAGGAAAGAGCCGGGTGTAGTCCTTTATCAGTCACCACATTGTATCACAGTGGTTTATGTCTGTGATTAGATTCCTAACTAAACCAAACTCAACCATAGGACCCGTGCCTTGGGCAGAGACTCTGCTTGCTTCATCTCTGTATTCCATGGACCGAGTACATCTGGTTTAGAGCATATGCTAGATGCTTGCTGAAATAATGAAAAGTAAGGATGTTGCCTCCTATCTGTATAAAGGCCAGTTCTTTTATTAGCTCTCTAGGCAGACAAGTTTCCCACTTTGGAGATGAGGCAATTCAGGCCAAAGGGGAGGACTTGGCTTTATCCACTCTCCTTATCAGCATGAGTTATATCAATCCCTTACAGGTTTTCCTCCAATCACCCTTCTATTACACCAATGTCATCTGTGTTTATATACATCTACAGGTATTCTGCAAGCTGTCTGCTGACTAACAGCTCCATAAGATCTCATCTACATGGCCTCACAGCTACATGCTCCTTACTGAGGGTCTCGAAAGAGAAAAGATATTTGATATTCTCTGGTTCCATTCCCTCAAATCGATGGCCAGAATCCTGGATCCACTCCTCACTCCACCATATGACTGCACCTTTAGCGGCACAGTTAACAGGACACTACAGTAATAGTAAATTCACAACTTACAAGGGTTTCATGGCACATGCTAAAGGAAGCGGGCTGGAAGCAGTTCCCAAGGAAACTGAACAAAACCTTTGAGGGGCTTATTATGATCAGTGAACTTTCAAACTGCTATTTTCAATTTAATCCAGAGAGCCGGAATGCAAAATCTATCCCCCTCTCTTCTCTGGACTCAAGCACTGATTTAACTACAGAGAACTGTGTGGGACAAAAGGCCCGGGTAGCTTTACCTCGGCATAAAAATGTATAGCTCCGACTCTGCCCACATTTATATATTTTGCTCAATTCGTTGCAGGTATATGAGTCCTGCAACATGTCCCAAAGTCAAAAACATGTCCAAAAATAAAAAAGCTTATTTTGTAGCCCCAAAGCGCTCTCTCCCCACTCCTCCTTCAATAATGTCTCTATTCAAAGAGCAAAAGGAAACAATTGGAAAAAAATAATGGCAGGGTGGGGACCTAAGAAAACAAAAGCCAATTAGGAAGCTTTTAATGGGAAAACTTTCTCCAAATGACCTGCAGTAACTGCTGATCCAAGAAGTACACGGCTGGCCAAGAATTTACTTCCAGAAGGTGGACCATGCTCTGCCTCTAAGAGCCGTCTTTGATCATCTTCCCTGGACTGCATGCAGCTCTGCCTATCAGATGCACACGCAGGAAAGCTGCTTTTCCTGTAAATAATAGGCCACACTGCCCTCATAAATGAAAGTAAGTGTGCAGTTTTTCGGATTTTGACACTAGCATGGGATCTGTGGGCATCAATACAAGGCAAGCTCATGGACCTGTAATATAGGGGACACACTGTCACTTCCCTACACTGCTTCCACTCCTGTTAAATGGAAAAGAAGGCTGAAGGATCAAAGTAATAAAAAAGGACCAACGTCTTTTCATTAATGATAACAAACATTGATTTTTCAAAACATACTTTCACAAAGAGCCCTCTTTCTTTAATAGAAAAATTAGTTTGCACCTTTATAGCACATGGCGTTAGGCAAAGGGCGCGCTGGGCAACGGATGAAGCCAGGTTGGATTTAGTGACTGGTCATGGGTAATCTCTCTTGCCTGGAAAATCCCATGGATGAAGGAGCCTGGTGGGCTGCAGTCCATGCGGTCGTTATGAGTTGGACACGATTAAGCAACTTCACTTTCACTTTTCACTTTCATGCATTGGAGGAGGAAATGGCAACCCACTCCAGTATTCTTGCCTGGAGAATCCCAGGGACCGGGGAGCCTGGTGGGCTGCTGTCTATGGGGTCGCACAGAGTCGGACACGACTGAAGTGACTTAGCAGCAGCAGCATGGGTAATTTGGGCAAAGGGGATCCTGCAGGAGCCTCATGCCTAAAGAGCCCATTTCCAACCAGACTCAGAGAATTTGGTTCCATGCTTCTGGCTCAGTGGAGGTTCAACTATGAAGGTCTTGGAGTCAGTGGAAACAAAGAGCATTCTCTATCCCCCGCCCCTAAACAAACCCCCAGGGAAAGTGAGAGGAATTTCTCCATAACCACTTAAACCCTGCAGAGGGGGCTGATCTTATTAGAGTTGAGAAAAGCTCAACTCTTATGCACGGTCTGGCTCTTAACTCATCCGTATAACTTTCATACTCCACGGGGTTTGGGAGAACACCTCCAGGGGAGAAAGGAGAAAGGAGACAAATCAGACTACCTGTAGATTACTGCTTGTCTTCCAATTCTGTTCCTCACGAAAATCCCCATAAAGAAAATGCCCAGGTGCACACTGTTTCCATGATTGTCCTGCGTAAGATCAACAAGAGATCGTTGTGAGGAAAAACATCCCAGTGGTCTGGTAGCCTCCCCATGGGGACCGCACCCCGTTTCTCGCCCATACATGGAATGAGTCACAGACGGCATCGGGGCAACAAGGCACCCTGAAGGGAGGTGTCCACTGCACATTCTAAGAGACTACATAGATACGTTTTCTTCTTTTATCTCAATTTGTCACATTTCCTGTTTAAGAAAGAACTTTAGGATTTTTCTCAGATTGGTTGGCAGTTAAGATCTCTTTCATGAGCATCTATTAATATCTTTTTTAACCCTAGTTTTTGTTTTTCTTTTAAGTCAAAATGACATGTGCATACATTTTGATTATATATGCATACTGTATATGTGCAATTACACAGGCACATAATTTGAGGAACTGAATAGTCTTTAGATCTTGTTTAAAGCGGCCAGCAGTCACCATTTCCTCTCCTTTAAAGGCATCCAGTTCTACCACTTAAAGCCCTAGAGTGTGTCTATTTGCATCCACCATGCGCGGCCTTCCGATTTAGAACCTCGTGTTCCTCAGTTCTGGGGTATTTTCTCAAATTGCCACCTTCTGTTTCCCCTGTTCACTCTCTGCAGAGCTCCCATCACTCAAACGCTGAACATCTGGGCCGGGCCTCCAGTTGTGTCCCCTGCCTCCCACATTCCGTAACTCCGGGGTTGTCTTACTCTTCTAACCTGCCTATTAAGTTTACCATTCTGATATCATATTATAAATTTCTGAGAGTTTTTATTTTGTGAATGCTCTCTTTATTTTTTTTCCAGATTAACAAAATTGAATGTTCTCTTTTAAAAGCAACCTACTCCTTCAATGAGGAAATATATAATACATAAATATGTAAAATCCCTGAAGCTCACAGTATGAGGGATGGGGGAATCCTTCACCCTGCAGAATCTCTGCCTCTTTTGGGGTGCTTCATCCTCATTGTGCTGACCTCTGTTATTCCTATCAGGGCACCCTGGGGGGTGTGATGATCGAGTATCTATTCATGCTCCAGGGTGGGAGGCTAAACACTGGCTGGGACCTTTGTGAGCACAGGAAGGGCACGTGGACTGTAAGCTTCACTGTTCGCAATCCGCTGGGCCCCGTCTGGGAGAGGCCAGGGGTCTTGTCTTCAGTCCGGTCTCTTGGTCCAATCAGGTGCCTCCAACCTCCTGCCTGGGAAAGCATAACCCAGCCTCCAGTGTTCTTGAAAGCAGAGTGGGAGTAAGATTCAGCATCCAGGGAGCAAACTGTCACCCGGCCCCCTGTTTTCACTTGGGAGGCGTCCTCTTTGTGGAGTGAGGGGAGAGACACGCCCAACTCAGCCCAGGAAAGCAAAGATAAACCCCTAACCTTCCTCGGAATAGCTGATCCCATCTAAGACACAAAGACCTCCTTCTCAAGCACCTCATCTCAACCCACTTCCCCAAAACTTTCCATTCACATAGGAATCTTCTCAGAGAGAGAGAGAGAAAGGGGAGACAACTGCTGATGGCAAAAGCTGAGCGAGAAAGAACTCGGGATGGGGGAGAGGGCCTCAGTAATTACAAGGAGCTAAAAAGTAAGTTACATGATTAAAAAAAAAAATCTATGTGGGAAACGAAGACGGGCAAAGTAGAGATGGGAAGAGAAAGGAAAATTCTGTGGAAAGACTTCCCCAGGGATGCTGCCAGGAGGTGTGTGCAGAGGTCGAGGGGGACAGATGGGGACATGGGAGGAGCAGGCCACCAGCGTGGGATGATGAAAAACCACGGACCACACACCGGTCAGAACAGCACATGCAGCTCGGGTTGAGGCTCCAGACCCGGTGTGACCCATTCCAGAAGCTGCCTCCCCCCGTGCCCACCTGCTCTGACAGTACGGGAGCCCAAGGAGGCTGCGGGCACCCCGTGTTTGTGGACGGGGAGGGAAAGCCCTGTCAATAAATGCACTGGTATACCTGCTCCCCAATCTTGAAAAATTTTTTGAGAAATCACTCACTGGGAAGAAAAAAAAAAAACCCTACATGAAACTTAAATGGTCATCCCTGGGACATAGCCATAACATATGTTTGAAACCTTCCTTGGCCAAGAAGGTTGACCCAGAGGGACTCCATCACCACGGGCAGGCTGCCCTTGATGCTTTTTCACTTACAGCCGACTCCATCACAGCCCCCACGGGTACCACCGCCCCGCCCCGCATCCTTGGGTCACCCGGAATCACGCGGTCTGTAGGTGGTCACCTGAGTCATGAGCAGATATGCAGTGGGGGAGGAAAAAAAGCAGCAGGCCAGCAGACTTACACCCACAGGCCGTGAGTCAGCCGAGCCTGTCTGCCCACTCGGAGCAGCTCTGGGAGCTCCCTGCACTTTTCCCACTAAAGGACAGACTCAAAAATGCATCCGAACCCAGCAGAGCGGATTTCAACGCCGTCTCCACTGCCTCTGCTTCCCACAGTTCAGAATGACTTTAAAAACCACGCAAGCAAATGACCCCCATAACCAAACCTCCAATCTCCAGGGCCCAAAAAGTCGGGTTTTCTAGAAGTGGAGAAAAGTTTACTCTGATTTTCCAAAATATCATGACTATATATGGGCTGCTGAAATGTAAGTGGGATGCAGATGGCTTCATAAGGCATTATTGCAAGGAAAATGGATTACAACCCTATGAAGGGCAGCCATTAGAGAAGCAAAAGAAAATTAAACAAATCTAAAAAAGAGCCATTTAGCCTTTTTTGCAAGCTGCGGCCACCCTGCTCTAGTCTACTTGATACACATGGGCAGTTCTCATTAAGGCAAATTGCAAACGTGCAACAGAGGGGGAACAGAACACTTATAAAACAGCCAGTGGAGCCAGTTTGGAGTGAAATGTTTATGCTGAAATTGCAGGAGTCTCCCAAATTGCTGAAATGTGCCAGTTGCTTTAGGTTTCTGATAAAACTCCGTCTTTGGTAAAGTGGGTCACCAGAGACAGGAAAATTAGTTTGGATGATGGACTCAGCTCTATAGATGACCTTGCACTATGACCCCACCACCACACCCTCACTTCAGGAGGTGAATTTGTTGCAAAGGGTGGGATGTGCTTATAACCATTTTCTAGGCATACTTTCCAGAAAACACCAAAGGGGCTGGAAATCCACAACAGAGGCTCTCTAGAGCCAGAGAAATAAAGTATAATTGTATCCAGGAAATGTTTCATTCTTCCTCACAAACAGTTATCACTGCATCAGCCCCAAGAAGAAAAAAGAAAGGGGAGGAAAACTGCTGGGGAGGATCTGTATTAAGGCACACGTGACGTTGGCTTCATGTCCCGCTGTAAAGTCGGCTGTGACCTTGATAACTTCTCGGCACCAGATGGGCTGGTTTTGGCTACTCACTCAGAAGGTTGTCTTACAATTGAGACAGTCTGCTGAGGACTGTGGAAAGCTTCAAAATCTCTCCATTAACAAAAAAGGGTTTGCTTTCACTAAAGTAAATTGGACTTGCTAACTAATGGCATGTAAAAATGAGAAAGCCAAGCCTTCTGGTTCTCTGCTCTCAAGCAACACTAGTTTTCCAAATGCCTGTGCTGTTCTGAGACAGCTGAAGCAAGGACAGGGGATGCTACCTTCACAGGGAAGATCTCCTGTCCAAATCCATCCAAACGTTCCACCTCGTTGATGTACATAAGCTCAGCTTCTGCTGGCAGGATTCCACTAAAACCAAAAGAGTATCAAAGGAGGAAACGGTTAAGGGCAATAAAATCTGTGGACGACCCGACTCTCCTGGTGGCAAATTCCAGAACCGTGGCTTTAGTTCTGGGAAAGCTATCATCACCCAACTGTAGGCACAGTGCTTTACTAAGTAATTCATTAACATTTCCCCCAGTAGCCTTTCACTCAACAGGGAATAATAAGAGGAAGGCAAAGCATTTAATTGAGAGCCACAGCCCTATGAACACGGATTATGCCAGACGTCCTGGTGAATAATGCTGACTGCTGGGGAAAAAAAAATTTTTTTTTCCTCCAACCTGGGAGAACAAATCTCCACTGTTAAGAAAAAAAGGAGGGAAAAAGGAGGAAAGGAAAAAGATTATGAGTATGATAATTTGGGAGCCAAGTAACGAAGTTAAGCGAGCCTAGGACCGCTGCACACATCCTCTGAGGTTGGAAGTGGTGGTGGTTTAGTTGGAAGGGAAGCTGTTTATTTTCTATTCATCCCAAAGAGCTCCAAGCGGCCCTGAGTAAGCTCTCAGTGATGACTTGAATCTCACCAGTTTTCTCCCTGATCTTGACTTTCCCACCCAAAGTAGCTCTTGAGGCCTACACTCAGCACAAGCAGCCCCAGGCTTCCCAAGTCCAGCAACAGAGTTTTAGGAAGGTCACAGAGAGGAATTCCTCTGGCCAACAGCTCCGCATCAGTGTGGGTCTACTGGTGTCGAAGAACAGGAGAAAGGGGGGATGGGGGGGAAGAAAGGAAAAAAAAAGGAAGGGAGAAAAAAAGAAAGGGCAGTAGGGGCAGAGAGCACAGTTTTCCAACCTACATGCACTCTCAGAAGAGAGCTGAGTCACTTGCTACTAGAAACAGAACTGTGGGGACTCGAGCCGCCAGCTGCGGGGTGGGGGGCCACCACCCCCGTCTCAGCCAGGACAGCGGCCGCGCTGGGCCAGGCAGCCCCGCCTCACCTGTGGGCTTTGTGTTCCTGGGCCACCTTCTGCGTCAGTTCCTCCAGAACAGCTTCTTCCAGGGCCAAATCCTGTCAAAATGGAAAGCAGTTCAGGTCCCTTGCGATTTTGCTCGTGAGCCTTGAACGCGCTCCTTTTTTCTAAAACATGTCCCTGACTCGCCTCACTTCCTCAAATTCCCATGAGTTCTCTGCAATTCCTTTTTCTTTTAAAGTTAATTTTTTCTGGAGTAGAGTGGCCTTATAATGTTGTGTTAGTTTCTCCTGGACAGCAAAGCAGACCAGCCTTAAAGTGTTAAAGTTTTAGTCGCTCAGTCGTGTCTGACTCTTTGTGGTCCACGGACTGTAGCCCGCCAGGCTCCTCTGTCCACAGGGTTTCCCAAGCAACAATACTGGAGTGGGTAGCCTTTCCCTTCTCCAGGGGATCTTCCCGACCCAGGGATCGAACCTGGGTCTCCTGCATCGCACGCGGATTCTTTACCATCTGAGCCACCAAGGAAGCCCCAATCAGCTTTATGTATGCAGGTACCCCGGAGAAGGCAATAGCACCCCACCCCAGTGCTCTTGCCTGGAAAATCCCAAGGATGGCGGAGCCTGGAGGCTGCAGTCCATGGGGTCGCTACGAGGCGGACACGACTGAGCGATTTCACTTTCCTGCACTGGAGAATGAAATAGCAACCTGCTCCGGTGTTCTTGCCTGGAGAATCCCAGGGACGGGGGAGCCTGGTGGGCTGCCGTCTATGGGGTCGCACAGAGTCGGACACGACTGAAGCGCCTTAGCAGCAGCAGCAGCAGCATACAGATACCCCCCCCTTTTTTGGATTTCCATCGCACTGAGGTCAGCACAGAGCATGAGGAGCGTTCCCTGAGTGACAGAGTGGGTTCTCATTAGTTATCGACTTTATACATAGCACTGTGTACACGGCAACCCCAATCTCCCGACTTACCCCACCCCCTTCTCCCCGCGGGGTGTCCACATACGTGTTCTGTGTGTCTGTGTCTCTATTTCTGTTTTGCTCGTTTTATTCGTTTGAATTAAAGGTTGTCATCTTTAGAACAGAGGTTCATGTTCACTTTTGTAATCGGGCTTTCTGCATTATAACTTAGGCTACTCAAAGGCGTATTTGGGGCTGCCATCTAAACTCTGGAGGGCCTAAGAATAACTCTTTTTCACTTAGCTGCTTCTTCCCTACCTGCCTGCCTCTCGGACTTGTAAGGGACTTCCCTGGTGGTCCAATGATTAGGGCTCTACACTCCCCATGCAGGGGGCACGGGTCTGACCCCTGGTTGAGGAACTGAGATCCTGCATGCCTGCATGCCTGGCATGGCCAAAAAAAAAAAAAAATGCTTTGTAAGTGCCTACACATTTTTAACAAAAATGTGAGGATATACAGGCAAATGAGTTTCCAGGCCATCATCCCCTCAAAAGTTGAGCCCAGGAAGGGACAGTGCCTGACCTTATCCACTGGCCTAATCCCAGCAAACGAATTCAGAGCCACTGTAGGCTGATTCAGAGGCTACTTGGTGGGGCCTTGGGAGCAAAAGAGGCCACGACAGCTAAACTACCTCAAGGGAGCTCCAGAAGATGACAGCTGGGGAGCTAAGCAGCTGGAGTCTGGACCAGATAAACCCCAGGCCCCTGGACCAGTGTTGCGCCAGCTCCCGTGGGAGGAGCGTCACCTGGACACAGGGCTTCTCAACGCCCCTTCCAGAACAGTGCGAGTCTTTACAGAGCTTGTTGAACACCTACTGGGGAAGTGAGAGGGAGTCTGGAGGAACAAACCCGAGACGGGGAGACCAGCCAGTTGCTGAGACACTGCCAGGCATGGTGACTCTAAAGCTTATCCCATCCCCTGGGGCTGGCTCCAGCCAGGAGCCCTGCTGCCTCTGCCCTTCCTAGGCAGAAGCCTGGAAAGTTCCATCCTCCTCTGAGCCCCAGTCAGGGGCTGTGTGAGCTGTGTGTCCCGGGGAGGCCCTTCGAGGCTCATCACAGCCACTGGGAGTCGGTGGCGGGGTGGGCGGTGAGGGCTGATGCTTTCAAACCACCCAAAATGCCTCATTCCCTTGGTTGTAAAATATCACGTACATAAAGATTACCTCAACTTTAACCACTTTTCATGAAACACTGTCCCCAAGAAGGTATGCCTCAAAACTGTTAAGAAACATCCCATCTCAAATGATGAAATTGCAAAAAAAAAAAAAAAAAAGAAGATTTTTAAAGTTGGAAAATGCTAGCAGAGCTCTATATTGGAAATTCTTAGAGCTCTGCAGATGGTCCTGAGACACCTTAGAGAAGACTGAGGGAATTACTGGCAGCTCTTATTTTTCATAGGTGAGCTGTTTCGTTTGCTGTTGTCTGTTAAGCCACCCACTTGAAGCAACTCAAGTTCACGTTAGGAAATAAAGCGCGACATTTTCAGTTTAACGCTGTGGGATCACAAGGATGCCACGTGGCTTAGAAATCCAGCTCTGGGTACACATCTGGCTACCAAGGACTAGGGATAACTCGATATTATTTTGAAAAGCCAATAAAAGGTGTGGGACAACAGGACAAAATAAAGCTAAGTGAAGATCAAAGAGTGCTCCAGTAAACCGCTGCCTCCAACTCTCTGAAAGAAGAAAAAGTCCAAAGGGACCCTCCGCTTTTGTATTCAACCCCACCAGCGCCATCTGCGTCTGTCAGGGCCTCCCCGAGGCATGTGCCCCGCCACTGGGCTGGGCCAGAGCGCCGAGCTCCGATGAAAAATGGCAGGGAGCGAGCCTGCACACAGCAGCACACCTGGCGAGCGCCCTGCGTACTTAACTTTGTTCTTTTGCTCAGCGGCAGAAATGCCATTTGACAAATTCGGTGGCTTTATGAGATCAAACACAGCCATTCATCCCCGGCTCCCTCCCCCACCGAAGGAACGCATTCCTCCCTTTGAAAGCACCAGTGGAGCCCAGCAGAAAACTGTTCAGCCTGCCATGGCTCCCCACAGCCTGCTCGGTCAGGTCACCCCCGGGCCTGGCATGCAGACCTCGCGTCAGGGCGACCCAGACGTCCCTGCAGACCTCTTCTCCCGAGCTTGTACCTCAGGCCAATTATTCCCAACACAAGCCGCTTTCACATCTCACCCCGTCTTTCAGGTCCGTCACACCCACCACTCCCCGGACAAGGCTTCCATGTTCCCCCGCGCAGGACAGGAGCCTTTCCCACTCCGGACCCACACCTTCGGCCCTGTGTGTCTCTCCCAGGGTCCTTACCAGAATCTGCCTGCTGTCTTCCTTACACTTTGTTATTGTTGGTGTTTAGTCACTCATTCGTGTTCAGCTCTTTTAGACTCTGTGGACTGCAGCCCACCGGGCTCCTCTGTCCATGGGGTTTCCCAGGCAAGAGTACTGGAGTGCGTTGCCATTTCCTTCTCCAGGGGATCTTCCCCACCCAGGGATCAAACCTGGGTCCCCTGCATTGCATATACACAGATATCCGCTCGTGTTTACATTCTTTTCCCACATAGGCCACTACAGAGTGCTGAGGAGAATCCGACCCAAATGACCATCGCTACCCTCTGCCTGTCCTCTGTCGGCTCACGTTTCAAAGAGCGCAGAGTGTTCGTGCCTAGAAAGCACGCACGTCAGCATCCTGCGCTTGCCTGAGACAGAAAAATACGCTGCTGATCATAATAATATGGATGAACCCTGGGACTGAACCCAGGTCTCCCGCACTGCAAGTGGATTCTTTTACCCTTTGAGCCGCCAGGGAAGCCCCAGAATACTGGAATGGGTAGCTTATCCCTTCTCCAGGGGATCTTCCCGACCCAGGAATTGAACCCCGGTCTCCTGCATTGCAGGCGGATTCTTTACCAGCTGAGCTACCAGGGAAGCCCTAAAGGATACATGACTGATGGCAAAAGCTAAGGAATATTCATGATTCAGACACATAGGCTGACATCAGCGTCTGCCACCTCATCCTCAACAGTGCCCAACAGGACTTTGTGGAATGATGGAAATGTTCTATAGCCAAGTTTTCCAGACAGTAGCCACGAGCCACAGGTGGCTATTGAGCATTTTTTTTTAAATATATCTTATGCAACTGAAGGACTAAATTTTAAATTTTATTTACGGTTAATTCATTTCAATCTGAATGTAAATAGGCACCCATCACAAGTAGCTACTATCTCAAAAGGGGAAGCTTTAGGTCCAAGAATAACACCACCAATATCTGTCTGTTCATAGTGAAACTGAATGAGGTCTGGACTGTTTTAATACGCAATTTGCTTAGAGCCCAGTGGAGACAGGTATTATTCTGAAAAAGATATGATATGTACAAAATAAGTTCTTTACTGTTTCACAGCACTTAAACCTGTCAAAGCATTTTACCATCTACAAATGCACACATCTCATGCTGGAAATCAACTTTGAATATTCTCCTGGTCTCTGCCTAAAGGCTATGTGACAGAGACTTTTAATGAGAGAAAGGTTAAAAAACAAAGAAAAGAAAAGATATTCTAGTATCAAGTTCATCACCTTCATTTGTCACAGCTACGCACACTCTCTAAAATTCTGAGGTATGAGCTGCATTTTCCCTTCCACAACGCACACAGGAAAACATCCTGACTTTTAAGGTGGACTTCTGAGATGTCAGAGACATGGACACCAAGTCCCATGCAGAACTTCTCGAAGTAATCTGCAGTCTCTTTGAACGGAGGTTGATTTAATCAGTGGAATTAATAAGGGATCAAAAACAGCAGATCCAGCAGATAATACTGCTGTTATCTTAGTGGGAATAAGACTAAATACAGAGCTACTCATAAAAAGTTAAGAGATCTTGCAGTATTTCCCTCATTTAGAAGAATTAGGTTAAGGTTCAGATGAATTTAGAGAAAAGGGAACCCTTGTACACTGCAGGTGGGAATGCAAACTTCTGTAGCCACTGCAGGAAACAGGGTAGAGATTCCTCAAAAAATTAAAAATAAAACCAGTACATGACCCAGCCATTCCACTCCTGGGTATATATTTGGAAAAAACAAAAACACTAATTCTAAAAGATTCATGCACCTTAAAGTTCAGAGCAGCAATATTTACAGCGGACAAACCATGTGCTCTGCTATCACTCAGTCCCGTTCAACTCTTTGCCATGGACCCACCACGGTTCCTCCATCCATGAGGATTCTCCAGGCCAGAATACTGGAGTGGGTTGCCATGCCCTCCTCCAGGGGATCTTCCCAACCCAGGGATCGAACCCACGTCTCCCGCACTGCAGATGGATTCCTTAGTGCCTCAACCACCAGGGAAGAAACAACCTAAACGTCCACCAGCAGACGAATGGATAAAGAAGATGTGGCAAGTCCATGCACGCGTGCGCGCGTGAGCACACACACACACACACACATGAAATAGGTAACGCAGCCACAAAAAGAACAAAATTTTGCCATGTGCAGCAACGTAGATGGCTTGGGAGGGGATTATACTAAGTGAAACATGTCAGACAGAGAAAGACAAACACTGTATATCACTTATATATGGAGCCTAAAAAAATACGACAAACGAATGAATATAACAAAAAGAAGCACTCACAGATACAGAGAACAAACCAGTGGTGACCAGTCAAGGGAGGGGAGAGGAACAACACGGAGGTGAAGGAGTGGGAGGTACAGATGACTGGACACCAGAGAGGCCAAGAATGTACTGAACAATATGGGGAACACAGCCAAGATTTTGTAATAATTATAAACTGAAACTAACCTTTAAGAATTCTATAAAAATTTTTAAAAAATTAACTTAGAACTAATTTAGATTCCTCTCATGCCCTGACACAGATAATTTCTAGCCTCTCAAAACTTAATACCTTTGTCTCCAGACACTCAACTCTCTCTCAGAGACCACAGTAGGTTAGATGCCAAGCTTTCCCCATTGCACTTCCAAAATATCTCGTGTTGCTTTTTTTGTTTCTATCCTATAGTGCAGTAGTGATAGTCACTCAGTCGTGTCCAGCCTTTTGCAACCCCGTGGACTGTACCAGGCTCCTCTGTCCATGGGATTCTCCAGGCAAGAACACCGGAGTGGGTAGCCATTCCCTTCTCCAGGGGATCTTCCCATCCTGGGAACTGAACCCAGGTCTCCTGCATTGCAGGCAGATTCTGTACCATCTGAGCTACATGGACCAACACCTAATTCCTATATCATGCTGAGAACACTCTCATCTGACATCCTCCTGCAAACAGTCTCATTGGTCTAACCCAGCGGTTCTCAAGCATGGGGTCTGTGAACCGCTGGATGGAGCCCACCCATTTGAACTCCTCAGATGCACTATGTTTCTGTACCACTGCTCCCCTCTGTACCCCGGAGCAGCCGTCAGGATGGCCAGCTGACTCCTATCCAGTCACGCCTGCCACCTCACCCCTGCTCCTCTCCCTCTGTCTAGAGCATCCCTTGCTCCCCCTGACCACCACCTGCCACAATGCTGCCCATCTTTTAAGATGCAGCTCACACACCATTAGTCCCTCAAGCCCAAAACACAGGTAACCTCTCCCCACATAAAATCCTGATCGTATTTTATCATACGTGGCTTTGCATTCAGATTTTGCAAACCCAGGTCAGTTCTTTGAGCACACACACACATACACAAAGTGGTGAATGATCATGATTTATAAAATCAGAGCTGAATGTTGGAGTGGGCATGGCTTTTCCCTAAGATGGCTTTTCAAATATTTTAACTTTCCTGACGAAAACTCTTCTCAGGTACTCCAAAGCTACCAAAAATTTCCCAAGAATAAAAACCTCGCTTCATCCCTAATTTAACTCAAGAGTGGACATTGTACTTCATAGACTCATTCAACAAACCCACGTGAGCACAAAATTATCTACCAGACAACCATGGACAAGACAGAGAAGCTCCCTGTTCAAGAGCCACGGAGAAGGCATTTCAGCTGACAATAAAAAGGAGGGAAAGAAGGAACACCTTTAGATCCCGAAAGAGCTCTAAAGTATGCATATGAAAGGGGATTTAGCAGTTAGTGCTGGATGGTTGGAGGGCATCCTACAGGCGGTCAAGGGCAAGGAAGCTTTCTGTGAGGAGGTGATATCTGAATCAAGACCTGAAGTCACAGGAAGACCCCGGGCCGAGCATTCCAGACAGAGGACGGGCAGGACAAAGGCTCTGGAGTGCCTTCTGAGAGGCACAGAAGGAAAGAGAGGGACTTTCCTGGGGCTCCAGTGGCTAAGACTCTGAGCTCCCAATGCAGGGGGCCTGAGTTCAACTCCTGGTCAGCAAACTAGATCCCACACGCTGCAACCAGAGCTCACATGCCGCAACTAAGACCTGGTGCAGCCAAATAAACATACAAATATTAAAAAAAAGAAACAAGGAAGAGAGTGCCCAGGACTCAGGGTTAGTGTGTGAGGCAGGGAAGTGTTCTGAGGAGCCAAGAAGAGCCATCTTTACTTTTCCCAGGGTCTTAGAAAACTTATCTCCATAAATGCAGGGGCATTCTTCCCAGGAAATACATGTGTAAATTCCTCTGAGATCTTCGAAGGGAAGAACTAAATATCCAAAGAAGACAGAACATGAATTAAGAAAAAGGAAGATATACTTACCATAGGAAATAGTACATATTCTCTGAGGAAATCTTGAGAATCAAACTGATTATAATCTCCAAAATCAGCTGAAAAGACAAGGAGGGAGGGTAGTCTTTATGATATGACATTAAAGATGGGATAAAATAGGGTAAATTTATTACCACATTAACTCTTCTCACTTCATCCTACTTCTGCACGATTATTAAATACAAACAGCGCCAAGATGGGTTTGCTATTACTAACACTTTTACATAGTAATAATGTAAATATCAGCACGCAAGCACTGCAACATAATTTTCTAGCAAGAATAGAAACATTTGAAAGTGATTCCTAATCTATTTTAAGAATTTAAAACAAACCTATATTTATCTTTCATGAAATATGCACCAACACAGATCTTAAGACTATCTGCCAGAGGGACTTTTTAACACAAGGTTAATTTTGAGAACTGAAGCGCCAAACCCATCTGCATCTCTTCATATATCTGCAGCTGGAAATTCCCACTGTAAATCACCCTTGGCAAGCAATGCTGCAAATTTTTACACCTCCTAAACAACTCCATGTGTTACAAGATGGCCCAAATTCTGTTTTGTCCTGTTTTCATCTCACAATTGTAAGTCTGAACACACGTAAAATGAATACAGAGAACCTCTATCATAAATCGATAAGTGTCTTGCAGCTTATCCAACTTGCTCTCAACAACAACAAAAAAATCAAAACAGTATGATATTTAAATTTCATGTAAAATGTTCACTATCAGGTAGAAATGGATTCAGACATCTTTAAGGTAACAAGAATAAGCAGATCCACACAGAAGGCCAGTGTAAATACGTTACCAAGAAGGTAAGGTTGCACCTACAAATTTGTGTAAATTCCTACAAGTAATTACAAGGTGAGGCACTTGGAAATACCAAAGACCAAGAGCTCTGCCTATTTCCAAGGTCGGTGATCTGTTATCATACTTTGTCACAGCTTATATCTCTGTTGATGTGCCTTTCTAACTGCCCAATGAAAAGTTCTCAGAAAAATTATTCTACACATATTACAGCTAGAGGATTTCATCAGACTGAATAGTAAATTTCAAGGATCCAAGTAAAAGGGACCCCAGAGTAAGTTCACCAACTTCCTTCAGCCTGAAAGCGATCACCAAGGTCCTCCAATATCCAGGATGCTTGTAATGAGCCCAGTGATTGAAGAGTGAGAAGGGAAAAAAGAGTTAAAAAAAAAAAGAAGAAGAAGAAGAAGAAAAGGAAGCACTTAAAGGAAAAAGACCCAGTTGGAAGATGAGGGACCCACCAGATCTTTCCTTGCATCTCCCCATTAAGGGTATCTTCTCCACTGTTTGAATTATTTTTCAATTATAACCACGGATGGTTCTATTACACAGTCTGGGCATTGCTCCTTCCCCTTCCATTCTTTAGGTGAACAGATGAGAACAGCGCATTTTGCAGACTTCCAATCCACAGGGAGAAGCTAACTACTAAGTATCATATGGCCAACCAAAACTACTAACCCATTAATATCCCAGGAGTGAAAGTTATCAAGGAAAGGCTGCCACTTTAAGCGTTTTAAATCCAAAAGGTTTGACTTCAGTGCAGAGTTTGGGATGAGAAGTTCAGTTCACAGCTTCTAAAACAACAATCCACACAGCAAGGACTCCGCAGCTGGCAGGGAACATTTGGATGGTATCTGATTTTAAGCAAAGTCGCTACTGCAAGGGAAACACGTTTCTTTTTAAAAAGAAACTTGTCTTTTATCTTCTTGTTTTTAACATGACTCAAGACATGAAGCTACCAGTCAATAAAGAACAATGTATAAATATATGTACAAGATTACACAGTGTGCTACACAAATAGGGGCAAAAATTTACAGAAGATTGAAAAAAAAACAGCTGTCTGATGGATCTGGATCGATGTAAGTAGGGTTGGTTGAAAGATAAATTGACTCTAGTACACATTAGCTATCTCACATTACAGCACTGCATTTTAAATTTCTCTCTTTAACTGTCGGAATAAAGTATACTATAATGTCTTAAGCTCTCACACTTGAAACTGATGTGAAAGTCACACAGTCATAACATCAAGCCACAAAATATGACCACATTGGGCAGTGGAAAAATTCTAAGAAAATGGTCTATAAGCCCTGCAATGGAGCTTTAATTAGAGGCAGGATGAAAGCTGCTATTTCTTCAAATAAAACTAAAATTATACAAGCTTGAGCAATTTGTGAACAGCTCTGAGGAATCCACCATCCTGCCACCAAAAGTCACTGCCTCCGCACTTTTAATGTAAGACACCTTGAAATGTAAAGAGTCATGAAGGGATCATTTAAGTAAACTTAACTTTTCCCTCCTAGAGGCTAGCGGTGCCAGCATTCAAGACAAGATGGATTGTCATGCACCAGTCCCCACTCTTACCTTGCACAGCTAAGCCTGCCAGCCGGATCACCTGTTCCAGTGAACACCGCAACCGCCCTTCCAGCACGTCTTTTTTGACTTGCAGGTAATACTGATATCTATTCATGGAAACAGAAGAAATAACCTTAAAAACACATACTTGGAATATATTCCCACGCCATGAATGCCTCTAGATCTGACCCCTTGGGTACACAGCAGGATACACAGGTGATGTGGATAAAGGTCAGGTCTATACAAGATGGAAAGTGACCTCTGCCTGTTTGTCTTTGTTTGATGTGGCAGGTGCCACATCCCCTTCGCTCTGAGTTCGAAAGTGCTCTCATCACATCATCTCATGGCAGGCCGGCAGGATGAACTACTGATAAGGACCAGCCCTTCATAACAAGAGATGAGAATGGGAGCACTCTTGCACACCTGGACACCCACAGCACACAGCTGCCAAAGCCACGCAACTGTGTGCATTCCTGAAAAAAAAAATTATGGAAGCACATGTTTTTTTAAATCCCAAGGTGATAGAGGGTAGAAGACAAACAGGCCAAATCATTTAGAATTCTGCTAATGGACAGGATAAAGCTTTTCAGAGGCAGGCTCACCCTCCACATCTGTGACTCATAAAAATCTAATCGAATGTGATACTGAGCCTTCCAACCCAAAGTACATCCTCCAAGCAGCAAAGTGCAGACAGACAGAATGTGCCCATATACAACGGCAACCTGAGACCAGACCACTGTTCTCAGAAGCTAATAGAGCGCTATTGTTTCCTTGCCAATAAAATCATAATTAGAATTACCTAAGCGTTTAGAAATCTCCTCACGCCAAACCTTTACATCCCAGGACTCCACTTCCTTTGAATATACTCTTAAGACAAACTACCTCTAGAAGAGTCACACTTTTTAGGCATTAATTCTTGGCAAATGCTCACAACCTCTTTGCTCCTGGTAACCACAAATCTGTAATGTCTTCAGAACTTCAGCATGTCAATCAAGGGAACTTAGGAGTGACCCAAAGCCCTGCTCTCTTGGAGAGAGGCAATCAGTTGTGAGAGCTAATGATTGCTGTCTCTACCTTGATACCATGGACATCATTACATGTCAGTAGAAGTGTTAGTCACTCAGTCACGTCTGACTCTGTGTGACCCATGCACTATAGCCCACCAGGCCCCTCTGTCCATGGGGTTCTCCAGGCAAGAATACTGGAGTGGGTAGCCATTCCCCTCTCCAGGGGATCTTCCCAACCCAGGGATCAAACCCAGGCCTCCTGCACTGGCAGGCGGATTCTTTACTTGCCTTTAGGGAAGCCTATTACATGTCAACCTAGCACCTATTTGAGAAGAAGAATCCGGCATTCTCTACAAAACAGTCTCTACTTCTTTTTTCTGGAGTCTACAGCAGAGGGTAAAGACAGCCAAGTCAGTCTCTGGTGGGGAACTGTGTGTTAGTTGCTCAGTCGTGTCCGACCTGCCACACCATGGACTGGGGCCCACCAGGCTCCTCCGCCCATGGGCTTTCCCAGGCAAGCACACTGGAGTGGGTTGCCATTCCCTTCTCCGGGGAGCTTCTTGACCCAAGGATCGAACCCGGGTCTCCCACATTGTAGGCAAACTCTTCACCATCTCAGTCACTAGGGAAGACTCTGGTGGGAAAGCCTTTACTTACAGTTAGAAAGACCAACTCTGAGTTATCTAAAGATTTTCTCTAGTCAAACTTAATATCTATTAGAAAAGCCACCTATTTTTCCTACTACCATTTTATCTTTCACCTTAAATATTCATACTCATTTTATAGGGTCCATTATTTTATATATATATATATTATTTATTCTCACTTTTTTTTGGTTAAAAATTGTTTTATTCTCTTAGCAAATTTCAATACAGTTATATAAAGTTATACAACATAGCAGGACTTCCCAGGTGACACATTGGTAAAGAATCTGACTGCCAGTGCAGAAGATACAGGAGATGTGGGTTTGATGCCTGGGTCAGGAAGATCCCCTGGAGGAGTAAAAGGTGACCCACTCCAGTATTCTTGCCAAGAGAAGCCCATGGACAGAGAAGCCTGGCAGACTACAGTCCATGGGGTCGCAGAGTCAGACATGACCGAGCACACATACAGTATAGTGTTACCAACCACAGTCACGCTATACATTAGTTCCTTAGCTCTTATTCATCTTATACCTAAATGTTTCTACCAACCTTCCCCTATTTTCCCTACCTCTCAGGAGGTCCACTTGTGAGTCAATAATTTGACTTCCTGTCAAAATCAGCTGACTAAATTTATTAAGGCTGTACATCCAGGCTGCATATTGTCACTCTGCTTATTTAACTTATATGCAGAGTACATCATGAGAAATGCTAGACTGGATGAAGCACAAGCTAGAATCAAGATTGCTGGGAGAAATATTAATAACCTCAGATACACAGATATACCACCCTTAGGGCAGAAAGTGAAGAAGAACTAAAGAGCCTCTTGATGAAAGTGAAAGAAGAGAATGAAAAAGTTGACTTAAAACTCAACATTGAGAAAATTAAGATCATGATATATGGTCCCATCACTTCATGGCAAATAGATAAGGAAACACTGGAAACAGTGACAGACTTTATTTTGGGGGCTCCAAGATCACTGCAGATTGTGACTGCAGCCATGAAATTAAAAGATGCTTGCTCCTTGGAAGAAAAGTTATGATCAACTTAGACAGCATATTAAAAAGCAGAGACATTACTTTGTCAACAAAGGTCCGTCTAGTCAAAGCTATGGTTTTTCCAGTGGTCATGTATGGATGTGAGAGTTGGAGCATAAAGAAAGCTGAGCGCCGAAGAATGGATGCTTTTGAAGTGTGGTGTTGGAGAAGACTCTTGAGAGTCCCTTAGACTGCAAGGAGATCCAACCAGTCCATCCTAAAGGAAATCAGTCCTGAATATTCATTGGAAGGACTGATGCTGAAGCTGAAGCTCCAATACTTTGGCCACCTGATGAGAAGAACTGACTCATTTGAAAAGACCTTGATGCTGGGAAAGATTGAAGGCTGGAGGAGAAGGGGACGACAGAGGATGAGATGGTTGGATGGCATCACCGACTCAATGGAAATGAGTTTGAGTCTGGGAGTTGGTGATGGACAGGGAGGCCTGGTGTGCTGCAGTCCATGGGGACGCAGAGAGTCGGACATGAATGAGCAACTGAACTGAACTGACCGAAATCAATTAATGTACATAACAAGTATCTTTGCTGATTTTCAGAGACAAGTCCCTGGTATGTGGAGAAAAAAATCTTTGTGTCCATTCACCACTCTGAGTCCAGAGGACACTGCCTTGCCCTCACTTACTCACTGTATTCTTAGCTGATTAAAGGCATCGTGGAGTCTAAATCTCAACAAACAGGAACAGAGGTTACATCTAAAAACTTGTGATTGAAACTCTTCCTAGTAATAAGGTGGTGGTCTACTGCTTCTGAATGTGCACTGTTTGGAGCAAATACTAGATAGGATACTTTTTAAAACCCTGTAAAGTTGAAGACACCGCCCTTACATGTGTGTGTGTGGTTCTTTGTTGACGGAGTTTCTGGGAATAACATACGATGGTGGGAAAAGGGGAAGCCACAACCTGCCTGGTCATCCTTCACAGGAGAGAACTGGAGTAAATGAAAATATTTTGAAGCAATAACGGTACACGAATTAAAAGAAACAGCATGAGAGCGGATCAAAGTATTGAAGACTACAGAAACCTGAATTGCTGCAGAGTTAAAATATGTTACATGTTACCTTCTAGCTTTCATTTTTCCTCCCTGTTCACTCAGGTCAAGTCCCCAAGCTCAGGCATGTTTTTCAGATATTTTATCCAAGAAGAGGGACCATCACAAAAGGGCGGACCCATACATTTCCAGGATCCACACGCCTCCTGTCTGCCTGCACGCCTCCTGTTCCCAGGGGACAGACAGCCAGCCTGCACATGGCAAGTGCCAAAGATCATAGGTTCCATGGTTTCATTCAGCAAACCAAGAGCCCCAACAAAAATGCTCTACACTAGCGCCTTTGCTTCAAGGAGCATGCACCCTTATTAAGTACCAATACAAGCGAAGCTCAGGGTTTTACAGCCCTTACTTAAACAACAGATTCATGCCTAAAACCATAATCTAATGATATACACTATTAGTTCATCTCCTCGAAGGAAGTTAGGAGGGAAACACAAGAACACCAGGATTTTTCCTGGTCCTTTAGGTTAAACGTAGTCTAACACTGGGAAATGAAACCAAGGAGCAGAAGAATGCAGTGCTCTTTCCTGGAAGCCATCCAGACTACAAGAGAATCTGAATAGCGTTAATGATATGGTACAACAGCCATTTGAGATTGTGGATATTACTACATGAGATCACAGGCACGGGAATGGAATCTGAACCACTTTGTTAATTGATTGTTTGCTACATTTCTGCTCAAAAGGCACTTTTATAAAATATAATAATTCTATCCTATATGAAGACCAAATTAGAGAATATGAGCTGAAATTCTATTTCTAGAGTGTTTGGTTTTTGCTTATTTTTGATTAGAGATTCAATTCTAACAGAAGTCAAATGTAACAGTGAATCTTATTTTGGAAACATGCAATTTCATGGAAGTATACTGCACTCCACCCTGTCATAGCTTTGGGTGGAGGGGGAAAAGAAAAAAACCAATCTTTGTGCCAGGAAAGTAAGCATTTGCCAACTTTCCAAAGGGATCCTCTTTGAAAACCCAAGCCCACAAGGAAAACTTTTAAATAATTTTTATATTCAAAGACCTGGAAATAGTCCATCTGACTGCTGAGGTCCAATGAATGGTTTTAGGTGAAGATTTTGCTTTCTCTCTAAGAATTAGTGAACATAATTGTGTTTGTTGAATAAGGGTAATATTTCTATTTTCAAAGCTTTTTGTTTTGAATCTCCAGAGAATATTAATTTATAGATTGAATGCAGGTTTCTCTGGGTGAAGTAACAAAGGCTTCCTGATAACTGGTGCTATTAAACATCACACCTGAAAACTCGAAGTCACTAAGAACCTATCCCTAGAGGTTTCATCTGTCTTGAATTTGTTTTTGTTCAGTCACTAAGTCATGTCCAACTCTTTGCAACCC